TTTGTCCCATACCTCCTGGAAGAGTATTGTAGTGTGACTGTGTTAGCTCTAACTTGGAAGCACAACAGAAAAAGGTCTGTGAAGTGCTTGTGTTTACCCTTCTCTAGTTGTGGACAAGTCTCACCAGAAATGAAACCAGAATTAAGTACTTTTGCCAGAAACAAGATGCCAGGCACACAAGATCTGCCTGCATCACCACTTCACGTGTTTTGATGAAAACTGCAAACCTTAAGATCCAAGAAATGTAAGCCAGAGATGGATATAGAAGACCACCCCAAGATGCATAATCTAATTCTTAGCTGACTGAATAAGTAATAATACTTAGCCTAATAAAGGACATCTGTAACAAATAGCTAAAATCACAATGGAGAAAAACGATTTCTTTGCAGAGGGGAACAAAATAAGAATGTCTTTGCCTTGCCGACCCTTCTATTTAGTATAGTGGTGAAAGTCGATGTGTGCATGATAGGCAGGCTGTGGGGATGCGAAAAGCTGTGCAGGGAAGGTGACTTTACAACAGCCACATACAAAGCTAGGACAATTGCTGCACACATGTAATCCCACCATAGTGCTAGGAGCAGAGGCAGGGATGCTAGGGCTCACTGGTCAGCCCCTGTAGGCAAATGAAATGAGCTTCAGGTTTTGAGAGAGACCTTGTTTTGGGAGGGGGGAAAGTGGTTAGGGAAGAATATTCCTTAAAATTGACCTCTGGCTTCTGTGTGCACATAGAAAAGAAAAGCTAAAGTGAATCCATTCACGGATAAAATTGGCCACATGAAAAAATACAGAATGTACAAAAGGAGCCAAATAACCAAAACTATTTGTATTAAGTTTAGCAAAATCCCCAGGTTGTAAAGTCGATGTGCAGAAACCATTTGGATTTCTATATACCAGCAGCAAGTAATCAAAAACTTTTAAGAGTGGAGTGTGCCCATACCTCAGGCACTTGGGAAGAAGACTGAAGATGTTTGAGTTAGTTTGAAGTCAGTCTAGGCAACATAGCAAGACCTTGTCTCTAAATATGTACGTGAATAAAAACTACAAATACCACAAACAATTTTTAGGTTGGTTTATTCTGTTTTTATATGCATGAGTATGTTGCCTACTTGTATGACTGCGTACCATGTATCTGGTGGTCACAGAGGTCAGAAAATGGGATTATTGATTCCCTGGAACTGGAGTTGCAGATGGTTGTGAGCCACCTTGTGGATGCTGGGAACTGGACCCAGGTCCTTTGAAAGAGCAGCCAGTGCTCTCTGAGCCACCTCTCCAGCCCAAGAAACATTAATTTTAACTGAAGTTTAATGTGTATGGTCTGAAAATGACCTTATAGTACTATAAAGAATAAGAAAAAAAGTTAGTTCTTACCAAATGGATGTACAAACTAAGTACATTCCTAGTCAAATTCTTTTTTTTAAATATTTATTTATTATGTATACAATATTCTGTCTGTGTGTATATCTGCAGGCTAGAAGAGGGCACCAGATCTCATTACAGATGGTTGTGAGCCACCATGTGGTTGCTGGGAATTGAACTCAGGACCTTTGGAAGAGCAGGCAATGCTCTTAACCACTTGAGCCATGTCTCCAGCCCCCTCCTAGTCAAATTCTTAGCTGGCTCTTTGAAAATGAAAATTGACAGATTATAAAATGCAGAAGGTTCAGCTGTTATGAGTATCTGATGGCCTGAGTTTATTGCCAGGATCATGTGGTAGAAAAGAGAAAACTGATTCCTATGTGTTGTCCTTTGGCCTCTACATGTGTTCACACAAGTACAAATGGAAGAAAGTTTTCCTACTGAGCTGTTGATCTAGGCTGCCCATTGCTTTTGCCCTTCGTTCCTTTCAGAAGAAGGTAAAGCTACATCCCTATTGCTGAAGACAGCTTGCACTTCACACAGACTCAGAAGAACTGAGCTGGATCTGACCTGAAAACTTCTTTCCTAAGCCCTTGCTTTCATTAGTACTAGAAGGAGATAGGCAAGGTACCAAAGAAGGGAAGCCATCACTAGTCTTACCGAGCTCTGATGCCTGTGAACCACAGCAGTGCACAGCATGGCAAGGTATCCCTAGAAGCGCAATTGGAATTCATATCCTGGCTGTTGCCAACAGCTAACAGAAGGATAATTATACCTGGACCAGGAAATTGAGCCTTGGACCATTGAGGTTACGGATCTTGAGGAGAACCTATTACTTCCATTTTGCTAGACCAGCTTAATTCCCAAGTGCATTCCAGAAATTATCCTTAATACCCAAAAATAAGTGTAGCTTTTCTCCATCATCAAAGAAGCATCTCTTTGTGGCAGAGATACTGAAAACCACAGCTTAGGCTCAGAGAACATCACAGAAGAGGGAGTTGCATGATACCAACAACCAGAAGACCAGGAAGTGTGCTGCGAGATTGTGTCTCCTGTAAATGACAGGGAAGCTATACCCATGATACCTCCATAGTATGGCTGCCTAAATAAGACCACTGAGCAAGGATAACACTAATAGGCATGCTAACATGGAAGGGAGAAATCATACAAGGTCCCACCCCCAGGCTACTATAGGCAACTATGGGATGCTGACAGCAGGAGAATTTGTCTTTCCCCAGGATGAACTCCCTAGTTGATTATCCAACACCAAGTGGTCAGCCCTGAAATCGTAGTCATACAAGCAACACTAACATTCAGCAGGTTGTATTTGTTTATGCATATATGTAACAAAAAGGCCATAAATGGGAAGAGAGGAGGTTGGAGAGATGGCTCAGAGCTTAAGAGCACTGACTGCTCTTCCAGAGGTCCTGAGTTCAATTCCGAGCAACCACATGGTGGCTCACAGCCATCTATAATGAGATCTGGTGCCCTCTTCTGGCATGCAGGGATACATGTAGACAGATACTGTATACACAATAAATAAATAAACATTTAAAAAATAAAAAAGGAAGAGAGGAAATGATATAATTATATTTTAGTTAAAATTTAAAAGTAAAGCCGGGCGGTGGTGGCGCAAGCCTTTAATCCCAGCACTCGGGAGGCAGAGGCAGGCGGATCTCTGTGAGTTCGAGACCAGCCTGGTCTACAAGAGCTAGTTCCAGGACAGGCTCCAAAACCACAGAGAGACCCTGTCTCGAAAAAAAAAAAATTAAAGTAAAAAGTTAAATGAAAATGTCGAAATAACAGGGCTGGAGTTCAGCAGTGAAGAGCTCTGACTGCTTTTTCAGAGGTTCTGAATTCACTTCCCCTCAGCCACCTGGGGGCTCACAATTCTCTATAGTGGGATCTGATGCCCTCTTCTGGCATAATGTCATACATGCAGACGGAGCACTAATATATATATTACACAAATAAATAAATCTTTAAAGAAAGAACAGAGCGGCCAAAACAGTTATCTTTTTTTTTAAACTTTTTTTTTATTTAACTTTATTATGTTCATTGGTGTGAAGGTGTCAGATCTCATGGAACTGCATTTTCAGACAGTTGTGAGCTGCCATGTGGCTGCTGGGAATCGAACCCGGGTCCTCTGGAAGAGCAGTCAGTGCTCTTAACCTCTGAGCCATCTCTCCAGCCCCAAAACAGTTTTCAAAAGTAACGATAGACTTGAGGACGGGAGAGATTTCAGTAGTTATGATTGCACACTGCTTTCCCCAGGGGCCTGGGTTCAGTTTCCAGCACCCACATCTCAATGCTCACATATACTAATTTCAAGATTTTCCTTTGTTTTTTTTGTCTTTTTTCTTTTTTTTAATAAGATTTATTTATTTATTTATTTATTTATTATATATACAGTGTTCTGCACGCATGCCCGCAATGCTTAAAAGATAATGCTACAGGTAATGATTTTTCTGGATAGGATTCAAGATGCATACAAAGCAAAAATTAAAAAAAAATTCAAGTGTAATTACACAAAACTAAGTTTTTGCATCTCAAAGGAGACAAAAGTGAAGAGATAACTTACAGGATAGGCATACCAGCTTTTTATATAACAGAGGACTAATATCCAGAATCAATAAAAAGATAAAAAGGAAAAAAAGCAAGAAAAACAATTCCATTGAAATTGGGCAATTGAACTAAATAGACGCATTTCAAGAGAAGAAATAAAATCTGTACAGATTAAAAAAAATGCTCCACAGTTTCCAATAAGGAAAAAATTATTACTTCTGTATTCTCGTTTATTGATGGCGTCAACGCCTTTCTTTTAGGTCTGTGGAGGGCTCCTCTAGGGAGGATTAGGTTTGGTTTGGTTGTGGACTTGTCCTTGTATGACTGGTTCACTTCCATGGATGTATGTGCATCACGAGGGTGCCTGGTGCCCACGGAAGCCAGAAGCGAGTGTCAGTTTCCCTGGAACTGGTGTCACTCAGAATTATAAGTCACCCTGTAGGTGATGGGGAACCAAACTAGGGTCCTCTGCAAAAGCAACAAGCGCTCTTGACAGCCCAACCCTGTAGGTGTGGCTGTGGTTGGTGCTTTTCTTACAAAGCTCCACAAGATGCCCAGGAACTCAAAGACTAGCTCGTGAGGAAGCGATGGACGGAGAAGGGTGTACTGAGCTGATGAGAGGACAGGAGCCGGCGGGGAAGGACCCTTGAGAGGCGGAGGGAAACGATAACGGGAGCCTGGCACCGGTAACTCCGCGAGCCGGCGCGGCCTGGGAGCCTCTAGATGCCCGCCCACCAGGTGGCACGGCGCATGCGCGGTGGGTGCTCCCGCCGTGGCGTCTCCAGGACACGACTCGTCTGTGGCGGGCGCGGCCTTCTCTCCCGGGCCCCGGATTCTCTCAGGCTCCTGAGACCGCAGCGAGAGGCAACGACCTGGGAATCCTCTCCAAACCCTGCGTCTCCGCGAGTCCCGCCTCACTGTTGGGACCCCCGTTTTCCACGCGGCCCCCCGCCCTCTCGCTCCGGTCTTCCCTGGCCTCTCAGACGCCGCCCTCCCTGCAGGGTCCCCCACATCTCCACGGGGGACCTTCGGCGACTCTGGCCACGCCGTCACGAGGAAACTCCTGGGTTGACCCCAGCCGCCGACGGAGCAACGAGGAATGGACGCGGTTTCCTAGCATCCTCCTTGGGAGAGACACCAGAACTTCAATGATTTGCTTGAAATTGCCCTCTCGCATTTGTTTGAAATAAAGGTACCCTTTCCTCCGTCCCCGTAGACTTGACAGAGTATGTATTTTGCTCGTATGAGCGGATTTTTTTTTTTCTCACTTCTTTCCTGTTGTGGGGCGCTTGGTCTCTATCCAGTAGCATCTGTGTTTTCAGAGGCTTTGCAGTATGCGTCAGAAATGATGTTTGCTGCGTCCCAGGAGGTGACTTTTAGCATGCTAAATGGTGGAAGGTTGTATATGATCCTGTAGGGCTCTAGCCCGAAATCTTGAAGTGGTTTGCTGTCTTTTTATCTTTTACGTTTTACTTGCAAAATTTAAGTCTACGTGTTTCCAAACAAACCCGTGGCATAAATACTTAAGCGTTTCTCTTTCATATCTAGAAGTAAGATATGAAACATTAAACAAAACCATAATATAATTATCCCACAAAACCAAAGCTAAACATCTTATCGTCTCTCGTATAGTCTATTAGACTAATCCCTAATGATTGCTGAGCCCTGTTCAGTTTCTCCAGTTGCCTTTTAATGATTTTACATAAAAGTTTCCCCAAGATGTAATTAAATATGTACTTTTGTTCAGATTATCCAGTTGTTTTGTTTTGCCGTACTTTATCCTTCTGTTTATCCATGTGCATACACATAGTATTTAGGAACTATTAAGCACCTAAAATGGCCTTCCAAATGTTTTTTTAAAAAAAATATTTATTTATTTATTATGTATACAACATTCCTTCCATGCCTGCCTGCATGCCAGAAGAGGGCACCAGATCTCATTATAGATGGTTGTGAGCCACCATGTGGTTGCTGGGAATTGAACTCAGGACCTTTGGAAGAGCAGGCAATGCTCTTAACCTCTGAGCCATCTCTCCAGCCCCTTTCCAAATGTTTTGCGGTTGAGTTGTGTGTATTGTATGTTCTTACTCATACAATATTCATACATATTCAGTGCAATGCGCATCTCTAGTATTGCTCTTTCATGTAAGCTAGTAGCCATCACATTTGGGAAACAGCATCGGATAACGTTGTTGATTGCAATTTTTGTTTTCTGGCGCAGGATAAGATACAGCATTTGGTTGTCTTGTGTAGTTAAATCATCTTTAATGTAGAACACCCGACCTTTGGTTTCCTCAGAACACTGCTTAGCTAGTTATAAAACTAGCTAAGTTTAACACAAGCTGGAATCATTTGGGAAGAACCTCCATCGAGAAAATGCTGCCCTCCCCCCCCACTGGAACTGTGGCCAAGCCTGTGGGGCATTTTCTTGACTGATTGATGTGAGAAGACTCAGCTTTCTGTGGGTAGAAACACCCTTGGGCTGGTGGTCCTGGGGTGTATAAGGAAGCAGGCCCAGCAAGCCCTGTGGAGCAAGTCAGTAAGCAGCACTCTTGAGTGACCTCTGCAGCAGCTCCATTCCTGTCTTGCATTTCTCCCCTGACTTGCCTGGTTGATGAACTACAAGCTGTAAGAAGATGTAAACCCTTTCTTCCCCAGGTTGTTTTGATCATGGTGTTTTACTGCACGGTAGAAACCTTCACCAAGATGGAAATTGCTCCCAGATCATGGGATCCTGCTGTGACAGACCTCACCATGTGTTTTTGGAAGGATTGTGGTGGCATTTGTATTTTGAGCTGGAGAAGCTATTAGTGCCCAGAGCTCTGTAGCTGTTTTGTGGGAAGGATAGAATGTTTGGAGAGATGCAGACGATGGAGGCCTGGCTTGTGAAGTAGAGGGAAGAAAAACTGACCGGGATCATTCAAGTGATGGGGGGGGGGGGGGTGTTGTTTTTGTTTTTCAAGATATGGTATCTCTGTCTAGCTTTGGATCCTGAAATTCGCTCTATAGACCAGGCTGGCCTTGAACTCACAGACACCTGCCTGCTTCTGCCTCCCTAGTGCTGGGATTAAAGGCATGCGCCACCACCGCCCAGCTTTAAGTGATATTTTGAATTAAGAACTGCCTAGGTGAAATTTTTGCGATGCTGGTCAGCTGAGGCTGAAGGATCAGCTGTGATTAAGAAGGGAGCAGCATCATTGAAGCCAAAGCTTCTGTCTCCTCGGGGTCAGCACACTGAAGTTATGGTCCAGAGAAGGACGTACTTAGTGCTGACCGCCATACTTGTAGTGTGTAAGTTTCTTAGTCGGCACTGATTTGAAGGCATGAAGGAGTCGTGGAGAGAAACTGAGCTTGTTGGTTAAGATATTAGTCCCACCCTGACTGTATTGCAGAAGGATTTAAAAATTCAAGGTAATCTTACTTTATAAGGAGTTTGAGACTAATTTGGACAAGAGACCCTGTCCAGGTTAGCTTGGGGGACAGGGTTGGGAGTTGAGGGCTGGAGATGGAGCTCACTTGGTCAAATGCTTGCCAGGCATACGCCACGCCCTGGTCTCCATACCACAAAAACCAGGTATGGTTGTGCAGGCAGGCCTATAATCCCAGAAGTCTGGAGTAGAGATAGAATTACAAGTTCAAAATCATCTTTAATTGCGTAGGGAGTGTGAGGTTATCCTGGTCTCCATGACCATTTCTTAAAATGAACAAAAAAGAAAAGAATGCAAAATAGGATTGCTAAGACGGCTCAGTGGTTAAAGCACTTTCTGGGCATGTTTGAGGACCTGAGTTTGATCCCCCAGTACCCTCTTAGAATGTGCCTGTGCTCCCAGTATCCACTTAGAATGTGCCTGTGCTTCTAGAGCTGGGGGGACCTGAGTTTGAACCCCCAGTACCCACTTAGAATGTGCCTGTGCTCCCAGTACCCACTTAGAACGTGCCTGTGCTCCCAGAGCCGGGGGGACCTGAGTTTGAACCCCCAGTACCCACTTAGAACGTGCCTGTGCTCCCAGTACCCACTTAGAACGTGCCTGTGCTCCCAGTACCCACTTAGAATGTGCCTGTGCTCCTAGAGCTGGGAGGCAGGGACACCTAGATTCCAGGTGGCTCGGTGGCTAGTCACCCTAGGCAAAATGGCCAGCAACAAACTTCCAGTTCATTGAGAGATGCTATCTCAAAGCCTAAGACAAAAAGCAATGGAGGAAGGCGTACCTCTGGCCTCTGCATGGGCACACAAATGTGTATGCAGCCTGCAAAACGAGTTACAACAGCAGGACAAGCATTAAAGCCAAAATAAGGAAATAAGCACAGAAAGAGTCACAGCCATTTCATGTTTGCTTTCTGGATGTTCCCAGTTGCTTAGGTTTTTAAAGGTTTAATATTATATAATGATGAGGCCTGTAAATTACTTGTTGTGCTTAGTTGCCTGATCTGTTCACCATTTGCTGCTCACCTTCCATGACCTGGACTCCACTGAATATTACAGATAGATCTTTTGTAAAAGTCCCTCATTTTGGATTTATCTGATGCTTCTTTATGATTGTGTTTATTATTATTGTGATTGTTATTAGTTTATGCATCCTCAAAACAAGTATCACCATGAGACACCCATGAGATCTTCTCATTTTACCTGTTAGGTAGCATGTGACTTCCACCTGTCACGTTTTTTATAGTGTTCACTGTAGTTACAGGATTAAATGGATTCTGCCTGTTACTATGTAAGTCTTACCACTTTTTACCAAATGCTCTATTCATCATAAGGATTCAGTCTTCTGTTTTGATTCATAGATCTTTAATCCATTAGTATAGTTTATTTTAATGGGCATAGTGTTCTTAATTTGGTCAGTGAGGTTCCCTCTCAGAGTGATTCTGTGCCCTCTGCTTGGGTTCTAGTATACTCTGAAGTGGACTGTCCAACTGAGTGGTCATCTTCCCAAGGTTTTTCCAATAACGGGTCATCCTGCCAAGATCATGCTTTCCCTCTATGCTGATTAGGTTCTGACTCTGCACTCAGTGTGAGCATCCTCTTCTGCTTGGGCCATAATAGACTGTCCTTGGTCTCTGCCACAGGTATCCCCACAGCTAGTGTGGGGACTTGCCATGCACCTTTTGTGCGGTCTCGAGGCTACTTCTTCATTTGGGTGCTGGGCATTGAACTGGGAGCCCCTCACATGCCAAACAAGTGTTCTTGTACTGAGCTGTGTCCAGCTCTCTTTTCACTTTTCATTGGAGTCACGGTCTCACTCCATTGCTCAAGCTGACCTTGAATTCACTCTGTGACACTGGGAAACCTTGAACTTAGCAGTCTTCCTGCCTTGACCTATGCCAGTAGGCCCAGCTAGGCTTCTGTTTTAGATGAGCTAGGCAGTGTGCTTACCTTGAAAATCCATAGCATCACTTCTCTTGTATTTTTTTTTTGTTTTTTGTTTTTTTTTTTGTTTTTCGAGACAGGGTTTCTCTGTGGCTTTGAAGCCTGTCCTGGAACTAGCTCTTGTAGACCAGGCTTGTCTCGAACTCACAGAGATCCACCTGCCTCTGCCTCCGGAGTGCTGGGATTAAAGGCATGCGCCACCACCGCCCGGCCACTTCCCTTGTACTTTGTTGGCCAGAGTGATCCCACAATCTATCTTAGCGTCACGGGAAGAGGTCCAACAGTAGCAAAGTCAGAAGAAGAGCACAAGACTGGAGATTTGACCTTCTTTACTAAAAGGTCGTCTGCTACGCTGAGAAGCGCAGTCATAGATGTGATCTTCAGTACCCTTCCTGCTATATTATGGTCATGGTCATTGTCTGAGAAGTCGTGTGTAAGAGAGCAAGTGCGTTTTGCCTCAGTTCAGGATGTGGATGCAATATAGAGTGCGGTTTCTTACCTGCAAGAGAGGATGATAGCCATTGAAAAATAATTAAAAGTTCTTGAAATTCTAAATTAAGATGTTCAGTGTTACCATTTGAATTTCAGATGTCTCCTACAGACTCATTTTCTTGACTCCTTTGTCCCCAGCTTGTGATGCTATTTGGGAGGTTCTGGAAACTTCAGGAGTTTGGTCTAGTTAGAGGACATAGGTCACTGGGGCTGCCCCTTTGGAAGGTTATTCATGTTCCATTGTCCCTACTCCGTTTTCTCTCACCTGTGAGGTGAAGCCTCTCCTTTTCCCTGTGCGCCTATGGCCATGGTATTTTGTCCAAATGGATGTGGCTAGCCAGCTGTGGGTGGGGTCTTCTGAAATCTCCTCCCTCCCTTAGGTGCCTTCCCTCCAGTATTTTGCCACAGTGTTGAGAAAAGTAACTAACTCTCTCTGTAAATATTATGGGCTCTTAATTATTGCTGTTATTATTCACAGGATCTCATGACTGGCTTTGCTAACTGGTCATTGGTATCTCAAGAAGCATGGAGATAAGATTAGAAGTTTTGACATCAACAAGTATCAAGCAGAAAAAACCCTGGCCCAGAGTTTCCTGGTTGGGTCAAGTGAGTTTTTCTTTATTCATATACTAATGGTTTTACAGATGCTAAATGTGTTTTTCCTGTAAGATTTAGGAATATTCTGTGACATTAAACTCCCACAAAAAACAACAACACACATACACACACACAAAAACCCCAAAAGAACACATCATATTCAGAAGATCACCTGTCCCCTAGAGAGGGTTGGTTGTGTGTGTGCTAAGTTATAATATACAAGTTAGCATTTATAGAGCATTGAGTCATCTGTCTAGGTAAAAGGTTTTGTTTTCAGTTTTTTCCTTTATAACATGTTTAAAGGGAGAGTTTAATGTCCTACATGAGCCTACCAAAACAGCAAAGTGTTTCCTAATAGTGTATCTTTAAAGTAGCCTCAGGGCAAAAAAAGTAGCCTCAGGGCTAGAACAGGATAGGGGCAATAAGGCATTAATGATCCAGAATTAATTTGTGGTATAAATTATTCTTGTTCTTAATATGATTAATGATATGTGGTGTAGCCTTCACACCTTAGAGTGGGCAAGCCTACAGAAACCCTTTTAATTTACAGTGATTGGTGACTCAAATTTCAGTGAGAAGTTCTACCCTTATCCTACGTGTAACAGGAATTCGCTACTGTTTTTCTTTCAAAAAAATTTTTTTTATCTTCCGTGTATGAGTAGTTTCCTTTCATGTATGTAAGTACACTACATGCATGGTCAATTCACACAGGCCAGAAGAGGATGTCAGAGCTCCTGGCACATGGGTGCTGGGAGTCAGACCCAGGTCTCCTGGAAAAGTAGCAAGTACTCTTAACCACTAAGCCATCCTCCAGCCCAGGAGTTTTCAAATTTTACACGCATCCAAATCATTTGGACAGGTGAAATTTACTCAGTCGTAAAAAAATTTTGAAATATAGTTTGTGGAACTAGAGATAATCTTGTTAAACAAAAAGCCTGACACAGAAGGGCGAATGCTGCATGCTTTTGCTCAAAATTAAAGAAATATGCATTTAAAAGTAAGTACATATAGGATGTGAAAGGAGAACGGGAGCACGTGAGGGGAGAAAGGGTCCAGTGGGAGGTGGACAGGACAAAAGAGGACAATTGGCAGAGAAAGAAAGATAAATATGGTGTTTTTTCTCATGTTCCATCTTGACATTGTATGTGTGTGTATACATGAATAAAGCAGAAGGGGCGTTCTTGGAGTTAGGAAAGGGACAATATGAGCAAAATATGTGTGATTAATATGTTTGAAAATATTATAATGAAACCCTTGCATTGTACACTAGCTAAAGCTGGGTAATTTATGGTTTCTGTTTGTTTTCTTTTTTTAAGGTTTAGAATGTTTTAAAAACATTGCTTATATTTTTTATGTATGAGTGTTTTGATCAGATTCCATGAAAATCCCATGAGACTACATTTATAGGTAGTTGTGAATCATCATGTGGGTGTTAAAAATTGACTCAGGACCTCAGGAAAAGCAGTCAGTGCTTTTAAGTACTGAGCCATCTCTCCAGCCCTGGTAATTTGTGTGTTTAGCAGCTTCTGAGGGGTTGCTGCTTCTGGCTCCACAAACTTCATTCAAAATACCTTACTTTTTGTAGAAAAAAAAAAGATCTGTCTAAGTCAAGAGCTTATGGATTTCCAAAACCATATTCATTTTAATCTAAGACAGTATATATAAAAACTTGTCCAGCTGGGCACTGGTGGTGCAGGCCTTTAATACCAGGATTTGGGAGGCAGAGGCAGGTGGATCTCTGAATTCGAGGCCAGCCTTGTCTACAGAGAGAGTTCCAGTACAGCCGGGGCTACACAGAGAAGCCCTGTCTTGAAAAAACAACACCAAAGAAAAAGCTTGTCCATACAGATGCTCACACGAGTAGGACTTCAAGTAATTCTAGCTTGCCAAAGTGGCAAATGGCCCTAGAATATTAGCCTTTAAAGAGTTTTAAATACAGCTGTTAGATCACCGTACCCTGTAACTTTAACTTTATTATTATTTCCTGTTTTCATAGTGCTAGGTATGGAATATATAGGTACAGAATCAGGACCTCACTGCTAGACAGGCACTCTATCCCTGAGTAACACCCTACCCCAAGTGTTATTTAAAACAGAATGAAAAATGTTTAGGCTATGGGTTTAATGTTTACTTTAGACTTGTGGTATAAATTATTCTTGTTCTTAAATGTTATTTTGGTTTCCTTTCTATGGTAATTTATGTAGAGAAGATTGAATTAACTGTTGGAGACACATAAGACCTTCACGTGTTTTTCTCTCTCAGGAGAATGAAGCTGTTTTTCTGTTGGATGAGAAATTCATAAATGAGATTAATTTGCTGTCAGGAAGAACAAAGAAGAAGATTCCGAGTCTGCAGCCTTTGTTAAAGGATGTTTTTTTTCTGGCAACATCCAGGAATGGTTAAGTATTGCTGATATGTTAAAAGGCTAGCTTACTACAATTTTTCAAGAAAAAAAAGTCAGCGATAGTGTGTTAAAAGTTGCATTTTGCTTTTGAACAGATATGTGGCTGTCAGGGGTCCTCACTACAGGAGAGCTTTTCCTGTGGAACAAAGATCAAGATTGTTTGAAAATGATACAGGTGACGGAAAAGCCTAAAGAAGTTATTAAAGCTACAGTAGGTAGGCACTTTTTAAATTTTCTTTGAGACAAGACTGAAGTTTTTTTCATATTACTATTTGATAATGTATCTCTTTGTGTGCATATACATATTGTTTCTGTCTGTATAATATTTATTCTGAAATTTGATTGGTACTTTTTTGCACCTTATTTAACTTGAAGAAGCAAACCTGGCCTGCATGTCATTGCTCTGATGACAGGTTTCTAGTGTTACATAGCAGTGCAGGTTTTGTGGTGCACGTCTGTAATCCAAACAGTTCGGGAGACCGGGGCAGAAGGACCAGAAGCCTGAGTGTTGCTTGGACTGCAGATTGAGCTGAAGGTCGGCTTGAGTGGCCCAGTGTAACCCTGTCTCAAAATAAAAAGTAAAAAGGATGCTAGGAGTGGGTCTCAGTGTTAGAGCCCTTGCCTAGGCTGCACAATGCCGTCAGTTCAATCCCTCCTACATTATTAGTGCTGGGCTGTGAGTTAGAGGCCAAGAGTGGTTCCAGGACAAGCAGAGCTGCTGAGAAATTCCTCAAAAAACAAACAAGCAAAGTAGTAAATGTTATTGTTGTTTGTACTTTCATTATTAATGCTTTAGTTTTAGCATTCTAAGTGATAACACAGCTTGAGTTTCTTACTGCAAGGGTAGTTAACTTGCCTGGCAAGCATTTGGATGCTGAGGTAGGAGGATCACAGAGAGACCTTATTTTATACAAGCCAAAAAGGAAAAGAAAATTATGTACTTTCATGAAAAATTCAGATTTTGAAAGTTTAACTTTTCTGTTTTTTTTTCTTTCTGTTAATTAGAAAGCTCTTCAAGACTATACTTATATGTAGCTGAAAATGGGAAAAAAGTTCTGCTTATTACATCTTCTGGCTGCATACTTCTGTGGGAATATTTGGAATTGAAGAATATTTTATCTTCTAAAAGCCTCCCATTGGTCGGTCAGTGGTCCCAAATCATACCCGAAGAGGCAGTTTTATTGCCTTCCACTCAAGATAAAGAAGCTGTAGTGGACGCTGTTTTTGTCAGAAATGAGGTAAAATCCACACGAGAAACTATGAAGTAGATAGAGTTCTTAGGCTTTAAGAACGGCCCGATCTGAGAAACGTTAGTCAGGGGAATAGCACACCTGTTTGTCACTAGTCAGAGCAGGTGTAAAACTGCTGTTTGGAAGAGGTGATTTTAAGAATAGTTTCAAATTAAAACTTTTTTCCCTTAGTATAATATGACTCGTAGTGAGCCTGGTAGTGAGTTTGATGGTTCATACCTGCAACCCAAGTGAGGCAGATGAGCAAAAGCTAACCAAAGTTCAAGACCAGCCTGGTTACATATTGAGCTCCAGGCTGTCTTGGCTATATAGCAAGGCTTTGTCTTGAACAACCAAGTTAAAATCAAATGTTCTATAAGTTAATAAACTAGAACTGGTGGTGTTCCATAAGTTATTAAATTCTCAGGATATAATAGATGCATTGTTTAAAATTTTTAAATAACTTTATGTAGTCTCTATGTATGAACTTTCATCTGTTACATAGTCCACTTTTCTTAGAAATTGTATTTTGAAGTTAGGCTTGGTGGTACATACCAATCTCAGCACTATGGAAATAGAGGCAAGATGGTCAGTTCAGACCAGCCTGGCTGCTCTTTTAAAAAGAAAAATCACCTGGCCCTTAGTTTCAGCATTGGGGAGGCAGAGTCAGATCTCTGTGAGTTCGAGGCCAGACTAGTCTACAGAGAGAGTTCCAGAACAGCTAGGACTGTTACACAGAGAAATCCTGTCTTGAGCCCCACTCCCCCCCCCACAAAAAAAAATTGCATTTTGAAATTTTATTGATTCTTCCCAGTATGGTGATATTCTAATATAGATAATATAAAACTATAAAAGAAGAGAATTTTATAGGAAGTTTCCCAGCAACAATAAATAGTATATTTTTATACTAATATTTGAACATATTAATGAAGTGGCATATAGTAGTTTTATACATTTGTATATTATAGTCAAGTCAGGGTAACAAGCATTTTCATGTCCTCAGGCATTAGATACATGTTGGGAATTTTATTCTCTTTGAGTTATTTTGATAATATTTTTGTTACCTTATTTTTTTTTCAAAGATCTTTTTATTTTATGTCTGCATGTATGACTTTTAGCCAGAAGAGGGCGTAAGATCCAAGTATAGAGAGTGTGAGCCACCATGTGAGTGGTGGGAATTGACTAAGGGCCTCTGGAGGAGCAGCCAGTGCTTTTAACTGCTGGGGCATCTCTCTAGCCCCTTTTATCTTATATTTTATATCATCAATTGTAATATAACATGGTCTGCAGTTACCCTGTGGTGCTATAGGAATACCAATACGTGTCCCTTGTTCAACTTGAGTGTAAAGAGGATGCCGAAGGTCCCAAAAGAACTCCTCTGTGTCCTTAGGCTGATTTTCCATTTGGACCTTGTATCTGGCAAATAAAAAATTACATAGCCTTTAGCTTACTATGAAGAATGAAAATAGAAGCAGGGTCCCAATATATTGTATTTATATGAGACATATCAGTTTATTTTCAGATTAATTGTATACTAAACTATTAAATTTATCTGCAGTTACTTGGCGACTGCTGCCTGTGTTCTTTTACTTTCTATTCTGGAGAATGCTTGAAGTTAGCATTTCTGGTCATTCAGTGGTCTGAGAATGTATTGACGTCTGTAAGGTGAGGTAAATATTTTCCTTTCTCTTCTTTCCCACTTTTAAACAAGCATTGTCATTTGTCGTTGACAGTTTGTATTTAAGATTTTCAGGTCTTAATTTCAGTTTTTAAAACTTTGTAGACCTTCCCTTCCACCTTTCACTTTTAAACATTAAATCTAGAAAGGTTCTCTTGTTTTTATTTTCCTAGAAGGGAAAACATGTATGAGATAGCATAGCTCGTGGAGTATTTTTCTTGTTACCTTGGTCCTGCCTCAGGTGATGTGACGGACTTTGTTGACTGTCATGGGAGGCCTCACCCTCTCTGAGTAGTGGATGGGGAGTGGGGTGGGAGGAAAGTAGGGGGAGGCGGGAGGACGGGAGGGAAAGGGAAATGAGATTGGTATGTAAAATAAAGAAAATTAAAAAAATAAAAATAATAATAAAAATTACTTTGAGATGAATTGAACTTTAAAGAGGGCAAGAATATTTGGATTTACTACTGTTGTGCCTTCAAATGCTCAACTGTTTTGTTTTGTGTATTTGGACAAGGTCTCACTATGTAGCCCTGACTATCCTAGAACTCTGTGTGATCTTGCTGGTCTTGTACCCAAGAGATATTCTTGTCTCTCTATCCCAAATGCTGGAGCCACCAGAACTATCCTCAAGTAGTTTTTGTTTGTCCATTTGTTTTTTAATAGTAAAATAGTTTGCAATCTAAGCCTCATAAAATAGAGCAAAATATATTAAAAGCTTATAAAACTTAAGTATAGTTTAGAAAAATAATGTGTTGTGAATAATCCTCTTGTACACTGTAGAGATTTGTCTCTTGAATTGGTTTAATAAAGTGTTGATTGTCCAGTAACCAGGCAGGAAGTATAGGTGGAGCGACCAAACTAAGGATGATGGGAAGGAGAAGGGCAGAGAGAATAGACCCAGTCAGCTGCTAAGCAAGTAGGACATGTGTAAAATGAGGTAACAAGCCTTGAACCACGTGTCAAAGCATAAATAGAAATATGGGTTAGTTTAAATGTAAGAGTTAGCTAGAAACAAGCCTGAGCTATCGTCCAAGCATTTACAATTAGTATAAGCCTCCAAGTGTTTATTTGGGACTAGGTGGTCAGGACAAAAGCCTCCATTTACATATGGTGCCCAGCATGGGTACCAGTAAAGAGGGGTTCAAGTCAGGTTTGTTTGTTTATATTTTATGTGGTACATTGGCGTTTTGTCTGTATATGTGAGGATGCGATCCCCTGGAACTAGAATTACAGGCAGTTGTGAGCTGCCATGTGGATGTTGGGGATTGAACCTAGGTCCTCTGGAAGAGCAGCTGGTGCTCTTAACTGTTGAGCTGGCTCTCCAGCCCCCTCAAGTCAGGTTTATTAACAGGTGCAAACAATACAGTGCACTCATGATACGTCACTGCTAATTCCGCTGCTGCTCCTCTCATTCCAAGGATGGGCCATGTGAAAAGTTCGAGGAAGGTCACCAAGCTGTGGCTTCAGCAAGCCCTGCACAGTCCAAGAGAGTGTGCTAAGGACGAGGCTCACTTGAGTTCAGGAGTTCAAGGCCAGTGTGAGTCATATATTGAGACCTCATCTAAAAAAACATATACATACATCAAAAATAAGTAAATAAAATCATTAAACCTTGCTGGGCATTTGTGATATATTCCATTGATTCCAGCACTTGGGAGGCAGAGGCAGGTGGATCTCTGAGTTTGAGGCCAGCCTGGTCTACAGAGCTAGTTCCAGGACAGCCAGGTCTGATACACAGAAGAACCCTGTTGAATCTTCCTTTCATAATTCCATGACTTTCTTAGGTCATTGCCTTTCCGTGTTCACTGGGCACAGCAGGAATGTGTCCTGTGCAGTCTGACTCCCAAGTGTGAGGCAGTGAAGTCAAGAGGAGCTCTGATCTCGGCCTTCTCAAGAGATGGTCTTGCCTTGGCAGTGACTCTTAATCAGAAAGACCCAAAGGTCAGTAACAAGCGCCTGTCCTTACTACTACTGTATGTTCCTTAAAGTGACCTTTTTAGCCCATCGTGGTTTGGTAAAGTTATAAAAATCAACTGTCATGGTTTTCAAAAGCTGTTCTGAAGAGCTGTAAAATTAAAAAGCTTATCTTGGTGGCAAATGCCTGTAATCCCAGCACTCTGCACACTGGAGCAGGAGGATTTGAGGTCAAGGCCAGCCTGGGCTACATAGGAAAACCCTGTCTCAAACACAATAAAACAAAGTAACAAGTGAAAGGGTGAAGGAGAAGGAGGCATGTGTTCTAACCCAGCTGTTGGCAGGGCTGGGGCCGGAGGATTTCAAGTGTAAGGCTACTCTGAACAATTTTAGAGTCAAGAACTGTCAGTACTTCCTGGCTAAGACTACTACTTACTTGGTATAATAACAGCTCTCTCAGCCTCCAGTAAGTAATACACACAGAAGATACCGTCATTGCTTATGTCATGTTTTCCCCCTTCTAGGCAACTCGGGTATTGTTTATAAACACACTGAATTTTGTTACTCTCTGTGGTGACCTTAAAGGATGCAGTAATAAGAATCCTGTGGTCCCTGCTGCACTTATCAGGTAAGAATACATATGCTTATTTCTAAGGAGGGCTTTTGAAGTTTGAAGCTCTAGTAAGTCCACAAATAACATTTAGATTAAAGAATGTGACTTACCTTTATACTTGGGTAATTCTAAAAGTTGCTTTATATAAAGAAAATCTCAGATACTTTTAAAGAAAGGGTAGTGTAGAAAATACAAGTCTTTTTCATTGTTTTTCCCATCTTCTCAGGAATGGGGCTGTGAGTAGGTCGAGCAATCTGAGACTTTGTTAGGGAGGGTAAGATAAAATTTCAAGAGCGGAGACCACCATTCATTCAGGTAGGCTAGAGTGTTCATAGATTTTTAAACGCTTACATTCATTCATGGTGATTTTGGGATAACACATGAGCTATAAGGCATATACAAATTAGGTGTGCTGACATACACCTTTAATTCCAGCACTCCAGAAACAGAGGCAGGGGAATCTCTGAGACTTTGAGGCCAACCTGTGTACATAGCAAGTTCCAGAACAGCCAAGAGAGATCCTGTCTTCAAAAAATAAAAGGAAAAGACCTGTACAAGATTGGAGTACAAAGATTTCTTTCTTGAGCACCTAGCCTCTTGTTTCTGAACACTTTCTGTGCCTTTCTCTGAATTTCCAGAGAGGTCAGGTCATCATCTAGCTGCTTCCCCCCCCCACCCCCCCCACCCCCCCCACCCCCCACCCCCCCCACCCATTCCTTTCCAAGAGCAGCGTTGTTCTCAGCTCAGTGGTCCCTTTGACTATCTATGGTCTTGTCAGATGGGAGGGGAGCTGCTCCTTGTTCTGGTGTTACATTGATGCTGCCAAGGAGTAGTAGTAGTAAGGAGTAAGGAACAGCTTTGGGAAGAGGAGGTGTGCTGTGTGGGGACAGAATCTATCATAGTTGTGGTTATAGAGATTACGGTTCATTCGATTAAAAGACAACGAAGCCAGGTGTGGTGGCGCACACTTTTAATCCCAACACTCAGAAGGCAGAGTCAGGCAGATCTCTGAGTTTGAGACCAGCCTGGATAGCAAGTTCCAGGACAACCAAGGCTTTTATACAGAGAAACCCTGTCTCAGACCCCTCCCTGCCAAAAATGACTTGACTAATTGGCTCAACTTGGGTAATATTTTTATTTCTGAATTACTTATGATTTGTAATGGAATATTGTTGGAGTCGATATATGTAAGCCTTTTTTCCCTACAAAGTAAAATTAACAAAATTTATGTGACAGTAGCCTACTATCCAGTCCTTTCTAAATCTGTTATTTGTCTTTCTAGGTCATACTGGGTAGGTGACATCAGCTGGACACATGACAGTCTTTTTTTGGCTTGTGTGTTAAAACGTGGATCCCTGATTTTATTGACCTGCCTAGGTGAATTGCTAACATTAGTTACACTTGGTTGCTCTATAGAATTTGGGCCAGCTGAATTTATTCCTCTTCATCCACTAATAACATATAGGTGAGACATTTGAATTGGTTTGTTTTTCAGAACTTATTTTCTTTGGTAGTTAATTTTATTATGTATTTTTACAAAAACAATTTCATCCCCAAATTTGTGTTTTTCTTCTGTGAGTCTATCATGTCAATATCTGTTTCTTATCTGTTCCTAATTATTTATAGTTTTCTTCCTATTTCTTTTTGTGGCTTAATCCTGGTGAAAATTTGCCATTGTGACTATGTAAGTATAAAGTTATTTAAATATTTAATAGTACTGAGAGCATATCTTTACTATAAAAGATAATAAAACATGATACTATTTTAAAAGTGGAGCACTGAAATAATTTAAGTAGCTCACAATTAACATATTAAAGGGCAGAAACAGTAATAGACTGCAGGGTTTGGCCATGTTTGGATTTTAGTTGTGAAAGAAGGTAGCAGTTTGACTCTGTAGTCAGATAAATCAAGTTCCAATTCTTAGTTTTTTTCTATTTCCCGGTTGTGTATGAGAATAAATTGTTCTTTAAGCCTCAATTTCTTTTCTTGTGAAACGAGTGACAGTGATTGTCTTACAGTGTTGAGGGAATGAAATGAGAGTCTGCGTTATTATATGTGGTTCTCATGTCAGATAAGTGCTGGGTAACGGTTTGCTGTGCATAGCTAGATGTGTATAGAGAGCGATTTTAAAAGTTAATTTGTCTTAAAAAAAATTGTGTAGAGGTCGCTGCAATGTCAGTGGCGACCTCAGATGCCCCGGGAGCTGGAGGTTGTGACTGACCTGGTTGCTGGGAATAAGACCCCCAATCTTCTCACAGAGCAGAAAAGTTCTTATCTGCTGAGTCATCTCTACAGCACTAAGAGCTATTTTTCCTTTTTTTTTTGGTTTTTCGAGACAGGGTTTCTCTGTGGCTTTGGAGCCTGTCCTGGAACTAGCTCTGTAGACCAGGCTGGTCTCGAACTCACAGAGATTCGCCTGCCTCTGCCTCCCGAGTGCTGGGATTAAAGGCGTGAGCCACCATCGCCCGGCCTATTTTTTCATAGAAAAATTGGAAATGGCTTTTGAAATTTTGTAGGAAGGAAACTGACATGGGCACATCCTTGATTATGTTTAGCAAAAAAAAAAAAAAAAGCTTAATTTTTAGTGACAGATTAGTGCTAAGAGAAAACTGTCAATTCTTGCAGAGAAGGTGTGAGTCTTTTGTTTTTTTAACCTTAATTTTTTATTTTACTTTATTTTTTATGTTTATGGGTTTTTTGCCTGCATGTTGTCTGAACTCTATGTTTTCAGTGCCCAGGAGGCCAGATGAGGGTTAGATCACTCTGGGACTGGAGTTACACACAGAGAGTCGTGAACCTCCATGTGGGTGCTGAGGCTAGAACTTGGGCTCTTAATTTGTATTTACTGGAATTTCCTCACAATCTCCTTTAAAGTTACTTTTTTAAGGCTTTTCAAATTGATGGCTTTTTTTCTAATAGATATTCATTATTTGAAAAAATAAAATTTGAAAATCACAACACATTATTAAATAGTAAAAATTGGTTCTTACAATGCTAGTCCTCAGAGCTAACAATTAGGGTATCATCTTCTACACATTAAAGGTACTCATATTGCATTTATAATAATAGAAATATGTTAGTTTCAACATATGATAAATTACATAAAATGTATTGTTTGTTTTTTAACTATTTTTTAATTTTAATTTAATTTTATGTTTATTTTTTGGCTTTTTGAGTTTTCAAGACATGGTTTCTCTATGTAACAGCCCTAACTGTCCTGGAATTCGTTCTGTAGACCAGGCTTGCCTCTGATTCACGGATGCTGGGATTAAAGGCGCCACCACCACCCCACCCAGCATCCTCACTTGTTTGTGCAGTGCTAGAGATCAGACTCAGCTGTGCACACAGTAGGCAACTGCTGTATCAGCAGGCCTCCCGATTTGTGTTAACAGTTCTCTAGTCTGAAAAGTTACCATATATTAGTAAGTCTCCTTTTATATTTATAAAACATTAAATGTAATAAGCAGCTGTATTGTGTAATCAGGGTCGATATCTCATACACACACACACAAACATACGACTCATTTAATTTTAAACTCATAGAATGTTACTCACCAGTATATTCTCCAAATGTCCTATTTCTTTCCTTTTTTGTTCTTAATAACTATTGTACTAATTATCATTCTTATAATTCTGTTCTTTACATATTTTAGAAGGAAAACCAGCCACTTAACTCTTTAATAATAAAAGTAAGATGTCATGATTCTTAAACAAGTTGAATACAGTTTAAAAAAACCAAAGCATAATAAATGCCACAAATTTCTGAAAAAAACTGGAAACATATAAAGACATATATTTGGTCACTGTTATTTTTCCTGGAAGACAATTATACAGTTTTAATATTTCTGTGTCTGTTCATCTGCTTGCATTCTCATCATTCTATGATGTTTATTTGCCATTTTTGAATAATATGATTACTTTCTTTAAGATCCTTCTCTTGCTGATTCTTGACTTTTCATATGTGTTTGCTAGACCACAACAGTTTACATTTCAAGATTCAAATAATCCTGTAGACTCATCAGCTTCTGACAGTGACCCCCTGAGACAGAGGTTTTCTGTAAAAGCACATTCACGACTACCCTACCTTATTATTTCTGATGGATACATGGTCACGACCCTTCGGTTTCTTGATAACCAGTCTCCAACAGCGCTCATGAGGTCGTTGCTAATTGATTCCACCCAGAGGCTTGAGAAAGCATCCCAAAGTATGATGCTATCTAAGGTACAGTGCCTTCTGGTATCTGTGGTAAAAGTGCCTTCTTGTTTCTTTCAAAGTTAAAGCACTAGAAGTTTAAATTGCTTTAGAATTACAGATAAAGTTTTGCGTTTAGAAATCATTTGTCTTTTTTTCCATAGCCAAAGGACAAAGGGCTGAACTTGCGATCACTGGATTCCTTAAGGTCTAGCCTGTTGAAGCATCAAGGAAAGGAGGGCTTAGTTCATGGCACCGTCCCTAGGTTTCTGCAAGCAGAAGAAACAATGAAGTTAAGTGAAACTACTGATGTTCAGGTACCTATTAGTATCTACTGACTTTATTCTGAGAAACTTACTGGTTTTGTTGTTGTTGTTGTTAAAGGATATAGAAACTTGAGAACAACACAGTGATCCTATGCATAAGGCTTGAATGGTATTTAATATAATTTTCCCCTTGTGTTTAGGATTCTGAAGGAGAAGAAGCTAGTGAAGTTGAACAATTTCCAAACAACTCATTTCCTTTTTGTAACCAAAGAAAAGATCTACGGTTTAGCATTATCAAGGAAGGAAGATTGGAATTTGCATCTATGTTTGATACAGTTCATGCAAAGGATGATTCCAAGGAGACAGACAGAGCCATCGCAGAACTGCATTGTATACAGAAAAAACTACTTGCAGCGTGGACTATAGGCATTTCAAAAAATGTAGCAGAGAAAAACTTAATGTTAAATTACACAGTACTTTGCCTCACTCATTTCTTCTATATTCTCCAGTTTATAAAATGCCCTTTGCCTAAGTTTGACCTGTTTGTAAATAAGAGTGTGAAGCATAATGCATGGGTACTTTGTATCTTTCAACTTTTCCATCAGTGTTTATCAGTCCACTATTGGGATATGAGATACAGACAAGATATTGGCCATTTGATAAAGCTGACCTCAAATACTGTAAAGCTTTTACTGACTCATCAACAAAAAAACGGGCTCTTCTCAGAGAAGCTTTTAGCCTGCCTTTCTTTACTCCGAATGGTAGCTGACCATGTAAATGGCGTCTGTAGTCTTCAGCCTGAGGCCCTTTCAGCATCAGCTGGTGAAAGAACAGCTGCGCTGGACTCATTAATAGTCCCTATTTGTCAAGCTTCTAAGGAAAGTTGGTCCTGGAACTCATCTTTAAATATTTATCCTCAGGTCACAAATCTTGCTCAAAAGCCAGGTCACAGGTATGAATACTAATTTTATTACTGAAACACTATGGATTTCTTATGATGTAGTAAGAAGTGTGTAATTGGTAGTTTTTAGTATGTTTATAAGGTTTTAAACTGTTAGTACTAATCCCAGAGTAGTTTTTCACTCCAGAAGTTACAGGCAGAGCTGCCCAGTGTGGGTACTAAGATGTAAACTCAAGTTTTCTGGAAGAGCTGCAGATCCTCTTAATCCCTGTGGTGTCTTTCCAGTCTCTCTATATAAATTTTGTCAGCCAAAGATTGTTTCAATTTTTTTTAATGAACATTAAGGACATTTATTTTTAAATCTTGGGCAGCCATAATGATCTTGAAAATATAAAATAAAAGTTAAGTATATAATGGAAAATGTATATAGGTGCGTAAAACGTTTGTGAAAATCTTGTGGTCCTTATGTGCATTGGCCCCTGGACCATGATCATTAGCTTGGTCAGTCTGTTCTGTCGCATTTGTGAAGAAATCAAGCAAGACACTGCCTGCGAAGGGAGCTAAACTTGTTTTCATTACTCTTGAAATTTGGTTTTGACAGTTATCTTATTTCCTGTACAGATTGGTTGCTCTTTGGAGGCTATTGTACAAAAAAACTTTATGGTATCAAGCACAATTAAGCCAAAGAATTCCTGAAGGTGACAGACAGTTACCTGAAAATGTAACACATGAAGTATCTTTTGTCAAGACTCTGTTATGTCATCTCCAAACTAACCTGCAGATGGCTGGGGATAGCTTGCCTCAAGCCTTGGAACTTACACCTATCAATGGTCAGTATCTTATAAACAGTTTCTAGCTCCTTGGATATGTGAAGTGACTAAGTAGGTTTTTGTTTTCAAAATGATTTTTAGAATAATTTCAGGCTGGATATGTAGCTACTGAATTTTAAAGCAAAGTAAACATTTAAAAGTTATGTAATCAACTGTAACTAACTGTTTGGTAAAATCATTCTTAGGTGAAGAGTGCTTTCTGTTAGGATCCTATGAAAGATCAGTTCATCTGTGGAAGAAGGCTCTACAAGAAACACAAGAGAAAGGTAAGGGACATTTTTTTTTAAAAGGTAGCACTGTATTGGTGAGAATATAGCTTAATTTTCTGCAGAATTTAAAAATATTAAGGCTCAGAGTGTTCACACCTTGTTACTGTTCAAGTAAGATGCAGATTGGAGGGAACTTGAATATCAGAAGTACTGTACTGTATTTTAAATTATTTTTAAAATCTTTTTTTTTTAAATATTTATTTTATTTATTTATTATGTATACAATATTCTGTCTTTGTGTATGCCTGCAGGCCGGAAGTGGGCACCAGACCTCTTTACAGATGGTTGTGAGCCACCATGTGGTTGCCGGGAATTGAACTCAGGACCTTTGGAAGAGCAGGCAATGCTCTTAACCACTGAGCCATCTCTCCAGCCCTATTTTTAAAATCTTTTCAATGCTCTCTAGTTGTTTCCTGCCCACTCCACCCCCACCTTATTTAATGATAAAACCTGCAGTTGAATGTTAATGGAAAATAAATGAGATTTATATCCTAAACCTGTTCTTCCTTTTAGAGACTCCCTAAATGGGAAATTATCCATCAGGTACTCTGCCACACTCCTACAGACATTGAGAGAACCATGGAGCTAAGCCTTCTGGCCTTTAAGAGATTAGAGAGTTTCAGGTTGAACAAAGAGTTGGAGTTACGTATGATTTGTACGGGGCTTTTGTAATAACATAGGATTCTACATTCCAGAAACTGATGGCGTCTTTGAAGGTGTGACAGAGTTGATAAAAGTTCCGAAGTGGCTTCTCTGTACCTGGCCTGAGTGTAGCTGCTGCCTGGGCACAGCGCCATGCTTTACATTATTTCCTGACAGCGTTAGCTTCACACACTTCCCTTTTACATCTGTGTAGTGTTCTCAGTGCTTGCTGTAGCCCAGCTCTGCACAAGGCAGTAGAGATACCAGAAACTTACCTTTGTTACTGTCACTCGTGTGGGCTGGGAGCACAAGAAGAGCACCCCACAGTCTGAAGGTATGGTCAGCTCCAGGGAACCGTGGAGGGGCTGATGTTTAAAGCTGAGTTGAAATTGGACAGTGAAAATGGTAGGATCGAGCTGAATGGTGGTGGCGCACGCCTTTAATCTCAGTACTTGAGAGCAGAGGCAGGTGGATCTTTGTGAGTTCGAGGACAGCCAGGGCTACACAGAGAAATATATCTTGAAAAACAAACAAACAAACAAAGCTGGTAGGATGGTTTAACAGAGGAGGTACATTTGCCATGAATTTAGGTCAACTGAGTCACATCTTTATCCCTGCATCATAAAAAGGTGTCACAAGTTTCTGGGATCTAGAGAAACCAAAAGCCTGAGAAAGTATAAGAATTTGGCAAAGTGCAAGTGTGATTTATGCATGCAATATTAGTGGCAGGTCAGTAGTGAGTCAGGGAAGAGTAGTGAAGGAAGGTCTTATGTGGAGTGCTAAGAACAGACAGTGGGATCAGATAAGATTTACACAAACAAAAAACAAAAGCAACAACAGCAAAAACCCATGGTCTCATTTTGCAGCTCTGACTGGTCTGGTACTTACTATGAAGACCAGGCTGCCCTTGAACTCAGTGATCTGCCTACCTCTGCCTCCTGAGTCCTGGGATTTTAGGCCAATGTTTTAAATTACATTTATTTATTTGTGTGGAGGGATACGCATTTGCTTCAGCAATACAAGAGAATGACTTGTAGGAGTTGGTTCTCGCCCTCCACCACGTGGAGACTGGGGCTCAAATTCAGGTTATCAGGCTTCTTTGCCCATAGAGCTACCTAACTGACCAAGACACATTTTGTAAGGAAAAGACTGTTCAGATAAATACACAAGGTCCCTGATTTACGATAGCTTAACTTAAACTTTTAAACTTTGCGATGGCATGAAAGCCATGTGTATTCGTGTTTTGCTGAGCCAGAAGTAATGCTGTGTGAGGTATGTGGCTTCTATTGCTGTGAAGAGACACCATGACCACGGCAACTCTTAGAAAGGAAAACATTTAACTGGGGCTGGATTACAGTTCAGAGGTTCAGTCCATGCTCATCATGGTGGCACATGGTAGTATACAGGCAGACATGGTGCTGGAGAAGGAGCTTTGAGTTCTACATCTTGATCCACAGGCAGCAAAAGGAGACTGTGTACCACACTTGGCATAGCCTGAGCGTATCAGACCTCCAAGCCTGCCCCCACAGTGACAAACTTCCTCCAACAAGGCCATATCTCTTAATAGCACCTCTCCCTCTGGGCCAAACATTCAAATACATGAGTCTGTGGGGGCCATTCCTACTCCCACCCCCACAGTATACAATGCTGAAGAACAGCAGTGAATCTCCGCTTCAGTCAGCTGCATGACCACAAGGGTAGCAGCGGATACTCCGTGGTGTACTGTGTTGTACGTAGATCAAGTATATAATTGCATTTTTAAATGATTTATTTATTTTTGTTTAATGTATATGAGTGTTTTGCATGTATGTTTGTGCACTATCTATGTGTCTGATACCTTTAGTGGTCAGATGGTGTTAGATCCCCTGGAACTAGAGCTACAGAGGGTTCTGAGGTTCCATGCGGGTGATAGGAACCCATCCAATGGCTCTTTGCAAGAGCAGAAAGTGCTTCTTAATACTGATCTATCTTGCCGGGCGGTGGTGGCGCACGCCTTTAATCCCAGCACTCGGGAGGCAGAGGCAGGCGGATCTCTGTGAGTTCGAGACCAGCCTGGTCTACAGAGCTAGTTCCAGGACAGGCTCCAAAGCCACAGAGAAACCCCGTCTCGAAAAACAAAAAAAAAAAAAATATTGATCTATCTTTCCAGTTCACATACATCCTTTGATTTATGATCTCTTCTGTTTATGATGGGTTTGTTGGGAAATAGCCCTGTTATACATCAGGGTTCTTTTATAGTTCATTTAGGAAGGTCACTTTGATGCATTTGTGGATGGAAGAGTGAGTTGCACATAGAAGCAAGCTTATTATTCAGCTGGGAAGACTGAACCAAAGCCACATCAGTGTTAATGGAATGTAGTTCTTATTTAACAGGTACATAGCAAGTTTGATCAATGGAAATTGTGATCGAGTGGATTCTCATTTTTGAGAACTGGTTAACCGGATAAAGGAGAGGAAGTCAGTAAATTAGGAAGTTTTAGATGAAAACAGCTTCCTTAATGAGTCCACTATGAGCATTTTGTTTACAACTATACCCATGGGTGTGGTTTCTAAGAGTGGGTGCTCACATGAGCAGTAGCCTCAAAGAGAGTGCCTTAGGACGGACTGGAGGCGGGCAGACTCAGCTGATGTGGTGTTTGACTGGGCTCCTTTAGCGTCTCTGCTCTATTAGTAGAAAGGCTGTTTTGTGGGCCTGTGTTCCAGCCATCACATCCATGCGACTGGCCGCTGGTGGGAGAAAGGTGCACCGCCTGACTGAGTTAACTCCTGTAGGGGAGTCTGTAATATGTGCTCAGTATTATGTCCTGGATCACATGAGTGTTTGTAGTAATCCCAAACAAGATTGAGATTCTTTCACTGAGAACTTGAGATAGCAATCAGCAGACCTTCATGCTCTGATGGTGACAATTTGCGTCTCTTCAGGTAAGAGGGCCTCTCATCTGAGGGCCCACTGAAAGAACTTCAAATGAAAAGATCAGGGTATTATTGACTTGTTTTTATTTATTATTATTATTTATTTATTTGAGGTCAGATCTCACTTTGTAGCCCTGTCTAGCCTAGAACTCTGTGTAGACAAGGTTGGACTCAACTTGAGAAATCTTGAATCTTCCTCTGGGTACTGGGATTCAAGACTGCACAGCCATGTTCATGCTGCCCTGATTTTTAGATAAGTTCTTTATTGAAGTATAAAACAGATGCAGAAAACATCCATGTCGTGATTGTGTAATGATGCATTTTCACAATTACCACATTTCTGTCTACATGGCACTAGCCGGAGAGCACTCACCTGGTACCACACTGTCAGTGAATTCTGTTCTGTTTTAGGAGGAAGAAGAACGAGCTTTCTTCAGTCACGGTACTATCTCTCTCTCCTGTACTGCCACCTCTACTGCTATAATTTGAATGATGCTCAAGGATTATGTGATCACCTAGTAAGAGACATACTCAGCTGGTCCCAGTTACCTGTAAAAGAAAGTAAAGATTGCTCAGGTATACTTTTTAAAATTCAGTATATTCTCTCTTTCTCTCATTATTTACTTATCTGTCTATCTACCTATTTATTTATTGTGGCTCTCTGAGACAGGGTTTCTTTGTGTAACAGCCCTAGCTATCCTGGAATTCACTTTGTAGACCAGACTGACTTTGAACTCAACAGAGATCCGCTTGCCTCTGGCTCCCAGGTGCCAGGATTAAAGATGTGTGCTACCACCACCCGCCTTCTTTTTCTACTTTGAAACAGGGTCTTGCTGTGTTTCTCTCTGACTTTCTTGGTACTCATGTAACCAGCCCCATGCTGGTCTGAGCATCATGAGTGCTGGGATTATAGGCATGTCCCATCCCATTAGTTTAATAGTTTAATAGCGTTAATTTTTATTTATGGGTTTAGAGAAAAATAGTTTATACACAAAAATTGTCCTGCCTTTACAGTGACTGTTATTGACTGTTATTCTGTGTGGATTTTGGAACGTCAGCTTCTCAGTGGAGTATAGCACAGCTGTTCTTTGGATTTATTGAAGAACTCATTAAAGTTGCTTCTCTCGAGGAGTCACGATATGTTCACTTGCTCCTGAATTCCTTGCAAAGGTTATCCGTCTCCCACTTTGTGGGCTTCTTCCTCACTCACTTGATTGTTTCATTTGCTGTGTAGAGGCTTTTCAGTTTCTGAAATTTCAATTACCAATTATTAACTTTAATTCCTGAGAAAATGAAATTGTATTCAGAGAGTTCTTCCCTGCACCCGTGTCCTGTAGGCACTGCCGAGTTTCCTTCCCTGTCTTCCCTGCACCCGTGTCCTGTAGGCACTGCCGAGTTTCCTTCCCTGACCAAAAATCCCAGCTTTCTGGAGGCAGAAGTTCAAAGCCATCCTGGCCCACACAGTGAGTTCCAGGAGCCAAGAAACCCTGTCTCTAACCAATTAAAAAGTAACCCCACCAAACACACCAATCCCCACAACACAGACCAAAAGAAACTTGTGTTTATTGTGAAGGGAAACCGGGGCAGGAACTAAAGGCGGCGACTGAAGCAGAGGCCCTGGAGGGCCTTCTTACTGCCTTGCTCAGCATACTTTCTTTTGTATGACTTCTGTCCCAAGGTGGCTCTGTCCACAGTTGACCTGCGTCCTCCTCCATCAGTCTTTAGCCAAGAAAAGGTCCCCACAGACATGCCCATAGGCAATCTGATGGATGCATTTTTCTTTCTTTTTTTTTTTTTTGCTAAATATTTATTTATTATGTATACAATATTCTGTCTGTGTGTATGACCGCAGGCCAGAAGAGGGCACCAGACCCCATTACAGATGGTTGTGAGCCACCATGTGGTTGCTGGGAATTGAACTCAGGACCTTTGGAAGAGCAGGCAATGCTCTTAACCTCTGAGCCATCTCTCCAGCCCCCGGATGCATTTTTCTTAATTGAGATTTCTTTTCCTAGATAACTCTAACTTGTATTAAATCGACAACAATAACAACAAAAAACTAATTAGGATACAGCATTTACTGAAGGTGATGTCTTTCTCAAGTTGTATTTTTGCCATCTCTGTTAAATATTGGTTGGTTGTAATGTTGTACTTAGGTTTGGCCTGTCCTGTTTTGTTGTTCTATTTGTCTTCTTTGTATTGTTTTTATTACTATAACTGTAATACAGCTTGAAGTTTGATATGGTAATCCTTCCAACATTGTTTTTGCTCACGATTTCTATTTCTATCTGAGGTCTTATTATTGTGTCTATATGAATTTTAGTGCTTTTTTCCTTCTCTATTTTTGTAAAGAACATTATGACTATTTTTTTAAAATATTTATTTATTTATTATGTATACAACATTCTGCCTTGATGTATGCCCGCACGCCAGAGCAGGGCGCCAGATCTCAGTACAGATGGTTGTGAGCCACCATGTGGTTGCTGGGAATTGAACTCAGGACCTCTGGAAGAGCAGCCAGTACTCTTAACCTCTGAGCCATCTCTCCAGCCCCCCATTATGACTATTTTGATTGAGATTGTGTTAAATCTATAAATTGATTTTGTCAGGATTGTCGTTTTTACAATATTTTACCAATACCATGAATGTGGGAGATCTTTCTATCTTTTTTTTTTTTAAATATTTATTTATACAATGTTCTGTCTGTGTGCCTGCATGCCTGAAGAGGGCGCCAGACCTCATTACAGATGGTTGTGAGCCACCATGTGGTTGCCGGGAATTGAACTCAGGACCTTTGGAAGAGCAGGCAATGCTCTTAATCACTGAGCCATCTCTCCAGCCCCCCATTATGACTATTTTGATTGAGATTGTGTTAAATCTATAAATTGATTTTGTCAGGATTGTCGTTTTTACAATATTTTACCAATACCATGAACGTGGGAGATCTTTCTATCTTCTAATATCCCTTTCCGTTTCTTTACCTTCTTGGTTAGGTTTGTTCCATATATATATATTTTGAGGTTATTGTGAATGTATGACTGCTGTATTGTAATCAATGTATAAAAAGGCTACTTTTTTTTAAAGGGGAAAATGAGAATTTAATTTCTGAAATAACAGCAATTTATCCATTGTACCTATTACTGTATTATGCAAATCAACCTTTTGGAAAATTTAGACAAGAAGGGAACTGTCTAGTTCAGTTTTCCCTCTGGAGAGATCAAAAGCTTTTGGCTCTTAAGTCTTTGATAAAAGGCATACACAATTCTTGTGTCTACTGTATAGACTACTGCTGCTAGCTGGGCTTCCAAATTTGAGTCTCTGACGCTCTTGTAATCCAGACAGGGTTCAATCCTCCACCTTGCACGCCTGTGTTAGAGGATTTAAACACACAATCCAGGAATTCCTTACACTAATTTATACATTTTAATTGGTTGCATATATTAACATGTACTATAAATTCTTTTCTAAGAAGCATTACATAGTAAATGGATACTGTAAAAAGATCTGATTAGTTAAAAGTAACAAGTATTAACAGATACATACAAAACAGCCTGTTCAGAATGGAACATGGGCACCAGCCTTCCCACAGGACCTTCAAGGAGGGGTGGGGGTAAAGACCACAAGACCGTTAAAAAAAAAATCAGATAATTAGACACAGACGAAATGTGAACAGTTTTCTCACTCTCCAGTGGACAAAAGGAGTAAGCTTTCCATACCCACTGCACGCCAGAGCACCCGGGGCTCCGCCTTATGCCTGCCATACACAGGCTCATGGTGGACAACTGCCCCAAGAGCCCTTCAGGCACAGGCTAGAGTTTGCTGTGTGTGTGTGTGTGTGTGTGTGGTGGCGGCTGACTGTTTGGTGGAGTTTTATTTTGGCTGCTGGATGTGAGAGATGACGTTCTGTTCTGTTTAGAGGAGGAGGGGCGCATATTGAAGACCTATGCTATGTGTGTTCTTGGTCTGTGAAGGACTCTGTGCTCTGTGCTCACTGCCCCTTCAACAGCTGCAGCTTTCTGCAGAAGCCTTGGCCCGTCATTCTTGTCCAGCTTGATGGGTTCAGGGAATTCATTGTATAACTCCACTTCTGTTTCCTGTTTAAGGGCATTCCGAGCGATTGTCTGGAAGGCCTGCTCCACACTGATGGCCTCCTTGGCACTGGTCTCGAAGTAGGGAATATTGTTTTTGCTGTGACACCAAGCCTGTGCCCTCTTTGTGGCCACTTGTCTGTTTTCAAGGTCAATCTTGTTTCCCAGCACAACTAAAGGGAAGTTCTCAGGATCCCGGGGGCTGGCCTGGATAAGAAACTCTCCAGCTGTCAAGGGTTTTGAATGTATTGGGGACAGTCACATCAAACATCAGAATACTGCATTCTGCACCTCTGTAGAAGGCCACACCACGAGACTGGAACCGTTCTTGACCAGCTGTGTCCCAGATCTGCATGGTGACAAGTCTGTCAACCACCATCACCTCCTTGGTCAGAAAGTCTGCTCCTATTGTGGCTTTGTACTGGTCACTGAACTTCTTATTCACATACTGGTTCATGAGCACTATCTTTCCAACACCAGAATCTCCCAGGATGATGACCTTCAGCAACACTTTCTTCCTAGAGGTCATCCTTTAAGCCCGGAATCCGCCAAGGAAGAGACACAAAGCAGGCTGCTGCGACCAGAGTCTGACTCCAGCTCTAGCAGGCTCCTCGGAGCTGCCCAGCCCCAAACACCCAAGGCTACTTTTTTTATAAGTTGATTTTGTGTGTGTGTTTTCTCCCACTTTTCTAAACATATTGTTTCCAGAAGTTTTCTGGTAAAATTTTTGGTATTTTTATATATACATATATAATATTATATATTGCACATTATATATACATTACATATTATATGTAATAAATATAACGTATTACATACTATATAAAAATATTATTATATTATCTTCTACAAATAGGGATAATTTGGCTTCTGTTCGTATTAGTGTCCCTTTAATTCCCTCCTCTTGTGTTAATGCTTGCTCTATGTTTTCAAGCACTGCGTTGAAAGGCGGCTGTGCTCACCACTGAACCACCAGTATATCACCAGCACTGTTGAAAAGGAGTGGGACAGTGCACAGCAGCTCCAGCTGGGCCTGGGCCAGGGCGCTGAGGCCCCCCACCCAGCTGGAATGCGCTAGGGTGTGATTCTGGATGGGCCTGAGAATGGGGGTTGTCTCAAATAATTTTTTATGGTTTGCTCTGTTCCTTAGATTCTGAGAAGTCTCCTTGTGAGTTTGGAGTGACCAGGAATGTACATCCGGAGGCCGCAGTCAGAGTTGTCCAGTGCATGGCCCGTTTCATGGCTGCGTATTTCACCAATGAACCACTCTGCATCCTGCCGCCTCACAGCGTGAATGTTCTTCCTCCACTTCATGTTAAAACAGGTAATATGTAAACAAATGCTCTCCTGCCTTGGATTTTACACATGGTATCTAAAATCAGTATCCTATGGAGATTGCACTGTTTTTAGTTGTTACTCAAGCTTGCCTCTGTTCTTGAACCCACCGTTACTTGTCTTAACCTCCCGACTAGCTGAGATTGTAGGTGTGAGCTGCTACTCAGAGCTCGCGTTAACTTACCTTCCTTTCATCTTCATTCCTTGTTTACTTCATTCACTCTGACAGTAGGTTTTGAAGCCTCATGTGTGCCTGGCAAGTGCTTGTCCACCTCTTTTCTGTTGTTGCTGTTGAAATACACCAAATAGAGTGGATTGGTGGCCCCACAACTCAGCACACGTATCTATGCTGCCTCAGTTCAGAGATTACAAGCACACACAAGCATGCCTGCCTTTTTTTTTTTTAATGTGGGTTCTGGAACTCAAACTTAGGTCTCCATCATTTATAGGGTAAACACTTTTTTGACTAAACACTCTCCCCAGATCCCATCCTTTTTTTAAATGAAAACTTCTCTATTAAGCATTTTATACGTTTTAAATATTTTTTTGAAACTTAAAAAAAAAAAAAACAAAGCAACTTTTTTGGCTCTTTGGATAATGTAAAATGAGATAAATCTGTTGTCCAGATTGTATAATCTGCTATGAAAGTCAGAACATATTTTTGAATAGTTCTGAATAAGTTTTTTAAATGTATTTTATGTTTAGTTGTATATATGTGTATATTTGCGTGGTATGTGCATGTGAGCACAGTACCCAAGGAGGCCAGAAGAGGGCGTTAGGTCCCTTGGAACTAGAGTTACAGATGATTGTGAGCTGCTGGTCATGGGTGCTGGCAGCTGAACCCTGCTCTGATAGAATAGTCTGTGCTCTTAACCACACAGTCTGAGCCCTCTCTGTAGCCCCTGATCTGGGTCACATGTATGTACATTTTATCGAACTCACAGAACTCAGCTTTATTCTGTGTAAGGCACTCGTTCTATTTCTGCTGTGTTTCTTTTTTAAAGAATGTTTGTATTTTATGCATAGCCCATTTAAGGAAGCACATATTTCAATCTTAACAAAACTGTTCTAGAGGGCATTATTTTATTTCATTCTTTGTGTCTCTTTATTGTCATGTTGGAAAATATTAACTAAAGAGACTTGATTATGTGAGGAGGCCTGAGCTGGAGTACACGTATGCAGCTGTGATATCGTTTTCTCTGATTCACTCACAGAGCACTCCCTACGACTTATTCCTCTACAACACTCGAAGGTGGCCAGTTTTGTTAGAGATCAGAATCTCTCAAATGTGTGGACAGTTGAATATGCCCTTGAATTATTATTTATTGGTGGCCTGATTCCAGAGGCTGTGTGGTTGGCACATAAACTTGGAGACTGGAAGACATCTGTATCCATTGGTGTGGCCTTCCAAGTTTTCTGTAAACATGGTCGCAATTTTGTGAGGTATGAATTCTTAAAGTTTACTTATTTATTCTGTGTGTGTTTGGGTGCACACATATCATGATGCCTATGTGGAGTTGGGAGGACGAGTTGTGGGAGTCACTTCTCTCCTTCTACCACATGTTTCAGGGATTAAAGTCAGGTCGTCAGGCTTGGCAGCAGGTGCTTTGACCTGCTAAGCTATCTCACCAGCCCAAGGTATGGATTTCTGGATAAGCTTCAGGTACTGCATAAGAATGTCATCTTAAGCAAATCTCATTTTTCTTCTTGTTGATATGTGGAATATGTGGAAACCTTCTTTCTGCATTGTCATATAGAAACTCTTCCTAATATTTTTGTCTTTGCTGCATAGTATGGGAGTGCCTAACTATATACTTTTGAAACGTGGCTAGTCGCTGGGTGATGGTGGCTCTGTAATCCCAGCACTCAGGAGGCAGAGGCAAGCGAATCTCTGTGAGTTCAAGGCCAGCCTGGTCTATAGAGTGAGTTCCAGGATAGCCAAAATTGCACAGGGAAACTCTCAAAAATAAACAAATAAACAAAAAACAAGAAAAGAAAACTGACTAGTGACACCAAGGAGTTGAATTTTCAGTTTCTAGTTGAAGAGGTGCTGCAGTGATTACTGTGTTAATAGTGGCTCCATGGCTTACTTATTTTGCTGAAGCATTCACTTAGCATATTTATGTTAGAAATATCCTAAAAGGGCAATTAGGTAGTTGAGGAGTTTATCCCAAATAGAATTTGGAGGTTGCCTTTTCTTTCCCCTTCCTGCCCTTTCTTTTACTTTTTTCTCCTTCTGCCTTCCCTCTGTCTCTCCATCCCTGTGTTGCGATTTCCCATTCTCTTCTTTCTGGATAGGATCGTGCTGCGTAGTCAAGGCTGGTCTCAAACTCACTTCAGCCTCTTGAATGCTGGACTTTAGGCATGCAGTACCACAGTGGGTGGGGATTTGAATTTAGGCTAAGTAAACTAATCTCTGATTTTATTTGTTTGGTTTTTGTTGTTGTTTTTCAAGCCGGGTTCTTTTGTTCTGTCAGTGCGGACAGTCTTTGTGTAGTTTAGCCAATGATCCAGCATGTGTTTGTTAAGTAACTGATCAGCACAAAGCTTTGTGTCAGGTATTTTTAACAGATTGAAACTTTCTAAGGTGTTAGACTCTATCATAAATAGGACAAAACATAAAATCTGCATAGTGTGTGAGACAGTTCCAGTGCATGGTGGGGAGAATGGAAATGCAGATGAGGGAAGGCAGAAACGTTCCGTGCAGGAGGTGCCCTGTCAGGTGCACACTGAAGGGTGGGTAGCGCTCGGTGAGCTGAGTATCTAAGGAGGGAGAGCATCTGAAGTGTGAGCAAAGGCATATTGCAAATAGTTGTGGGTTATTTGGGGCAGAGTACTTATGAGGGTGGCAGTGAGAATGGAGAAATACCATCTCCTCTGAGAGCCTTTAAAGTAGTGTTTCCTTTCTGTGAGTAGGGTGTACAAAGCAAGTGACTTCATATTTTCTTAAATACATTTACCTCTTGATATAAAGTCTTTTCTTTTCCCCAAAATTTTATTTCTCTTAATTTGATATCTTTCCAGGTCCAAGGAAAAGGGTATGGACCTACCATTAAATATGATACCAGCACAGATTTTCCAGGAAAAACTGCAGTGTTTTTTAGGTCAGCCAATCTCTCTGGAAGCAAAAAATGAAAAGGGCTCAAAATATAAGCAATTTACAGGTGTGTTACCTACATATGTTCTAAGTGTATCAGGTTAATATAAACCTGTACTATTACAAAACCTTACGAATATTTAGAAATATGAACACTGTGACAATTTTATCAGAAATTTGAGAATATTTATACTTAGTCATGGGAACATCCAAAACTGATGCCAGAGGAGCTGGAGTGGTGCTCAGTGGTACCTGCCTAGTCTGTGCTTTGCTCAGGTCTGATCCTGAGCTCTGCAAGGAGGGAGAAAACTGATGTCAGGTGAAAATGTATTGTGGGCCGGGGATACAACTCAGTGTGGAACACTTTATTGACATGTAAGAGGCCCTAGGTTTGATCTTCAGCATTGCCAAAAACAAAACAACCACACTCGAATTATATTGTTTGTTTCGTACATACATTTATGCTTACTTTTATCTTGGAGATGGGGTCTTGTTCTGTATCCCAGTGTGACCTCCTTCCTCCTGCCTTGGGCTCCGGAGTGCTAGGACTGCAGTCACAGGCTACCATACCTGGCTAATGTTACCTTGTTTCATGTTTGGTAGATCCCATTGAAGAAGAAGATGCTAATCTGCTGTTTGGGTCTGTGCAAGAAGTACTGAAAGCGTCAGTCATGGCTGATGCAGACATTGTTTCAGGGACTCTGCAGCTATTGATGGACTCTGCAAAGGACTTCAGTAAGAAGCTGTGGGGCCTAGTGCCCGTGGACTTGTATCTCCCAGCACCTCCTTTGTATTGCCCCCAGCCAGCTGTTCTCAGTGAAGTAAGCTCAGTGCAGTCTTCTAGTTGGTTTGTCTACTTTTGTTTGTTTGTTTGTTTGGTTTTGGTCTTTCAAGATAGGGTTTCTCTGTAGCTTTGGAGCCTCTCCTGAAACTAGCTCTTGTAGACCAGGCTTGCTTCGAACTCACAGAGATCCACCCGCCTCTGCCTCCCAAGTGCTGGGATTAAAGGCGTGCGCCACCACTGCCTGGCTGGTTTTGTCTACTTTTAAAACTAACCTGACAATAGTGATCTTGTAACAAATGCAAGACCTGAAGATAAACTTCTGGTTCCCAGCATAGTATGTACTTAGGTAGCATACCAAGCAGCTGCTTAAGTAATAGATATCTGTTCTGTTGTCCTCAGGAACACGGTGACAATCTTCTTTTAAAAGCTGAAAAAGATAATCGCCAAAAGCTGTCTGGAATCCTGCAACGAGTTCTCTTGCTTTTCCGGGCGGCTCGATGCTCTTTTTCTGTAGCACAGTGGTACATCTTGCAGCTGAGGTGGGCAAGAAAAGTCATGCAGAAGGTATGAACTGTCTTAATCATTCAGGTGCTGTGTCAGGCCTCCGAGATGTGTTCATGTCCACTCCAGGTGCTTTCCTAAGGATTCCTGGCCTTTCAGTCTACAAATCTTGGGTTTATTTGCATAAGCAACTCAGGCAAGATTTTTTCTGGCTGAGAGATGACACTGTGCAGTGAGTCTCTGGGTTAGCTCGCCCTGCAGCAATAGAAAGTGTCTCCATACAGCAGGTTCTTCCAGACTGTACCTGCTCTTTCTACCCTAAATCATGGGAGGTTTCTTCTCGTTAGGACTCCTCCTCCCCCACTCGCTCCGGAGGTTAAGATCAGTGTTTTGTGGCAACCTCAGTGGTTCCAAGTGTTGATAATTAGGAGGGAATTCTTGGCTGTTTATTATCAGGAGTCTTTTTCACTGGCTAGAACTTCTTTGCTGTTTTCTGAGATATGCAGTTCGATTCTGGGCCTTCCAGGCCCTTCCATCCTCTCTTCTACAGACTCGCCTGTCCTCAAGCTGAGTAGGTATTGGGCATGCTTCAGTATCCAGGTACAAATTCTTGTTTTTTTTGTTTTTTTTTTGGTTTTTCGAGACAGGGTTTCTCTGTGGCTTTGGAGCCTGTCCTGGAACTAGTTCTGTAGACCAGGCTGGTCTCGAACTCACAGAGATCCTCCTGCCTCTGCCTCCCGAGTGCTGGGATTAAAGGCGTGCGCCACCATCGCCCGGCTCAAATTCTTGTTTTTGAAAAAAAAAAAGTAGGCTTTTTTAAATTTCATTTTATTGATATTTATTGAGCTCTACATTTTTCTCTGCTCCCCTCTCTGCCTCTTCCCTCTCCCCTTCAATCCTCCCCCAAGGTCCCATGCTTCCAATTTACTCAGGAGATCTTGTCTTATTCTACTTTGTACTTCCCATGTAGATTATATCTATGTAAATCTCTCTTAGTGTCCGCACTGTTGTCTGAGTTCTCTGGGATTGTGGTTTGTAGGCTGGTTTTCTTTGCTTTATGTCTAAAAACCACTGATGAGTGAGCACACGTGAGCAGATGGGTGGTGGAGGTGAGGGTAATGTGGGGGTAATGGGAGGAGAGGAGGGGGGAACTGCTATTGGTATGGTAACAAAAAAAAGGCATGCACCACCACTGCCTTTTTTTTAAGATAGGACAAAAATTATTGTATAGCCCAGGCTAGCCTTTAGCTCAGGCTTCAGAGTGTGCTAGTACTCACTGAAGCAGTCATGCACCACCATGCTTGACCAAAATTAGCTTTAAAAAAGCTTTATGTATGACATATATGTCTGCATATGGTTTGTGTATGTGAAAAAGCTGGTGTGTGCATGCCACAGTGTGTGTGGGAGGGTCCAAGGACACCTCAGGTATCGGTCCTCATTTTCCTGCTGATTTATGACAATTTGCACTGCATAGCTAGGCTAGCTGGCCCTCAGGCTCCCAGCACTTCTCCTGTCCCCGCTGTCATCTTGCCCAGGAGCATTGGGGTTACAAGGTCATGCTTTGTCCTGCTCAGTGTGGATCCTGGAGATATGAATTCAGGTCCTGTCATTCACATGGAAACACTTTATCAGTTGAGCCATTGCCTTAGCCTCAAATGAACTTTTATTTGTTTTGAGATGTTTTCACTATGTAGCCCTGGCTGGCTTGGTACTTACTATGTGGAGCAGACCAGCCTCCAGCTCACAGAGGTCCACCTGCTTCTGCTTCCTGAGCACTGAGATTTAAAGGTGTTCACGATGATGCCTGGCCAAGCAAGCTTTTTAAAATGAAAAATGAGGTTTAAAAATTCACCTCCCATAAAAATATGTTAAAATGGTGTTCATTGTAATTACAATGGAGACAAAAAGTAGACAGTGGTTTTTAAGGTTGGGAGAAAGGGGAAGCAGAAAGCGATGACTCCTAACGGGGGAGGTGTTAATGAAAGAGTTCTTAATTAGACAGTTATTTATGGTTGACTAATTGAATATAGCAAAACCAGCTAGGTAGTTGTCACTTACAAAGATGAACTTTATAAAGGTCTTTAAATTTTAATTCCAACTAAAAAAATGATACCAAATTAATTATCTGCACCATATTAGTTTTCTATTTCATTCCAGCAAATAGCTCGAATTTCATGACTTAAAACCATGCCCACTTGTCTGACGTTTCTGTTCATCAGAAGTCCTATGAGCTAAGCTGCTTCTAGGGCAGAACCATTCAAGGGTAACAGCAGAGCTGTGCTCCCTTCTCGTGTCTTGGCAGGAGAACCCATTTCCAGATGTACAGGTTGTTGACAGTTCAGGTCATGTGGCCATAGGGCTGAGTTCCCAATTCCTTGCTGGTCTATCGCTTAGTACTATCCTGCTAGTAAAGTGTTTTATGGAAGGTTGCCATTAGCATGCTAATAGTACATTTGATCAGATCATGTCTTTCCTGAAGTGTCAGGTAGAAGAGGTTATAACCTTACTGCTCATCTTTTGATATCTATAACAGCAACCCTCTTTTGAAAAAAAGTCCCTTGATATGTTAGAGAAGCAGCATGATTGTTCTGTATCCCATTCTACATGTCTGATTATTTCTTCATTTAATGTCATTTAGCTTGTTCATTTCATTTATTTCCTGGAAACTGGTCCTTAATATCCACTCATTGAAGTACAGAGATTTGAGTATAGTCAGGCTCAGATCTTAGAAAGAACCCTTTGTAACTATTGTGTGCTTCGCTGTGACCTCACAGGTTTTTTTTTGTGGGGGGGGGCGGATTTTGAAACAGCGTTTCTCTGTAGGATTGGAGCCTGTCCTGGAACTAGCTCTTGTAGATCAGGCTGGCCTTGAACTCACAGAGATCTGCCTGCCTCTGCCTCCCGAGTGCTGGGAATAAAGGCGTGCGCCACCACTGCCCGGCTGACCCCATATTTTAAGATAGCTCAAGGAATTTGGGACATGTCAGACCCCATATCGAGTTCCCCATCAACCCGCCAACTTCTTTTCCAGCTTGACATTTTGTCAATAGTCCTTTCCTAGAGTCATTGCTCCTTTAGGAATTGCCTGTTGGCTTTCCATTTCTGTCATTTATAGATTCACTTTTTAAAGTCATATATGTAGGTAAGGTTTTTTATTTGTTTTGTTTTTGGGGTTTGTTTGTTTTTTGAGACATGGTTTCTCTGTGTTCCCTGACTGTCCTGGAACTCACTTTTTGTAGACCAGGCTGACCTCAAACTCACAGAGATTGGCTTGCCTCTGCTGGGACTAAAGGTGTTGTCACTGCCACCCAGGTTGTTTGTTTTAGGTCCTGCACAGTAAATTTCAGATGAGATTTGAATATTTTCTTTCTCAGACTAGGAAAGACAAATGAGTATAGGGAACTGAGTGTCAAGAGAATGCATGGTTTAGTGTCTTTCTTTTCGGGCAGAATGTAGTGAGTGGCTGATTTGGGAGCTGAGTCTGAGAGTGCAGGTCACTGCAGGCTGTAGCAGAGGACTCTACTGCTTGTGTTCCCTGTAAAGCTTGTTTGCTACTGATGATTAACATATTCTATCGTTCTTTTCAGATTCGAGTGAAAGGGTCCCTTCCTTTGCTTGGTTCTTTCCCCGAATCCTTACTTAACTACTGTAAAGGAGGGATAGCATTCTTTAGACCTGGAGCTGCCGGAGACCACAAGCTTGATGAAGTTTCCACCAAAGCTCTAGGTGTGTCAGAGATGAGCTGCTCGGTTAGAACTCAGCTGCATATGAACTGCAATGCATTTTTCATTTTGTTTGGGAAAGTTTCTTAACTATTGACTCTAGTTTGCTTTTGATATTCTACTTAGGGGGGTATATACTTAGATGCTGTGACATGTATGTATATAGATGCTTTATAGATATGGTAGTAAATTAAAATTGTTATATAAAACAAATTGTGCCGTGACACTGTTGTTGCTTCCTTGTTTAAATTTGGAATTTTAGCACTCGAGAGTACCTTTCTTGTAGTCGTTCATTTGCAGTGAAGATATACTTACTGCCACCCTGTTAAGTGGGCAGGCTTTGAACCTGCCTATATAGATGAACCAATTTTGTGTCCTGTTCTCTTGGTTTAACCTATTCTACCTAGGTTTTTCCCCTATCTTATATAAATTAGTATGAATTCATTTTTGTGGCTTTTATTAGCAGACATTAAGTTGTCTCTGGCATATCAATTCTCTTTTGTATTTTAAAATGTTTTCTTAGATAGAGTCTCAGACGTGTAATTTCTGAGTTAATGAATTTAGTTATCTCTTATCTCTTGAAATAGTATGCCAGATTTTACTTGGTGCCAAAAGGCTGTCAGCTGTATGTAGGACACCCTTGTTTTTGAGGTAGCATCTCCCTCAGATAGTTTTGTTTCGATATGCCTTTATTTGATTTTGTGTTTTGAGATAGACTCTTTATTCCCTATATCCCAGGCTAGCCTGAGCTCATGATCCTCTTGAGGTACACACGTGAAACCATGCCAGGCAAATCAAGATGTCTTTTTTTTTTTTTTCCTGAGATGGTTTCTCTAGCTTTGTCCTAGAACTAGCTTTTGTGGACCAGGCAGGCCTCATAAACTCCCAGAGATCCGCCTGCCTCACAAGTGCTGGGATTAAAGGTGTGCGCTACCACCGCCTGGCAAGATGCCTTTCTTATGACTAAGTATAGTGTCCATTTAGTTCTTTATTTACATTTTCTTTTATAAATTAATTTCCATTTTATAATTTGTGTCCAGTTATATGTTTGACAGGTTTAAAAGGTTAGTAAAACTTTGGAAGACAGACAGACAGACAGACAGACAGAAAGAAAGAAAAGGGAGAAAAGCGGGAGAGAGAAAGTATGTGTGTATTTGTGTCGTGTGTGTGTGTGTACACGTGTGCGCACGTGTTACAGCATTAGGAGTAAAACTCAGGGCCAGGTCTGAAACCAGAGCCATGCCGTCCTCAGGCCCTATGACATAGTTAATAAATTATCAGGTTAAGGTGCTTGCAGCCTCATCTGATAACCTAAATTCAGTTTCTGGAGCCCACATGGTAGGAAGAGAACTGACTGGTGCGTGTTGTGCGCTGATGTCCACATGAAAGCCTGAGGGACATGCACAAACATACAAATTCAGAAAATAGAAATTTGCCTGCCGGGTATGAGGCCCTGGGTTCAATTCCCAGTGCCATAAAAATAAGCCGTATTCTGAGTGATATGCAATATAGAGTTTGCATTGAAATTGAAAAATATTTACAATGTACTTGAATTTATAAGGCAAGTAAATCAGAAGTAAGTAGATTAAATCAGTTTTGTGAATTTTTTTTCATATCATGTAATTATATATATTTATATATGTATATATATATATATATATATATTAAAATTCTAGAAGGACCTTCATGACTTTTACATAAGGTTCTTACAATAAATACATTTTTGTTTTTTGTTGTTTTAGCGTGTGAATGTATATTCATATTTACATGTTTGTCTGTGTGTGTATGCATGTGGAAGCCAAATATTGACAATAGGTATCTTTCTTGATCACTATTCACCTGATATTTTGAGGTGCCTCAATTGATCCAGAGTTCATTGATTTGGTTAGTCTAGCTAGCCACCTTACCCTGGGGATCCTCTATCCCCACCTCTTTTTTTTTATTTTCTTTCCAGACAGGGTTTCTCAGTGCTGCCCTGGCTGTCCTCAAACTCAGAGATCTACTTGCCTCTGCCTCCCAAGTGCTGGAGTTAGAGGCGTGTGCCACCCCTGCCCAGCATTCACATGGGTGCCTGGAGCCCAGACTCTCCCCTTCCACTCATTCGAAGAGCAGCAGGCTCTTTGCTCATTGAACTACCACCTAGCCCTCACGTCTTTCTTTCATAATCGTCAGAATAAAGACATTTATTCGAAAGCACATAACCCGCAGATGTAATACGTAATTTTCTTTCATATTTGTGTTTTTAGGTTGCTTCAGAGAACTTTGTGCTTTGTGCTGGATGTTGCATGTCCGGGATAAATTATCGTACAGTTGCAGGCAGTATCAGAAGGCAAGAGAAAATGTGAAGGTAGAAAAGGTACTTATCAGCTCAAGAGCAGAAAATAAATGTGATGTGGAAAGCTACTTTAATAGGAGAGTTTACTCATTGTTATACAGTATTCTTTTGAACGCATTCTGATCTGTCGTTTTCATGTCCACATAGGACCTCAAAGTGGAATTTGATTCTTGTGTGGTTGAGCACTGTTTTCATGCACTGGAATGGGCCTATAGAATGCTACCATTCTCTCGTTTTTTTAATATGGAAGAACTTATTCAGGATATAATTTTGAGCCTTATTGGAGAACTGCCACCAATCAAGAAGGTAATATGTTGGTAAAAATTAACTAAATCTGAATCATAGATCCTAAGGGATTTCTGTTTTCATTAGGGATGGTTTTGCCTTTTCCCGTCTGACTGATTGCACTTTGTATAGTATCCTCCAGGTTCAGAATGACAAGTATGATCTCACAGGTGGACTAAAGCTCATGGAAGCAGAGAGCAGAACGGTAGTTGCCAGGGCTAGGGTTGTGTGGAAATAGGGGTGTTCGAAGGATGGTAAAAAAGGAGTCACCCCTCACGAAGTCATTACCCTTCTCTTCGTAAGCCTTCAGTAGGTTCTGTTTCCTGGAACAACATTTCCATAGCCCCTTGAAGTTAATGGACTGATTTCGCTCAGATCCATTTCAGTGTAATTTTTTTCCACAGATGGTATTTTTTTAATGTTGGTTCTAAGTACATAGAGAAAAATAAACTATTTCTTGATTTTTTTAAGGGGGATTGAGGAAATGTTGAATTAAGGGTCCAAATTTGTATTTACAAGATAAATTTGTTCTAGGAGCTAGTGTACAATGTGGTGACTATGGGTAATAATATGCTGTGATTTACCTGAAGTTGATGATGCAGATCTTAGGTGTTCCTGCAGTGTGTGTGCACACATACAGTGGTTACTGTGTTTTGTAACTGACATGCTAATTTGGCTAAGATACTCAACATGCATTATATATCATATCATCACATCCTATACCTTGAAAATACATAATTTGCCAAATACTTTATAATAAAAAGTGAAAAAAGAAAAGCCATGCAGAATTCTGGCAGCTTGGTTGAATAACAAAAGATTATTAAGTAGGCATTTATGTTTTGACTTAAAGTGTTTGAAGAATTAAAAGAAAAAGGAAAAAACTGATGTTGCTAATAAAACGTTAATTTTTTTTTCCTGAAGGTAGCAGAAATTTTTGTGAAAGCCTTTCCCAATCCTGAGGCCATAAGAGTTCCTTTAAGAGAAAAGTACCACTCTCTCCAGCAGAGACTCAGACATGGTGTTGTGAAAGGTATTTGCTGTTTCTCACGTTTAATGGATACAGTGTTGAAGATGCTCATTTTTAAGGCTTTATTTTTATTTCTGTGTGTATGACGTGTCTAAGTGCCTCTCCCTAATGATGGAGAGTGAGAAAGTGCAGAGCTAATTATGTTGGTCTGTTGCTAGATGGAGCTGACTTCACATCATAACTTTGTTGGTAATTGTGCCTTTGGCAAGTTGCTCAATCTCTCTAGGCCTCATTTCCTTATTTATAAGCAAAAGGGTTATTCTGTTACCTAGTTGATCAATAAGTATCAAGAGAGGATTAAACAAGGTACAGATACAAAGAGAGCAGATAGTTTAGGGTGCCCTCCCTCTGGGGAGGATCACTTGAGCCCATGCTTTCAACACCATCCTGGTCAATGCAGCAGGATTTCACCTGAAAAATTAAATAGAGCATATGATATGGCCTTTGTATACTTCATGTATTTATTGAAAACTTGTATTTTTCCTCTTTGCTTAAAGTTATTTATGTTTCTAATTTTATCCTTACATTCAAGATGACCTTGTAAATTGTTTTTATTGTGGCAAAATACATAGAACATAAAACCTACTATTTAACAGTTCTCCCTCTTTCCTTCCCTTTGCCTTGGTGGAGAACAGACCTGGGCCTCTTGGCGTCTTGCTCATGCTCTGCTGCAAAACCACAGCGGCCATGGAAACACTAAGTGTCGTCTTTCTTTTCCAGAGTACACCTGCTGTGTGCTTTCAATTGTGTGCTGCACAATTATATTTGCATTTTTCTTGAAGTTTTTTTGATTCTTCTAAAATATTATCTTTGTATTAAGAATGCTTACATTTTTAATAGACAATCTTGGAAACCTTAACCTTACTATTCTCATTACTTGTAGTAAGAAAGCCTTAATTTTTGATAAAAAAGTTAATATTCTCACTTTTTCCTTTCATTGGGAATAGAAAATAATCTTTGTCAGTCTTTATTCATAATTGTATCTCTTTTTTAAGAAAATGAGTCTGCTTTTGTTTCCTCATTTGTTGCATTGAGGTACTTTTCAGTGATATCATTGTTCTGAGATTTTTTTGCTGTTGTCCTTACCTACCACACAACTGCAACTGGTCATTTTGTGGGGCTCTTCCTCTAAACTGGTTTTGCAGAGAATTATCTATTCCTTAATTTCTTTTTGTTATCAACCTTAATTAGACAATTTTATGCCTGTACAAAGGGCCTCAACTGTCTTCTCATAGTAGCTACTCACGGAGGGATGCAAACTTAACAAGGATGGTCTTGGTACCTGTCTATGGCTTTGGTAGCTTTGTGAGTTAGGCCATCAGAGCGTAGGAGTTCTTCAGAACCTTTTAGAAAGTCATAGTAACACCCATGACACCTGCATCATAAGTGCCTTCTTCAACTGTGGTGGGTTGGTTGGTTGGTTGGTTGATTGGTTGAATGGATGGCTAGTTTTTAGATGTGACTGACTTATAACCCTTCTGCATTAGCCTCCTGAGTTGGTGTAACATGCACAGGTACACATTTCCATGCTTGAATTACCCAAAATTATTTTCCCTGATGATACACCTTTTAAAAAGGGGAGAGAGGAAATCCCGGTTCTTTGCCTTGTCTTGTTCTCTAATGGACCTTATTGAGTTTCTGCAATCCTGTTTTTGTTTCTTTGTTTTTGTTTTGAAATGGACCATAGCTTTCCAAAAAATACTAAAAAAATAATTTGTAAGAATATGGAAATAGGGCTTAGTAGTTAGTTTGATTCCATGCCCCCTGGCATAATTAAGTTCCTCTCTTCCCCCTCTCATTCCCCTTCTGTTCCTTCCTTTTACAGTTTTGCTATGTAGCTGTGGGTGGTCTGGAACTTAGTGTGTAGACAAGGCTGGCCAAAACCTGTTGTGATTGTCCTGACTCTGCCCCCTGAGTGCTGGGATTACTGGCATGTAACTAGTACTGTACCTGGCCTTACATCTTCAGTTGAAACATTTTAATGACCCCTATGGTCTTTGGTTCTTTTTTCCCTAGGCCCCCAGACTGAGGAACTGATGTCTGTGATCATGCGCTCTGTCCATAAAGTGAGGGTGAAAGCCCTGAAACGTGTGCAGAGGAACATAGGTGCTTCTGAGATGAACGTCTGGGAACCAGATGAAGAGGAAAAGCCCGATGCTGCTCCGGCTTCTGACAGGTTCTCCCTGGGGACTAGTTTGAGCAGAAGTACACTCACAGAACAGGGCAGTTCCCTGGTACACAGTGATGCAGACACATTCTCTGAAACCTTGTCTTTTGAAGAAAGAACGTGGATGCACTTCTACCAAAGGTACACCTGGGTGCTCCTAATGCAGGTGTCTACTCTCTGGACGTCAGTGCAAGTGATGCTGATTTCTAAATCTCAGCCATATAAGAAGTAGATAAGTGTCAATCTCTATACTCACAAGGGAATTACAGATTTATATACTTGAGAATTTGGGACTGGAGAGGTGGCTCAGGAGTTAACCTCACTGATTGCTCTTCCAAAGGACCCAGCTTCAATTTCCAGCAGCCACATGGCAACTCACAGCTGTCTGTAACTCCAGTTCCAGGGAATCTGACACCTCACACAGATGTGTAGGCAAAACACCAATGCACAAAAACATACAAATAAATTTTAAAAAATTTAAAAAAATAATCTTGAAAATTTATTGTAAATATTACTGAGATTATGTAATGATTTTGACCTCTAAGGTGACAATCAAATGAATAGACAAAATTCAGTAGAGGACTTTGAGTTCTTCATTTTTTTAAAATAATCTTTAGACTCATTTAGTGTATGCTATTTATTTTGAGACATGATTTTATTATGTAACTCTAACAGGTCTCGAGCTCAGAGGTCTGCATGCCTCTGCATCCTTAGTGCTGAGATTAGAGGTCTGACCACCATACCCAGTTTAATCTTCAGATTTAAATACAAGTTGAACATACTTAATTTGAAAACTTAAATTTTGAAATTTAGCTTAAAAATTCAGTAAAATACTGAAAGTTGAAAATTCTTGCCTGATTTCCCATGACAGGTCAAAGTCAAAATGGAGGTACACTGAGAATACTGTATAGACTTTCCTTTGGGCCATTAAGTATAAAAATTATAGATTATTTGAAATGTAAACAAATGTTGTGTTTGTTTTGTTTATAGTTCTGGAGACAGAACAGGCTCTTCACATTACAGATAATTGTTATGTCACTAAACTACCGTACTTGAACTGTAGACCTAAGACATCTCACTACATATATGCAAATATCAGCTCCCCTCCCCCAGCAAAAAAAAAACAAATCCCTTCCACACTCAAAATACTTTTGGTCCCAAGAATTTCAGATCAGGGATACTCACCTGTCATCTGCCATGATTGGGTTAGTCATACAGTGTTTGAGGACACAAAGGAGGGAATGTGCTCACTTATTTTAGTACTTGCTTGTATAAACCTGTGATTTAAGCCATTGGGTTTTGTTGGTTTTGATTAAAATTCTAGTAACTACAATGCAATATGTCCTTTTATGACTTAAAAACTAAATAATCAATAATAACTTTCATCTTAAATTATTGAATCTAGTCCAAACATACTTGAACCATATCTAATAATATTTTAAAAGATTTATTTATTCATGTACTTTATGTATATGAGTGCTCTGTGTTCATGCACACCAGAAGGATCTGATCCCATTACACATGGTTGTGAGCCATCATACATATGGTTGCTGGGAATTGAACTCAGGACCTCTGGAAGAACAGTCAAGTGCTCTTAACCTCTGAGCCACCTGTCCAGCCCATCTAATAACATTTTAATAGTGTGGTTTAAATAAAACACCTGCACTTAAATACATAGCATACTTTTCATGCTGCTTCTGTGCATTGTAGGTAAGCAGGCATGCGTTCACCTGGGGCCCAGGTACTCCACAGCTTTTTTTCTTACTGAGAGATCTGGGAATCTAGTAATTGTGTTAAAAAGTCGCTTGACAATTGGGGCTGAAAGAAAAATAAGGTGCCTGCCACCAGGTTTCATAGCAGCTGTTTGTTTTCATTGTTGTAGAAAGACCCCAAGAATCTGTGCAGGGGAACTTCAGAAACTGCTTTGTTCACATCGTGTGGGGTGGGGTTGACAGAGAAGCGTGGGACGCTAGATGCATTTTTGTTAGAGGACCATTTTTGACTTCCTAATGAACATTTATGCTTTTCTTTTGTGTGTGTGTGTGTGGTGTACGGTGATAAGCACATGTCATGCCATTCCTGTGGAGGTCCAAGGACAACTTGAGAGAATCAGTTCTCTCCTTCCACTGTGTGGATTTCAGACTCAGAACATGAGGTTTGGCAGCAAGTGCTTTTCCTCAAGGAGCCGTCTTCCTGGCCCTCTTGTTCTTTTTCTCTGGTGACCTTTAAGTACATACACTTTAATTTCTTTTAATGCCTGGTTTCCCTTTGCATATAGTACTTTTCAAAATATTTATTTTTTTCTTCATGTGTATGTATGTGTATAATGTGTGTGCTTGATTCCTTTGAGATAATAAAAAGGCATTTGATCTCCTGAAACTGAACTTATAAATAGTTTTAAGCTGCTCAATATGCGTGGTGGGAGCCCAGCCTAGGTCCTTTAGAAAAGCAGCACGTGCTTTTAACTGTAGAGCCTTTTGTAGTAATAAGGGGCGGCGGGGCTGCATTCCCAGCACCCCGGCCGCCTGCTCGGCTAGCTTATGCCCCGAAGTAATTACACGGACACTGTATCCTTTTAATCACTGCTTGGCCCATTCTCTTCTAGGCTAATTCTCACATATTAATTTAGCCCATTTCTAATCATCTGTGTTGCGCCCCTAGGTGCGCTTACCGGGAAGATTCTAGCCTATGTCCATCCTGGGTTGGAGCTTCATAGCGTGCATCTGCCCAGGAGCCAGGAGCATGGCGTCTCTCTCAGGCATCTGCTCTCGAGAAGAGAGCTGTCGAGACTGAGCTCACTTCCTCTTCCTCCCAGCGTCCTGTTCTGCCTACTCCTCCCACCTATCTTCCAACCAATAAAATGGGCCAAGGCAGTTCCTTTATTAGCCAATGACCTTCCTCCATCAGCCTTTTCTACAACCCCGTCCTTTTGACCTTATAGAATCGTCTACTTCTTAGAGATCCTGTTAGTTCATCATCATACTTCATTTGAAGGATAGATAATTCAAACACAAAAAGATACGTGACTTGATTAATACAGAAAATGTTTTTAAAATCTTTATAAGGTCAATTTTAATAAACATTGGTTAAATTTATCTTCTTTTTTTTTTTTTAACCATAGGCATGCCCCAAGTCATGGGGAGTTAACATTGGTTGGTAAGCCCAGTGATGAAAAGAAAGCTTGTCATCAGAAGAAAGGCTCGCAAAGGAAAGACAATCATGAACCATTAGGAAAAACAGCCCTTCCTACAGTTGGTGTTTGGGAATTTGAGCGTGATGATGATGAATATATTAACTTCCTTGAACTCTTCTTGAGTTATGTTCTTGAAAGAGACCTTTGTTCCAGTGATCCTGGCATTCCACTCTTGACAAGTTTTTCTGGGCACCTTAGAGAACATGAACTTAATTCTTTACTTTTTGATGTGCATACAACATTAAAACAACGCCAGAGTAAAACCAGAAGCGAGAATGTGTATAGAGCTGGTTCTTGCTTTGCTGTCATTCCTGAGTCACATGAATGTGAAAAACTGTTCTCTCTAAACAGTACGTGTGCCCAAAATTTAGAATGCCAGGCACTTTCTTCTCCAGGACTAGTTAACCAGTCAGCAAGCACTTCAGAGAACCCTCTTTCTGAAGTCGTGAAAAATGAAAGAAAGGTGGGATTGTTTGGCTTAAAACAAAAGCCAATTTATAGAATTCAGAATGACAAGCGAGGGAATCCTCTAATGCAGAGACCATCAACCCACTCCTTTTGGATTCCCAAGTCCGTTCAAAATGGAGGGTTCCGTTTCCGAGCATTTCAGTGTAGTGCTGCCAGCCTTCAGGAAGGCCTTCCTCTGCCGCTTGAGAACATCTTCGGCCAGGTTGGGAGACTGGTGGAGTGGGTGGTACGGTGGTCTGACCGAAGACTCCTCTGTGACTCTGGAGTTGCTCAGTCGTCCTGTAAATACAGCCCCGTAATTCGTGTAAAGACCTCGACAGCTGCCATTCTTACCTCTCTGTGGCTCCTGGAGCAACCCTATTGTGCTGCATATAAGACGGAAAACAGCATCATTAAGGTAATTACGTCAGCCACTTAGTACAAATGAAGAAAGGACCGTTTTAGTTTAAAACTTGTTTGTTTATACTTTAAAGAATCTATTACAGTAATAGAAAATTGATAACCGTGTTGATTATATGCTGTATCACCTGGTGTGATACTCTGTGTACTGTGATGCCCAGTATGATACAGAGTATCTTTTTTTAAAGAGATTCCTTTCATTCTTTAATAAAATTACAGTGGCCCAGTCACACACACCTTTAACTCCATCACTCAGGAGGCAGAAGCGGGCAGATCTCTGAGATCAAGGCCAGTCTGGACTACAGCTAGAGTTCCAGGACAGCCAGTGCTACAAAGAGAAACCCTGTCTCAAAAACAAAACCATCAAAACAACAACAGCAACAAAGGAAAGTCACAATGAAAGTTCCTTTAGGGTGGCTGTGAAGGTTTTACGTTTTATCTTGTTTGTAGACAACAGAAAGGAAGAAAATGATTTGGTGACTTTATAAATGCTGTAGCCGAAGGAGACCCCTGAACAGTGGGGGCTTCCTCCCAGGACCCAGACCAGATGCAAACCACGCCCAAACACCTGTCTTCACAGAGACCCTTTATTAAGCGAGAAAGTAAAGTTAAAGTGGCTGCTTTTACTTAAGCAGAAAACAGCAGCAAATGACCTTGCAGGTATAATTTTTTTTTTTTTTTTCGAGACAGGGTTTCTCAGTAGCTTTTGGTTCCTGTCCTAGAACTAGCTCTTGTAGACCAGGCTGGCCTCGAACTCACAGAGATCCACCTGCCTCTGTCTCCGGAGTGCTGGGATTAAAGGCATGTGCCACCACCGCCCGGCTGCAGGTATAATTTTTAAGAGGAGAGGGAGGGTCTGTGTTAGAATGGACTAGGATATGGTGGTAAAGGAGATAGAAGATGAGAGACAAGAGAAAGGAACAAGGGAAAGGGTTAGGGATATTTGTCCCAGAGGGACAAAGGACTGCCTCTGGGCAGAGGGGAGACAGACATGGCACATGGGCAAATGCCAGTTTATAAATGTAAAGGGGGGATACTCATATTAGGATGAGGTGTTTAATTTTAATTGGGCATGTTAATTATGTGACCCAAAGGGGGTTTCTGATTCCTGGACTTTGGTAGTCAGCCCCAGGAGAAGGAAGTGGCCAAATAAGGGAATAAACGTTGGTGGCTAATGTAATCTAATGGCTTTTAGCCAGGCAGAGGGAGTAGGTGAGAAGGGCAAGGCCTGCCAGAGCCATGTTTGCCATGCTCAAGCTGACCAGACTCCCTTCAATTACATTGTATTTTTTCCTTTTAAGTTTCATGTGTTGATGATATAATGGGCCAGGTTAGCCAGTATTTATTACTGAAGTTTTCATCAAAGGCATTAGGGATGTTTTTACTTACATTCTTGAGACAGAAAATGTTGGAAAAACTGACCCAGAAAAAACATGTGTAGAGGAGCAACGTTGATCAGTTCTTCCCACTTGATAATGGAAAATCCTTAATTCTAAAACAGTGCTGAAGAAATATGTGTGTGTGTACATTAACTTTAGTGTTTTCAATGGATTTCTTCCTTTTCCTTTTTAATGTCAGTTTCTGTTATTTTAAGGTATGAATTTTATGTGAAATGAGGGTACTTGTTTCTTGCAACTTGTATTTCTAGGTAAGACACATCTGAGTTAGATAAAATAAATACATTGCTTTCTTGTTTTACATTTTTCTTTTTCTTGTACGTGTGTGGCTGTTTTGCCTGCATATATGCCTGTGCACCACACTCATGCAGCTCCTGGGGAGATCAACAGGTGGATCCTCTGAACTGCAGTTGTAGATGGGGTGTGAGCCATCAGGTGGGTGCTGGGGACAATCGAGGCCTTCTGAAGAGCAGCCGTGCTCTTAGCTCAGCCCAGCACGTGTGTTTTTAACACCGTGTAATTAGGAAATATCTTTTAGCCTCTGTGTGTAGTAATTAGAGCGGCAGGCTGTGTTTGCAGCACCCCGGCCGCCTGCTAGCTTATGCCCCGAAATAACAACACACAAATTGTATTCATTTAAACACTGCTTGGCCCATTTCTATCTAGCCTCTTCTCGGCTAACTCACGCACCTGGACTAGCCCATTTCTAGTGTAGCCCACGAGGTGGCTTACCAAGTAGATTCTAGCCTACATCCATCCTGGGTCGGAGCTTCATCGCGTGTGTCTGCCCGGGAGCGGGCAGCATGGCGTCTCTGCTCCAGAGAGCAGAGCTGTTAGTCTGAGCTCACTTCCTCTTCCTCCCAGCATTCTGTTCTGTTTACTCCTCCCACCTATGTTTTAAGCTATGAGGGCCAGCCAAGCAGTTTCTTTATTACTTAACCAATGAAATCAACAGATTGATATATGACACTCCCACATCATCTGTGTGTGTGTGCACATGTGCGCGCAGAGGCCTGGGTCACCTTAGATGTCATTTCTCAAGCGCTGTCTACCCAGTTTTTTCAGTCAGGGTCTCTCACTGGCCTAGAACTTGCTGGGAAGATTGACTGGCTGACCAGTGAACCCAGGGATTCTCTCTGCTTGTCCATTACTGGGATTATAGCTGTGCGTCATCACACCTGGCTTTGTTACATGAGTTCTAGGCATCAAACTTGGATCCTTGTGCTTACCTGGTAAGGGACCTGTGGACAGAGCTGTCTCTCTCCCCAGTTTCCAGATGTCATCATAATGGCAAACAGAGAAATACGTACTTCCCATTTTTACTACTGTTGTTTTATGGCCCGAAAACAGAGTTACTGTCACTTAAATATGTGAAAGAATAGTTGCTTTTTTTGTTTTCTTTTATTTTTGAGACAGGGTTTTTCTATGTAGCTCTGGCTGTCCAGGAACTCATTGTGGCCCAGGCTGACCTTCAACTCAGAGATCCAGAGACCCACCTCCCAAGTACTGGGATTAAAGGTGTGCGCCACCACTGCCCAGCTGGAAAATGGTTTATGTGCTTTATTTAGGAAGTCAAATTTACGTTTTCCAGGTAGACTATAGAGAACTGACCACTGCTTCCAGAAACAAATATAATAGGCTGTACAAATGCAGGAAATAAATACTGAGTATATAAGAGAACCAGTTCTATAAAACATGGTTTAAAAGTACACTTTTAAAAAGTGGATCAATACTCCATTCAGAATTCTGTAATTGATTTTCTTTAGGTGCCGGAGAGTCATTACCCTGAGTCTCAAGTAGCCGCTGAGGAGGAGGGCAACGCTAATGTTGACTCCCCAGTTGCTGTAGCAGCTCAGGCTGGAGCTGAGGAGAGAAGTGAGCAGAATGAATGTTGTCAGAGCGTCCAGAAGTAAGTTGCTTCTCAATTTCAATAAAGCTGTTGGTTAAGAGGAAGATTCGAGCGCTTCAAAATGAACGGAATGAGCATTTCAGCAGTTTTCTGTCATGATGATCTATGTGAGGTAGCCAGCTTGCAGAGAAAGGGTTTGTCTTAGCCATGGTTGGTGGCCTTAGTGCTTTAGGTCTGTGGCACATCATGATGGACGTGCATGGTAGAGAAAACCCACCTACTTCTTGGCCAGGTCTCAAGCCCCTCTTCAAAAGCATGTATTCAGTGACCTGTGAACGTCCCCACAGGCCTGGCCTCTCAGCTTTGTCCACCTCCCAGGAGTGCTGCTCCATTAGCTAAGCCTTGGACAGCAGCCTTGGAGAGACAAGAACCTGCCTGTGATGAATACCATAGCAAAAGCCCTATAACGTGAAGACTCCTTTGTGGGGCTCTACTTTTAGCTGTATTTACTCTAGTATTTTGAGCAAATGAAAACTAGGACCTACCATGTATCAGAAATGTAAGATACATTTTTAAAAAAAGACATAGAAAATATGAAAATGGAGTTTGTTCATTGCTGAAAAGAACAAATTAAATGAAAGGAAGCTGTTTGTCTCCAAGAATGGGTTGTAATTTTCATTTCTACATTTTGTTAGCAGAATGCCAGCTGAAGCAGAAAATCCTGAAGTGAAAGGAATTGACGATGAGATTATCACCGTCACTCATGAGACTGAGAAAGAATTCGTAGGTGTTGACGGGAATCATGCAGAAGTAGAAACGTTTACACATGATGAAGTGAATATTCTCATCTCAGACTGTGACGGTCAGTTCCTGCAGATCATAATTTCCTTTGATGTTACTAATTCATAAAGTTAATAACATTCAAAATAACTCTTTCATTCTTACATATGTTTGCCATTACTTACACCTAAAATAATTTTTTTTTTAACGTTTTGAGACAGGGTTTCTCTGTGTAAGAACCCTGGCTGTCTTGGAACTAGCTCCATAGAACAGGCCGACCTCTGACTCACAGAGATCCACCTGCCTCTGCCTCCATAATGCGCCACCATGCCCAGCTAGAACTAAAAGTTATAGCAGTATTTTTTGAAATGCTGAGCATATTAACTTGTACCTTGATTTTCAGATAAAACCAAGAATATGCAGGACATTTTTGTTAGTACCTTTCTGAGTTGAATCTCTTGCCATGCCCAGGTAGTGGTTTATCCTCTTGATTCTTGTGAACCAACTGAACCTCTCCTAGCTGTGAGCCTCTTCCCATTTGTGAGCCTCTCTTGGAAAGAACCCCGGGAGCTTTGCTGGACTTAGTCAGACTGACGCAAGGTCTCTCGGGGCTCTCCTGGGATCTACTGATGAAGAGGAAGTAGTCTAGGTGTTTTTTGAAAAGTACTTGTATGGGGTTAGACAGTATTTCTGTTATATTGTTTCCTGTAATATCCCCTAAACCTTAGAGAGAGAAAGAAAAAGCGAAAGATTATCTTTAAAAGTTGGTGTTCCCTTCATTTCTAATCCTAGAAGGACCTGTTGGGAGTCTCAGAGGTTCCAGTGCTGCCATCTGCATGCCAGCATCACAGCTCTTACTAGAGGTAAGTCAGTGAACAGCATACAAGAATATGCAACTTCAGCCTCGTGCTGAAATTGCACCTACGTGTGCTAACCCCATTGTACAGTATGTTAAGGCAAAGCTGCTGTCTGCTATAGATGTGCTGACCTGTAGTCTACATGCTGAATTTTTTTCTCTGAGATTGTATTACGTATCTGTTTCCTGAAGTACTCGAACGAGTTAGTCCAGAGTGACCTATGAAGCATGGGTCAGTGGTTTGCAGTTTCTGTGTACTGTTCATTTTCCCACAACCAGATTTCCATGCGGAACATAGGTCTCTCTGTTACTTTAACGTCTGTTTCAAAAAGCATTAGTTTCCCATCATTTTGTAGTGGTTTTCACAGGTTTCATGTAATTTATCAAACTTCAGTCTATAGCAATGCCTCATCTACTTTAACAGACTCAGTAGCTAATACTGATGGTCTAAAGGCAGTATAAGGACCTGGTCAGAGCAGGAATGAACCTTTTAAGGTTCATTTTGTCACTTGCTTTTTAGACTGATACTTAATGTGAAATTCAAAATACTAGCGGTCATGCCTATGTGTTTCACCTGTTTTCATTGTGAGTATGGGCCTTATTGATTTTTATAGCATAACACAGAAGAGGCTCAGTGTCCCAGGAAAGAACTGGAGACGAATGTGGATACAAAATTGACAGAACAGAAAGGGTAAGGAAAAGAAAGAATGATATGTGTCTTTGTCATTGTTCTGTTGCTGTGAAGATATGTTGTGACCAAGGCAACTCTTATTAAACCAAAACATTTAGTTGGATGTTTGCTTTCAGTTTCAGAGTCCATGATCATCATGGCACTAGCTGAGATCCATGCTTTGCATCCTGATCCACAGGCAGCAGGCAGAAAGAGAGTCACTGGGTCTGGTGTGGGCTTTTAAAGCCTTTTAAAACCTCAAAGCATGCCCCAAATGACACACCTTCTCCAACATGACCACACCTCCTTACAGTTCCACCAACGGGACACAAAGCATTCAAACATAGGAGCCTGTGGGGACCATTCTCATTCAAATCACGAAAACGTGATTATTGCCTTTTTAAAAAAAAAATTAGACATTTTTCATAATTTATAATATATATTTTATGTTGGTATTATAACTTGAATTTGTAATGGCAGGGAGTTGTTTTGGTAAACGTTATATTTTCATAGAAATAATCATTTCTTTTTTACTTTTGTCCTCTTATCACTGTCAGCCTTATCAAAATAAATTGTACCTGTAAATAGGCCAGTTTATTCAGCTGCTAATTAAGGAACTGTCTGTCCACACTGATTTTATTCTTATTGAATTAATACAAAAGCATTGTGCATCTGAATGCACACGACCTTCACTGTTGGGTTGTAGTCACCGTATTCTGTCCGTTAGGCACAGACGTGCAGACTTTGCTGCTGTTTGTTTCAGGGAGAGGTGAAAGCAATAGCAATTTTCATAAGTTGCAATTTGAACATGACTTTTAAATTTTTAGAATTTTTGAAAATTTAGGGGCTTGGGGATAAGCTGCTTATCGTATAAGCACAGGACCTGAATTTCATCCCTAGGGCCCATGTGAAAAGCAAGGTATGGTAGAGCTCACTTACAACTCCAGTGCTGGCTAAATAGGCAGATCCCCAGAACCTCCTGGCCAACCAGCCAAACCTAATTGTTGAGACCCTGTCCCAAAACCAGAAGGAACACCCCCTGAGGAATGATACCCACGGTTGACTGTTGGCCTCCATACATACCCATGCTCACATATACCATGCTGTGCAAACTACACTCACACAAAGAATTTTAGGATTGCCTTAATGTCTCTGTCTTTCTATGTGTGTTTCTCTGTGTCTGTCTGGTGTTCTCTCTCTCTCTCTCTCTCTCTCTCTCTCACCTTGATACAAGCCATAGTTATCTGGGAAAAGGAACCTCAGTTTCGAAAACTTACCAGATTGCTTGTAAGGCGTAGGGCATTTTATTGATAAATGATTGGTGTGGGAAGGTCTAGATTACTGGTGGGGGTGGGGGTGGGGACAGTTGGCCCTGAGTTATACAAGAAAGCAAACTGAGCAAGCTAGAAGGAGCACGCCAGTGAGTTGTCTCACTCCATAGTGTCTGCTTCAGTTCCTGCCTCCAGATTCCTGCTCTGACTTTCTTCTATGATGAACTATAGCTCTGTGAGGTGAATAAACTTCTTCCTTGCCAAGTTTGTTTATTTCTTTTTTTTTTTTATTTTTAGTTTTTCGAGACAGGGTTTCTCTGTAGCTTTGGAGCCTGTCCTGGCACTAGCTCTTGTAGACCAGGCTGGCCTCGAACTCACAGAGATCCGCCTGCCTCTGCCTCTGTTTTTTTGTTTTTTGTTTGAGGCAGGGTTTCTCTGTGTAACAGCCCTGGCTTGTAGACCAGGCTGGCCTCAAACTCAGAGTTCCACCTGTCTGTGCCTCCCGAGTGCTGGAATTAAGGGTGTGCATCACCACCACCCGGCTTATTTCTATTTTGAATAGCTAGTACAAAATTTTTTGCTTTTGAGACAGGGCCTCACTATGTAGACCTGGATTTCCTAAAACTTTGTTGTGTTCTAGCTAGCCTCAAATTCATACTCTTCCTGCTTCTTCCTCTCGAATGCTGGGATTAAAGACATATGCCACCACACCCAGCTAAAATGGTTTCCCCTTGAGGTGCTAAAAATTGTTTCTAGAGCCTCTCACATACTGGAAATACACTTTACAAATGAGCTGTATTTCCTGTCCACTAAAGAATTAATTGAATGTCCCATGATGACATTATAAAGTATTAGAAATATTGATATTCTTGAACAGTAATCTTTTTTTTTAATTTATTTATTTATTAAAGATTTCTGTCTCTTCCCAGCCACCGCCTCCCATTTCCCTCCCCCTCCCCTAATTAAGTCCCCCCCCCTCAGCCCGAAAAGCAATCAGGGTTCCCTGTCCTGTGGGAAGTCCAAGGAACCCCCCACCTCCATCCAGGTCTAGTAAGTTGAGCATCCAAACTGCCTAGGCTCCCACAAAGCCAGTACGTGCAGTAGGATCAGAAACCCAGTGCCATTGTTCTTGAGTTCTCAGTAGTCCTCATTGTCCGTTATGTTCAGAGACTCCGGTTTTATCCCAGGCTTTTCCAGACCCAGGCCAGCTGGTCTTGGTGATTGAACAGTAATCTTTACAGTTTCAAATGTATCAGTAGATTCTTTGGTCTGAGTAAAGTGCCATTATTCTGTAGAACGATGGGTCATAGATAACCTTGTGTCCCCTAGGTTCAGATTACATTTTCATTGCTGAGCAATCAGTGCTGCCCGAATTGTGTATTAAATCGTGGAGTCTTTGCTGTTGTTTTGAATCTGTGACTAATTGCTATGGAGACCAGTGTAAACAGATTGTGATTATGAGCTCAGCATTGCAGCACTATTAGAGGACTGGATTCGTAGGTGGCAGGGCTGTAGTTGTGTGCACCTTAGAAATGTGGCGTGTATCTTGGTCCTAATCACTTATTTTTATTTGTAGTGTGATTGAAGCCTTGTCAAATTCTGAACATACCATTCTTCCTTCACTTTGTATAGATGCAAATTCAGAAGCTTCTAGGTAAGATTTTTTTATTTCCTATTCCATTTTGAAACCATGCTTTAAAAATAAGAGAATGAATTGATACCTACTGTGCCAGTCTGAAATAATTGCTAAGTATTTGTACTAAAAACCAAGGAAATAAGCAAAGAGCTGCATAGGCGTACTGTTTTTGACATCTCAATTATTTATTTATTGATTGATTGATTTTTAAAGTATTTATTTGTTTGTTATGTATACAATATTCTGTCTGAGCTGGGCGGTGGTGGCGCACGCCTTTAATCCCAGCACTCGGGAGGCAGAGGCAGGCAGATCTCTGAGTTCGAGGCCAGCCTGGTCTAAAAGAGCTAGTTCCAGGACAGGAACCAAAAAGCTACGAGAAACCCTGTCTCGAAAAAAAAAAAAAAAAAAAATTCTGTCTGTGTGTATGCCTGCAGGCCAGAAGAGGGCACCAGACCTCATTACAGATGGTTGTGAGCCACCATGTGGTTGCTGGGAGTTGAACTCAGGACCTTTGGAAGAGCAGACAATGCTCTTAACCTCTGAGCCATCTCTCCAGCCCCATCTCAATTATTTATAGATTTTCCTATACCATCTGTGTTTTGAAGACATGTGGAACTATATTGGGACAATCATTTCAAGTCCAACAGAAATCTGTAATATATATATATATATATATATATTATTGAAATATTATTGCTCCCATTCATCTTCTGACAACTAATAGCATAAGAAATGCTTTTAGCTCATTTTGGTATTCTTTCCCTCATTTTGCACTACTGGGTGTTTAACCTAGAGCCTCAAGCAGGCTAGATAAGCTGTCTGCCACTGAGCTATGTCCTTAGCCCAGTGCTCTGGGCCAACCCAGATGAGCTTCTGAGATCAGGTCAGAGAGATCAGGCTGCAGTGGCTGAAAAGTTAATTCTCTTTAGGTTTTCCAGTTTTTGTCTTTTTAATTTTCCTACAAAGGTTAAACTGAGTGCTTGGAAATTTTGCTGAGTTAGAAGGAAAATTCAGTACAGTTTTGCTAAAGGAAAAAGTTCACGTAATTAGAATGGATCCCCTTGCTAGTGTTGGAAGTACAGCCCAATGAAGCTGTGTTAGAATTGTCTCGTCAGTTGTCATAGATCTGTCATATAAATGCAGTTTGTTTTTAAGCATGTTCATTGCACAACAAAGGGAAAATGTTGGTGCTGAAGGGAATGAGTATAAGTTCAAATCTACATGCAATTTTGTATGTTCTGTTTGTAAACAATTACTAATTTATTTGAATATTATACTTACTTATTCCCTTAATTAGCTTATAAAATTTGTTTGCTTAGAAAATACTGGGAAGGTTGGATGTGGTGGTGCATGCTTTTAATCCTAACACTTGGGGTGCAGTTTGTAAGTTCCAGGTCAGCCAGGGCTACATAGAGAGGCTCTATTGAAAGAAAGGAGAGACATGGGGGGAGGAAGGAAGGGGAGAAGGGAGATAAACAGAACGAAAAGAATAAAATGAAATACTAGAGACTTATGGTTAAGGAACCATTTCCTAATAATTGTTTTGTCCAAAAGAGACCAAAGAACTTGCTTTGGTCTTTAATTTTTAGTTTTAATAAGTATTTTTATGGTTAATTATAATGGAAACTGGTTTGTTTGAAATGTTCACAGTTCTGTGGTTTCATGCTTAATAATAATCATGTCATTTGTGCTGATAATCTTAGAATTAAATGTTTTTTCCATTTTGTTTTAACTCTGTTTTCTTTCTTTTAATAATTTATTTAACTTTTTTTTTATATGCATTGGTATAAAGGTGTCAGATGCCCTGGAACTGGAGTTAAAAGACAATTGTGAGCTTCCATGTGGGTGCTGGGAATTGAACCCAGGTGCTCTGGAAGAGCAGCCAGTGCTCTTGACTGCTGAACCATCTCTCCAGCCCCTTAAGTCTCTTTTCAGTTGTTAATTTTAGTTAGCATTTCAATCCAAGGTCTCTATGGTTAAAGAGGTCTCAGGCTTGCTGCCTTCCGGAGCCAGGGTGGGCTGTTCTGGGAAGGACACCTGCAGACATTCAGATGATGGGGAGAGCCCTGAATCACTTGAGTAACCTTCAGACCCAAAGAAAAATAGTGTCTAAGTATTTAGGTCATTGTATCTAATTGGGGATTTCTGATGTTGATTAATGTATTTTTTATTTGAATGTTTTTCCACAGTGCACAGATTTCTGAACTTAAAGAGAGATCTTCCTCAGTTCCACCGCTCATGTCGAGCGGAGCCCATGGTGCTTCACAAACACCTGTCCCCACACCTCAGGAGACTCAGAGACACGAACACAGGGTTCACTTACCAGATTCTTCTGATTCTGTTAGGCAGATGCTTCAGGAAGAGATGTTTAAATTAGTTCAGGTGAGCATTTGACTACGTAAATAAATATACACATGATACAGCTTAAAATTAGCAAACTCGTAGAAATGGACTAGTCAAAGTGAATTCCATGCCTTTCTCTGCTCTTACAATTCTCCTCTGGACCTGTAGTAAGATATGTGTGACTTATTTTTCTGGGTATTTTGGGTGAGGTGTCAGGTAGATCAAATCAGATCTTCAAAAAAAATTCCGAATGTATTTTCTTTTTTTTTTTAAATACTTATTTATTTGTTATGTATACAATATTCTGTTTGTGTGTATGTCTGCAGGCCAGACCCCATTACAGATGGTTGTGAGCCACCATGTGGTTGCCGGGAATTGAACTCAGGACCTTTGGAAGAGCAGGCAATGCTCTTAATCTCTGAGCCATCTCTCCAGCACCCAGCCGAATGTATTTTCTATAAAAGTTTTTTGAACCTAATTTTGTCTTGGGCCAAAAGTATCTGGCATTTCAAAAGACTGTTCGCTTTGACTTCTTTTGTCTTTCTTTTCCCCCTAAGCACATTGTTTTCTTTCAACCAATAGTTTTATTTATGTTTATTGCTTTTTAAAGCCATATTATTTTTATTTTTAATTATGTGTATATCCCTGTAGAGGATGTGCATGTGAATGTAGTTGCCAGAGGAGATGGTCAGATCCCTTGGAGCTGGGTTATAGGTCAGCTGTGAGCTGTCTGGTGTGAGTGCTGGGAACCCACTCAGGTCTTCTGCAAGAATAGCATATGCTCTTAGCTACTGAGTCATCTCTCTGGCCCCCCTTTTTCCTCTTACCTCATAATTTCCCTCATACCTAATCCTCTACTCATGTCTATGTTTAGGTATCTTATATTTTTGTTTGTTTGTTTTTGTTATGTTTTTCGAGACACAGTTTCTCTGTGTAATACCCCTGGTTGTCCTGGAACTAGCTCTTGTAGACCTGGCTGGCCTTGAACTCACAGAGATCCACCTGCCTCTGCCTCCCAAGTGCTGGTTTTAAAGGCGTGCACCACCACTGCCTGGCCGGTATCTTTATGTCTTATATTCCATTTTATATTAGTGATTCTTGGCACTGATCTCTCACCGAACGTAGGAGTCCTGGTGAGATACTCTTTCAGGATGTCCACAGTCCCAGGAATCTGACTTTGTCCTTCTTCTCCCCAGTTCCTTTCTACCCCTCTTAGAGGAATGCTACCTGGCTGCCAGCTTGAAGTGGGAAAAGTGTTTCTCCAACTGTTGTGTGAATTGCTGGGGTTCTACCTGCTCAGTGCTCTGTACATTTAACAAGTTCACTGTTTTACTGTGCAGGGTTGAGCGTGGCTGCGTTGTTTTGCTTTCTCCATTACTCGCTCATTTTCACTATGTCCCTTTGTCGCTACCTCCCCACTCTAGTTTTGTTGTTGTTTTTGTTATTATTTAGACAAAATCTTCGTATGTTTACTGTGTCCTCTTGATTGTTTGGCCCCATATATTATATGTGACTGTTGTAGGCAGAGGTTTTCATCAGGACCACTGGCTACCCGTAACCACACAGACACACTTAATATTAGTTATATGCTTGGCTAATAGCTTAGGCTTGCTACTAGCTAACACTTATAACTTAAATTAATCTGTATTTCTTATCTATGCTCTACCACTTGGCCATACTTTTTTTTTTTTTTTTTAGCACAGTGTGTTCATAAAGCTTCTCTCCATGTTTCCTGGTGACTTCACGAACTTCTTCTACCTTACCCCCTTTTTGTCCACAAATCCTATTTAATTTTTTCTTGCCTAGCTATAGGCCAGTTGGCTCTTCATTAGCCAGTGATAGTAATACATGTTCACAGTGTACAAAGGTTGTTCCACAGCAGACTGTAGTCTCTTATGCCACCACTTCCCGGCCTTTTCCTTGTGTTTAAGGCATTATTTTGCATTATTTTGTTTTATTCTAGCTGCAGCAGATCAATTTCCTGAGCCTGATGCAAATAGTAGGACCGTCCTTTGCTAATCTCCCAGACATGCATGGGCTTCTCCAGCAGGTTCATCCTGCACATGCTGGGGAAAGCCCAGCATCAAAGCCCGCAAGGAGTGGTTGTGCTTCTGAGGTCAATAGCAGACAGAGAGTTTTCACTCACCCAGAGTCCATGGGAGAATGTAGCCGGGAGCCTGGCAAGAACAGCCCACCAGACCATGGAGGAGTCAGCCAACCTGATCAGGACAGTAATGGAAATGCAGAGGTAATTTACACTAAGATACCATTAGAACGGAAAAGACAGCTCAATTGGCAGAAGTTCATGTCTGAGGTTTTAAATGTTTGAAGTTCATTCCCTAGAACCAGTGTTAAAGAAAAGTCAGTCATGGTGCACACCCAATCCCAGTGCTGGGGAGGTAGTGACAGATCCCTGGGCTCACCTCAAGCTTGTCTAACCTACTTGGTGAGTTCTTGGCTAATTAGAGACCCTGTTTTAAAATAATAAAAATCAAAACAACAACAATGGATGGTACCTGATGACACCCAAGATGGTCCTATGGTCTCTACCTGCACATGGACCCTCAAGCATTCTATTCTGGTTTTATTTCTGTTCCTCTCATAAAATAACCTGAAAAAAGTAACTTGGGGGAGAAAGGGTTTATCTCACTTTGCAGTTCATTGTAGGTCAAAGTAGAAGGAACCTGAAGTATCTTGTCATATCCCATCCACAGTCAAGAGTAAAGAGGGACAAAAACATGCCTTACTTGCTTATGCTCAGCATCATTTCCCATGCCTAGGGAATGGTGCCGCCCACTGTGGCCTGGGTCTTCCCATGTGAGTTATCTTAGAGAATCTTCCACAGACATATTCAACCCACTGTAGACAGTCTCTTATTGAAACTGTTTTCCCTCGTGATTCTAGGTTGTGTCAGGTTAACAATTAAGGCACATTACAGATGTGCACGTGTGCTCACACACACACACACACACACACACACACACACAAAGTAGCATTTGTGTCCTATTCGATTAATCACTGGCTTTTTGTTATTGGAATAAATGTAATTTTTAGCAATTTTTCTAACATGCTATCCATTTACATCATACTTGATATTATTTACAAAACAATTATAATATAGTATAAATTTATATATTATTTTTCTCTCAGAACATTGCACATGGGAGTATTCCTTTGTGTCAATTAGATGGCCAGCCTAAGATGAGAGGACAAACTGGAGCATCTCGAAGCTTGGAACCCACTTCATTTTCTCGCACTCCTGCTGGAGACACTGGCCTCCAGCTCCTGTTCACCCCTGCTGCTGTCCAGAGGGCACCACAGCTGATCCCGCTGGCCAGAGCAGTTACTCCTGGGAGTGGTTTTCCCCTGCTTCATTTTCAGCCCAAGCGTGAATTCAAGCCCCTCTCCTTACCTCTAGGAAGAATTCCAGAGGTTCCTTTGAGACCTCAGGCCCAACCAAAAGAGGCTTGGGGATTATCTGATTCTTGCCAGCCTCCTCTGTCTCAGAGAATAGTGCAGCCTACCTCACCATGCCACTCAAATCCAAGCCACTACAGTGTGGAAGCCATGAACAAGGCGGATGCTGTCCTCAGAGACACCCCTCAGCATGCGAACTTGGATCAGTATGTTGGACACCACTGGACACCTCGGCAGGCTTCTTCAGTATTTATAAAACAAGAAAGTGTGTTTGATGTTAAAGCAGGGCTCCCTGAGACAGCTCCTCAGAATTCTTTTGGACTTCCTTTATTACACCTGCAGTCCAAGCCACCTTGTATATTCTCATCACCATCGAGATTGCCCTCAGTACCTACCAAATGTGACCCAGAAAGAAAACAAAATCCACAGCTATCATTGCTTCATTCATGTTTGCCCCCGGAGAACACGGTAATGACTTTGTGTGTGGTGATTGACAAGCTGTTGTGTTTTCCCATGCTGCAAACTCTGTATGTTCTGTGAGCGCTCAAGAACATGTTTTAACGTCTATTTATACTGAGTATATATGTCTTAGTTAGGGCTACTATTGCTGGCATGAAACACCATGACCAAAAGCAATTCATGGAGGAAAGGGTTTATTTGGCTTACACCACTTCATCACTTAAAGTTCACCATTGAAGTCAGGACAGGAAATCAAACAGGGCAGGAACCTGGAAGCAGGAGCTGAGCTGAGGCCATGGAGAGGTACTCTTACTGGGTTGCTCGGTCTGCTTTTTTGTAGAACCCTGGACCACCAGTCCAAGATTGGTACTACACACAATGGACTGGGGCCTCTCCCATTGAACGCTGATTAAGAAAATGCTCTGTAGGCTTGCCTACAGCCCAGTCTAATGGAGGCATTTTCTTTCTTTCTTTCTTTCTTTCTTTCTTTCTTTCTTTCTCTTTGAGAAGGGGTTTCTCTGTGTAACAGCCCTGGCTAACTAGCTCCTGTGGACCAGGCTGGCCTCGAACTCACAGAGCTCTGCCTGCCTCTGCCTCCCGAGTGCTGGGATTAAAGGCGTGTGCCACCACTGCCAGGCCCTTGGATGCATTTTCTTAATTGAGGTTCCCTCCTCTGAGGACAATTTTTATATTGGGCCATGTTGACACAGAACCGTGCAGCATAGTGTGCATACATGTGTACACAGTTGAATGTTAGAGGCATGGACTGGTTGTCCCTACCGTGTGGGTTCTGGGGAACAGAATCTGTCATTGCTTGGCAGCAAGTGCTTTACCTACTTCTTTGTTGCTGTTGTTTATTGCGACAGGGTTTCTTTGTGTAACAGTCCTGGGTACCCTGGAACTGGCTTTATAGACCAAGCTGGCCTCAAACTCACAGAGATCCGCCTGCCTCTGCCTTCCAAGTGCTGGAATTAAAGGCATTTGCTACCACCACCTGGCTTTACCAGCCTTTTTCTTAAAATAATTCTTCTGTTACAGACAGTAGCATAGAATTCAGGTTTTAAATTATTTTACATCTTAAATATTTTAGGTTTTTAATATAAATGCCAGAATTTACACTCTTTTATGTATATTTTTGCATACATAAGATATAAATAAAATAGCCGGATAGTGGGGCGCACGCCTTTAATCCCTGTACTCAGGAGGCAGAGGCAGGAGGATCTCTGTGAGTTTGGCCAGCCCGATCTACAAGAGCTAGTTCCAGGACAGGCTTCAAGCTACAGAGAAACTCTGTCTCTAAATATAAACAACAACAACAACAACAACAAAAAGATATAAGTAAAATACAATTGACCAGAGAGAGTGTGTGTAGTCAGTGCACATGGTGTGCTTGAAGTTCTTAGCAATTGTGACACCATCATCTTCAAATTCGTTTCAGATAAAAGTTTTTAAGCACATGGAAGTTTGTCAGTAGCTTTCCAGCAATGAGACAGTAGCTTTATAAACATACCAAGTCCTCTTCAAAGACACTGTCTTTGACTTACCAACTTACGATGGTTGAGCTTCTGACTTGTATTAGGGCAGCGATTGAGTGACTTGTTCTCAGGTACACTTTACCACCACAGGTGCTGCTACAGAAAGTAAGGGTTGGCCGGGTGGTGGTGGCGCACGCCTGTAATCCCAGCACTCAGGAGGCAGAGGCAGGCGGATCTCTGTGAGTTCGAGACCAGCCTGGTCTACAGAGCTAGTTCCAGGACAGGCTCCAAAACCACAGAGAAACCTTGTCTCGAAAAAACCAAAAAAAAAAAAAAAAAAAAAAAAAACCAGAAAGTAAGGGTTATTCATTAGAGGAAGTATCAGCCACACCTGTTCTGAACATACTATAAACAGAGGAGGACATTAAAGATTTTGAGAACAATTTTATTATTACCACAGGTTTTCCTGGCCCTGTTTAGGGCTATCAGCATATGCTGATATGCTTCCTCCATCTATAGTCTCCAAGCCACTTCATCCTGCCTCTTGTATTTACAGTCAATATATATTTATAATATAGCCCTACATATATTTCCCTCACAGGGAGGAATATTTTATATGGAAATGCAATTTAGAAGAGGAGGAAACAAGATGGCTCAGTTGAGGGCAAAGGATGCCACTGAGTTTTCTTTCAAGCCGTGGCTCAGCATCCTCAAGGCCCTGAGCCAGTCTCCAGGGAAGGAAGTAAAAAAGACCTATATGAAACTTAACGACCCTCTCTAATTGTCTAAAATGCGGATATTCATTCTTCCTGTCCAAGTCAGTGTTCTGTCTCTTATGTGTCTTAGTTAAATTTAAACATGTTTTCTTTGTTTTTTCAACATAATTGTGTATTTGAGTTGTTATGCTTTCTTTCTGTAGTACAAGAAGCCACAACTTATCCCACTTGAAAACCTCATGGCATTTAAAAGGAGCCAGCAAAAACTAGCACATAATGTGTTTGAACAAGGTGATTCTGGGCATCTTCAGCTTCTAAAGGTCAACACGGAACCATCTAAAATAACACAAGGAAAGAAGAGGCGAGTTCTGCATGAAATGTTACCTGATGTGTTGTATGCCTGGATCCTAACAATGGTCCTGCTTTAGTTCCTTCATAGGAATGTAGTTCGTAGTGTCAGCTAATCTCGCGGTGAGGGAAGATTTCCCCCCTCTCCATTTTTCTTTCTTACTTTTCATGGGTTGGAGCACTTTTCTCCATGTTTCTGTGACAGAATGTTCTGTAGTACTAATTTTTGGGATCAAGTAAAATTCCGTGAACAGTTAGCTCTTTGAATCAATATTTACCTTTCCTCGCTTCACCATGTATCCCCCAAAGTGTAGAAGGTGCAGGAGTGTCGGTGATGGTAGGAAGTGTCTCGGCACTAAGAGATGTGTTTCCCAAGTCGAACTGAAGAGAGCTCATGACAGTCTTTGACCTGCAGCGGATGTTGAAGACTTGTTGATTAGTATGTTATGAGTACAGAACACGTGTTCAAATTTACCAGTGCTGGTTCTTCCAGTGTTGAGCTCTCCTTGCTGAGGCTTTTACTTAGCCTCCTCAAGGGGCTTAGAGGAGGTTTCCATAGGGCTTCCGCCGCCAGCTTCTACCATGTTCCAGACGTGTACACCTGTTTCCACATGTTAGCGACCAAGTCAGAGTGCTCAGTTCAGGGGCACCCGTGCCCGTGTGTTCCTGCGGAGTCTCTTGCTAGTTTAGTTAAGCCTTAGTGACATGGATTTTCAGCAGTTGTTTTCAAGTGTCAAGACACAAATGAGAACCTGAAGTTACTGTGAGGGAAATCATGTTCTGTGCTGTTGTCTCTGTCAGGCGGAGCAGACGAGCTGAAAGAGAGCTACAGGAAGGAAGAGCTCAGAAGCCAAGAGGGAAACCAAGTGTTAGTTTCCGACCAGAGGAGTCCCTCATTAGTAACGGCTCGGAAGTCATCACGGAGCCCAAGGTACAGAGCAGCTGCAGTAATCCATCCCTAACTTGCATGGAGCACTTTGGTATTTCTTTGTGGCTGTGTAGCCTGGTTGCTGCAAGGTTCAGGCTGTGGTCTGAAGGGTCTGGCCGTCATTATACACCTGAGCTCTACTGATTCCCTCCACACACAGACACACTCAGTGTGAACATGAGAAACAACTGGACGACAAACTGAAAACGGCAGCTTAGCACATCTGCCTGGTGACGCTATGTAGAAGTCACTCTGGGGGTGGGGGCTGGAGAGATGGCTCAGAGGTTAAGAGCACTGACTGTTCCTCCAAAGGTCCTGAGTTTAGTTCCCAGCAACCACATGGTGGATTATAACCATCTATAAATGATATCTGGTACCCTCTTCTGGTGTGCAGGCAGAACACTGTATACATAATAAATAAATCTTTTTTTTAAAAAGTCACTCTGGGTTTTCTTCCGTCTTAATGCATATGGTGTGTGATCTGCCTGGTGACTGCTGTGTAGAAGTCACTCTGGGTTTTTCTCTTAATTTTCTGTCTTAATGCTCATGGTGTATGATGTTATCATTTCCTCTTGGAGGCTGAGAAGCCTCCAGGCTTATCCAGGTACATTTGCTTTATAACCTATTTTATAAGTCAAATCTCTTTAAGCATTCATTCTGAATTTGGAAAAAAACATTAAAGAGATACATAATTTCAATCATGTATGTTTAAAAGCCTTGCCTTTTCATCGAGTCCTCATGACCATGTACAGAGATACTAAATATCTTTCGAGTCTATTGAGGAGTTTAGTAGGATAGAGGTACAGTTTGGGTGTCAAGTCTGCTCTGCTGGGGAGACCTATACATGGTAATTAGTAAGTTGGTATTAGCCGGGCAATGGTGGCGCACGTCTTTAATCCCAGCACTCAGGAGGCAGAGGCAGGCGGATCTCTGTGAGTTCGAGACCAGCCTGGTCTACAAGAGCTAGTTCCAGGACAGGCTCCAAAGCCACAGAGAAACCCTGTCTCGAAAAACCAAAATAAATAAATAAAGTAAGTAAGTAAGTTGGTATTAAATTGATAATACTGTTTTATTACTTGACAAATGGATTTTATGAACTCTTATACACTTGTTTTGACAGAGTAAACAGTTAGGCCTAAAATAATGAAAAGTAAACCTGTAACTTTGAATTCAATTTTTATAGCTATTAGATGGACTTTTTTCCAAAATAATAAACACCTTTGAGTTATTAATACATTGTTTGGCTCTATTTAGGAACAACTAGGACATGGTGATTCTCAGCCTTTGGAAAAATTTGACATTCCTTTCGGTATGTATACACATGATTAATGTCTAAGTTTAATGTTAAGTCAGCTTTTTAGAAATAAATATAATAAGGCTGAGCGGTGGTGACACACACCTTTAATTCCAGCACTTAGGAGGCAAAGGCAGGTGGATCTCCGAGTTAGAGGCCAGCCTGGTCTATAAATCAGGATCCAAAACAGCCAGAGCTACACACAGAGAAACTTTTTTGGGGTGGGAGAGGGAAGGAATAAATGTAATATAAAACTGAGACTAAGTTACTATCTTAGTCAGTGTTCTGTTTGCTGTGAAGAGACACCATGACCACAGGATTCTTTTTTTCCCCTTTGGTGTTTTGTTTGTTTGTTTGTTTTGTTTTTTGTTTTTTTGAGGCAGACTGTCCTGGACTCTGTAGACTAGGCTGGCCTCAAAATAAGTAATCTACTTGCCTCTGCCTCTGTCTCCCAAGTGCTGGGATTACAGGCATGCCTCCCTCCCCAGCAAAGCAGCTCTTGTAAGAAAAAGAAAAAAAAAAAGCCCACTCTTGCTCACTCTTATTTAAGAACTTCTAAGTTGCGAACTGCCTGAAACTAAGAGCAACTAATAACCAACTATGTGTTTATATACTCAGTTGTTTTATGTCTATATTATTATACCTAATTTATTATGTGTAATTGTTAGTCTCTGTCTCCGTCTGTCTCTTTTTTTCCTAGACATGGTTTGTCTGTAGCTTTGGAACCTGTCCTGGAACTAGCTGTTGTAGATCAGGCTGGCCTCAAACTCACAGAGATCCGCCTGCCTTTGCCTCCCAAGTGCTGGGATTAAAGGTGTGCGCCACCACTGCCCAGTATTATTCTCTTATTCCATCTAGTCTTTGTAGGCCATCTCCTTGTAGAATCTCAGTCTAACTCAGCCTGCCATAATATACTTGGTACTTGGATTCTACTCCTGCCAAGCTTCTCTGCTGGGGGAAAGACCACTTGTAACTCGTGAAGCCGGATTTCATTGTCTTTCCTGCCCAACTGCTTTTTTTTTTTTTCCCCTTGCTATGTTCTCTGTCTCCATTTATATTAATACCAACCAAATGACAACCTCCAAATTCTACCTTTTACTTTTCCTTACTTCTACTCAGCCAGCCAGTCTCAGCCTTTCTTACCTCCCTTGTAACACAGCTACAGAAGCCTTATCTGATTGTCTCTGGTTTTATTCATTCAACTCTGCCTTCCTCTGGTGGGGTGGGTTTTTCCAGTAGCGATCTGATCACATTGCTTCTACTGGATCTTCATCAGCTAGAGGAGAAGGCTCTAGGTTTCTGGGCCCGACCACTGTGTCCTCTCCAAGTGTGGGTTCGATTCACTGTGTCTTTAAGATGTAGTTATACAGCACCACATGTAGAAAATGTACTTTGATATCATCCCAACACACACCTCCAATTACTGTGCTTCCAATAATATGCTGCCTCTCAGTGATTGCTTTCAGTGTTTTGTTACGTTTAAGAAATGTTAGAAGATGATGTTCATACTTCAGCTGGACTGCATTTCATGGCCTCTGTACGAAAGAAAGTTGTGGGAAGTCAGGATGCAAGTACAAACACAGACCCAGGTAAATACTTTAAATGTTTGAAAAGTTCATGTATAGCAGGAGACCTAGCTTAGTGGTTAAGAGCACTTGATATCTTCCAGACTGACTTCAGTTTCTAGCATCTGTGTTGGGAAGTTCACAAGTGATTGTAATTCTGCAGAGGATCTGATGTAGTCTTCTGGCCTCTGTGGGTATGGTATCTCTACTTAGCCAGCATACATAGTCACATATACACGTGATTAACAAATAATGTCTTTTAAACTTTGGTAGATATTTATACATTTTCTTTAAGGCAGTAATTTAAAGAGAATTTTAAATTATGTGATATTAGTTACTTATCCCAAGTTATTCTCCTTAATTTTCTAGGAAAAATTATAAATAGCATTTATGATAACATGAAATAGCATTATGATAACCTGAACTTATAATTTAAGTAAAACATAAAATAGATATTTTCATAAAATAGATATTGCAAGCCTGTTAAAGAGCTCAAGTGAGTATAAAGAATGTTCAAATTAGACACCCTAGGTCAGGAGTCTCCTCCACTGGTCATGTGGACCTAGGGTGAGAGGCTTGGGGCTCTGGCTGGTGACGCTGGCTTGAGGATAAGACTAGTCTGTGGTTAGGCTGAGAGGTCAGAAGTGTGCAGAACCTTTCCAAATATTCATTACACCTCGGACTTTGTCTCCTTATAAAATGCTTAAGTACTCGTTGATATAATAATATAGCAAGCTATGTCAAATATGAAATCATACATTTCATATAGCTAGGTGCAGCGCATAGCAAAAGTGTCCTTTCATAGTATCTGAACTCCTGGTCCCCGGGTTTCCCATATTCCTAGCTTTTCCCTGAGAATTTAACTGTCATGTCCCATTCCCAGTTACCTTTAGACACTCATAGAGCATCCTAGCATGGTGTTCCTTTGTGCTATATTTACATCACAGTACATTTGCAGCATTGTGGAAGGTGACACACGTGTGTTCAATATTACTGCATAGTTTGTGCATACTAATAAAATAGATACTAGTGAAGTAGTATTTAAAATATATAATCATCCTTAATATGTTGTTACTTAGTAGTTTAAGTCTGAGAAAACTGGATGACATGGAATACCTTTTTTGTCATGTAAAGTTATTTTCACCTTATATCTGAAAATTGCCAGCTCGCTTATTTTCAGGTTTATTTATGTCTTTTGCATTTCCTTTCCTTTCTATTTACTTTAAACATTCCCTTCTATTGCATGAGTATTTTATAAGCATATTCCTTTTGCAGTTGTGCAAAGGAATATTTAACCAGCTTCTGTTGTTGAGTACATTGATGTGTTAATGTGTTAGATAGTTTTTAGGGTTTTTTCTTTCTTCTCCCTTCTTTTCTTTGAGTTGGGGGAAATTAAGCCAGGGTCATATTATATTAATTAAGCTGGCAGTCTATTTTCCCACCACCTTTTCCATACACTATCTGTTTTTATATATTTAATTTTCCTGTGTTTGTGAAATTATTTTTCTTTTTTCTTTTTCCCTCATATATTTGAATTTACTACAAGATAAGGAAGGTACTTCCCAAGAAGTTGGTTCTGAAAGCGGTAAAAATCAACAAGTCGTTTCTGCTACCTCAGGTGTGAGTTCTTTGTTCTCTGAGATTAAGTTTGACTTATTAAAGCTATGTCTGCATAGTGCGAAAGCCAAAGTTACTCCCTTAGAAAACAGTTTCCCCAAGCAAGTGGCTTCATAGAGATAGGGTAACAATTTAAATGGTTTTGTTTTTTTTCCCTCAGATCTTAAAGTTAACCTGTGATTTAAGATTCAAGATTTATTAGCAGTTTTTCAGTAAAGTTGATATGTCATGAATTGTATTTTACATATGAATTGTCAAGTAATATTAAAAATAAAATGCTAGAAAAGTAGATTTGAGTCCTAGGACAAAAGCAGGGTTCAACTGTCTGCTTACCTCTGTAGTGGAGAACCTCTGTGTACTGTTGAATAGAGGCAAATAACTAATGAAATTCAGCTGTTGGAATGATTTGTTTATTTATAACTTTAAAAAATGATTTATTTATTCTTATTTTATGTGCATTGGTCTTTTGCCTGCATGTATATCTGTATGAGGGTGTCAGATCCCCTGAAACTGGAGTTACAGACAGTTGTGAGCTGCCATGTGGGTGCTAGGAATTGACTCCTCTGGATGAACAGTCAGTGTTTGCTCTTACCTGCTAAGCCAGCTCTCCAGCCCCCAACAGTTGAAAATATAAAAGTTAGCAGTGAGCCTATGACTAGCCTAAATCCATTTTAAGAATAAGAATGTTTAAGAATAAGCATGACTTAACTATTGAAAGTTTTTAAAGTGTAGCTGATATGTATATTTCTCTTAAGTAAAATAATTTAATATATTTAAGATAGAAATAGGAAATTATAACTTTTTTATAAAATTTAGATACCTTATTTTCCATGTATGTTATTCATAAAAGAAGAGTACTCCTTTGTCTTTGATTATAAATTTCCTTATAGAAAATCAACTCTTAGACTAGAATTGGTTGGATTTTATATTTATACCTAAGAAACTTGTATAAGAAATACACATTTTATATTATTTTGCTGTAATCTTGTTCTTAGAAAGTTAAGGACTATAGACATATTTATTTAACATTTTTAATTTTCTTTCTTTAATTTCCAGGCCATGAACCTTTGAATGTTCCTCAACTCTTGATTCCAGATGTCTGTCTAAATGTCAGACTTCCCACGGGAATACCAGAGAAGCCTTTGTCTCCTTCCCCACCTCATTTGGTAATAGCCTTGGTGTCTGCATTGAATTTTAACAATAACCTTGTCTCACACTTACTGTGGCCATCCATATATAATACCCCATTTTTTAGGCAAAATGAGTATAAAGATGTGCACAGCTCTGAAAGAAGGGCCAGAAGTGTCTGAAGTGTTATGCCCTATACTGCTCCAATTAGAAAGCTCAAACATATTGCTGCTTTCTGCAAGTTAGGCATGCAGATGCTTGCTTGTTAGTAATAAGAAGGATGACAAACTAACATTACCACCTGTTTGGTAGTCATCTAAAATTAAAAATAAATGTTACTATGTGTTTAACTCAGGCTAGACACACGTACATAGATGTGATTGACATTGAAGCTGAGGACCTTTTGGGATTACCTGCCAGTGAAGAGCCTTCAGATGACAATGTTCTCCAGCCACAGAGCCGTCCTCCAGAGGGCCCATTGTCTGCAGAGCTGCATTTTATGGCAGCTTCAGTTGTCAATGCTGTCCCCCCTCATGCTTTCGAGAGTCAAGGTATTTTTTTCCTACACTAAGATGTATTTAGCCCTGTTACGTCACCCAAAATTTCCTAGATCCCTAGATCCATGCTTGTGTTGACATTTAGAAATGTTCCCTTAGCCTCTCAGTTGCCTGGACTGGAAATTTACAATCAGTGTTTGTCTGTCTTTTATGTTCTAATCTAGGTTTAATTTCTGAACCTGCAAAAGGGACAGAATCTTCTCTGGATGGGAAAAACTTAAAAGCAAACGTTGTGGACGTGAAGGAGCCGGGGATTCTCTCAGTGATCCCGTCAGACAGGCAGCAGGACAGAGGTAAACAGCCAGCGTGTACTGCATGGCCCCCTCCCTCTATTCCTGTTACGTTAGAAGTGTTGCTCCTTGGTCATTTCTAAGGCACTTGAAAGAGAAAGGGATAAGGTATGTAAATGAGGTACAACCGTGGCTGTAAGTCTGGGACCCACGGTAGTTTGCAAGAAGACTTCATATCTCTTGTGCACGTCTTTCCTCGGGTAATAAGGTGAAAATAAACATCTTGTCTGAGCCCTTTAGTATTCTGATGTTTAAAAGGAGGAGTTCTCATCTTTGAAAAGAAGGAAAACTCAGGGCCAGTAAAAGCACTTTCACTCTTACGCCTGATAACCCAAATTCAGTCCCAGGTCCTATGATAGAAGAGACCCAGCTCCCTAAAATTGTCCTCTGACCTCCATACTCACATGGTGGCACACACACTCGTTGTCCTGCCTGTCACACACAGATGAAAGTGTATGTGCAGGAAATTTGTAATAGCACCTAGTAAATACATGGGCATAGTAGCCAACTAATAACTCAGGGGTGTTTGTTTTGCTTTTGAGATATAATTATATAATTTTTCTTCCTATCCCTTTTTTCCTTCCAAATACTCTTATATACCCTTCTTTGCAAATTTATGACCTCTTTTTTTTAACTAATTGTTCATGCTTGTGTATATGTATAAGCATATATGACCGCCTGCTTCCTCTCTTACATGCCAAGGCCATTCTGAGTTGCTACTGTATTGTTAGTGGAGACTGCTCATTTGTTTCCTGGCCACCCAGACCCAAATAATCACTCAGAAACTATATTAATTACAACACTGCTTGGCTTATTATTAGCTTATGCATACTTCTAGCTAACTCTTACATCTTAAATCAACCATCTCTACTAATCTGTGCATCGCCATGAGGTTGTGGCCTACTGACAAGTTTCCAACATCTGTCTCCTCTGGCAGTTACATGGTGTCTCTTTGACTCTGTCTACTTTTTCCTCTATCTCTGCTTGCAATTCCTGCCTTACTCTCTTCTTCCCTGTAATAGACCCAAGTAGCTTCGTTATTTATTAACCAAACACACTCACAGCACACAGAGGGGAATCCCATATCACCTCCCCCTTTCTGTCAAAGTAAAAAGGAAGGTTTTTACTTTAGCATAGCAAAATTACATACAACAAAACAGATATCAAGCAAGAATTACAAAAGTTTCAATACTTATATCTGCTTTATCTTTTATCCTAACTAAGGAAAACTATAACTATTTATTCTTCAACTGCATCAGAGACCACAGAAGGATATAATATTACCTAAGTTAACAGGAAGCGCATTGTAAGCAACTTAAAACTCTAGAAATGACAGAGACAGCTCACTGCCTGGACAGTCACCCTAAGTTCTTCTGTAACATTGGGGATCCATCTTCAGCCTATAGGCCCATAGTATCAGGTAGTCTTTTCCATGAAGCAGGAAATTTCAAAGACAGTTCTGCCTATATTGGCAGTTTGTCTGTGTCCTGCAGACACAGACAAATGTCTGCAGAATGTCTGGCAGACTCTTTCATGAAGCAGGAACCCTGAAGGACGGTCACACCTTTAAGCAAGTTCATCAGTCATTTCTCTGTGCGTTCTGCATGTCCAGTTTATACAGCATAACATCAAGCAGTCCAGGCAAGAGCAGTTTCTTGCCCAAATGGCTAACAAACTCCATAAGGAGCTTCGTAGATGCCCATCATCCTCTTGAAGTAGATTGGTGCTGCCAGGAGCACATATGTCTCATTGTCATGAAAAGTCATAAGCTCTTAAAACATTTTAATGCCATATTCTCTTAGTCTTTGAAAAGTTTGAAGAATAACTGTCTATCTGAGATATATCTCTATATATCTAGAAAACCTAACATGACTAGCTTGATTATTATAGATGACTATCTACTAATCTATATTTCTTAATTATACATTAAATTTTTAAATGAGCTGCACAAACACAATACCTTAATCAAGAGCAGAAATATACATATATCAAAATTGACCTTAAATTTGTATCAATAAGGCCGGGAGGTGGTGGCGCACACCCTTAATCCCAGCACTCGGGAGGCAGAGGCAGGCAGATCTCTGTGAGTTTGAGACCAGCCTGGTCTACAAGAGCTAGTTCCAGGACAGGCTCCAAAATCACAGAGAAACCCTGTCTCGAAAAACAAAAACAACAACAAAAAAATGGTATCAATAAACCAAGATCCATATTAATGCAAAATATTCTTCTCTATATAGCATATCCCCCTTTAAATGTAAACAAATGTTTATAAACAATACTTGGGAATTTGGGCATAGTTCTCTCCAAACTGCTTCCTGCTGTTTTTTGGGGAAAGTAATTTTAGGGTTTTACAGAGACCTTTTGGGTGGTCTTGGTCCATCAAAGCACATTAGTCTGGATGGGATCCACAGGTTCTCATCTTCTGTGGAAACAAAAGCAGAACCTCTTTTTCAAAGCAACATATCTTTAGACCCAAATTTTGAAGTCAAGATACCTTTGAAATGGCCGGGCGATGGTGTCGCACGCCTTTAATCCCAGCACTCGGGAGGCAGAGGCAGGCGGCTCTCTGTGAGTTCGAGACCAGCCTGTTCTACAGAGCTAGTTCCAGGACACGCCCCAAAGCCTCAGAGAAACCCTGTCTCGAAAAACCAAAAAAAAAAAAAAAGATACCTTTGAAATATATATATATATATATATATATATATATATTGGTTTAGCTTATCAGCTCCTAGAATCAAATATCTCTATAGTTAAAAAATTCAAAGAATACACAATAATATACATAATCCAGACTTTCTGTGTCTATTCCATCTTTAGGTGGCTTATTTGTTTTTACTTCTTTAATCTATGACTGCCTGGACTCTATCTCTAAAGATTTTGTTTAGTTTTTCTATACTCTTTTTCTTCTTTCCCTTAGCCTATGTACATTTGTCTAACACTGTAACCCATTTAGAGGTCTTTTTTCATTTGAGTCTGTCTTTATTGCATATCTGTAATCCTTTTCTGACCAGGACCGCATCTTAAAATGCTAAGCCGCGTGGCTAGGACTAATTCTGTTTTGCCTTTTGCCTCTGCCCAGTCCAACATGGCAGAGGTCTGTTCAGTACCGTCTCTGCAAGCCATGCTCACAGTCCCATTTTCAGGCACACAGCAGGTCTGTGTTGCCATTAAGTAAGTTGTAGCACTCTGCTCACAAACCCCTTTTAAATGCTCTATAGCCAGACCTTCCAAAAGAGTCAGAGTTGTTCACACAACTAGCACAAACCAGGAAGCCTTTTTAAAGGAGCTGCATGGTTTTTGCTGCCAATTATGAGTCGGGAAGACCTCTCTTAAAGGAGCACCAGCACCCCCTCTGCTTGCCGCCAGCAAACAGAGCCCATCTGGGAAAAAAAATGCGGCTACCAAGAAGCTGTGCTAAACTGTTTTTTGTGTGTGTGTCTAGAATTCCTTTTCAAGCTCTCTCTGTTAGTGGAGACTGCTTCTTTGTTCCAGACTGCCCAGACCCAAAATAATTACACAGAAGCTGTATTAATTAAATCACTGATTAACCAATAGCTTAGGTGTCTTTTTAGCTAGCTCTTATATCTTAACCCATCTCTATTAATCCATACATCACCATGAGGTTGTGGCCTGCCAGTAAGGTTCTAACATCTGTCTCCTCCAGCAGCTACATTGCATCCCTCTGACTCTGCCTACTTTCTCCTCTATTTCTGCTTGGAATTCCCACCTTACTGAATTCTGCCCTGTGATAGGCCTAAGCAGCTTCTTTATTCATTAACCAAACACATTCACAGCATACATAGGGGAATCCCATATCATTGTACACCAGATCTTCCCTGAGGGTGACTCAAGGAGACACTTCAGGCTGCTGAGAAACAGGACCAGTAGTCAGATAACAAATGTGAGGGTAAACTGAAACAGGGTAAGGCAGTATCAGCACTGACACCGTCTTCTCCTGGGAAGGCTAGCCAGGACTAGGACCAGAAACTCTCAAAAAACTCTCATCTTTCAGAGACTTTGTTGTATAACTTGATCTTCATAAAATTCCTATGAGCTAAGTACAGTAGGCAAAATAAGCTGTTTTTGATGGATTTCTCATTCCATAAACATGTGGGGACCAGATACTAGGAGTGGAAAAAGTACCTGCAGGTTGTCAGCCTGTGGGCAGTGACTGTGGGGAAAGGAAGATGGGAATTAGGATTATTAGATTCAGGTTGGAAGTGCTGCGTGGGCTGGGTGACTGAGCAGGACAACATCTAATCTCCTTGAGAGGGTAGAGACACCAACAGTGTTTGTTAAAGGGGCTCAGATGAAGGGAGAAAGCGCATTCAGACTGAGGCTTGACTGCAGGAGTGCAGTTTTGTGGCACCTGCTGGGTTTGGGAAGTTGGGATTTGTTGAAAGCAGGAGCAAGAGCTGAAGCTTTGGCGGTGGAGGGAAGGCTGTGCCATTGTTAGACATACTGAGACATTTAGACCGTTAAGGTAAGGCATTAGAGACACATGGAAAGGTTTTGCGGGGGAAAGTAACAATATCAAATTTATGTTTTTAATTTGTCCAGCTAGGCATTGTGGAAGATAGACTACACAGGAGAAAAGTAGGATGTTATTTGAGGTCTGTGTTCTGAGCACACCAATAAAGCAGTGTAGGGATGGAGCCGTGGAGGAGGGAGAGCCAATACTTGATGTCACTTTGGAATATGAAGGAGAGCAACCCTCGCTTACTTTTAGGCCTGTGACTTGGGGAACGTGGTGAATAGTAGTGTTTCCTGAGCTGGGGACCAGGGAAGAGGCAGCCAGCTAGAAGAGAAGCAATGTGTTGGGCTTCCAATGTTTTCTGCTTGGCTCACATTCTGCATGGTAGCCAACACTGAATTAGCTTTTATTGTGTAATGCTGTTGGTTTTCAGTAGTTGTTTTTTAATGCAGTAGCAGTTTGTACGAAGGGATTGCTATGTGTGCAGAGCTGTGTGTGCTACATTGTTTAGATCTATAATCCACCATAGGCTTAAATCTCAGCAGTCCAGAAAGTGAAATAAATTTATAAGTTTCTTAACTAATAAGAGATTTGGAAACTAATGGCATGTTGGCCTAAATGAGATTATCCTTATCTTCTTTTCCCTTAAGATTAATGCTGATCTTTCTTTGATTTATGTTAGATCTGCTAGAACCAAACTTCCAGTTCAAGGAACAGAGCTCGAAATTGGACTCTGGAGAACAATCTCTGCTTTGGACTCTGCTACAGGATGTTCCTACTGCTTGTCCCACTCCAAGCCCTGCTGCTTGTCCCACTCCAAGCCCTGCTGCTTGTCCCACTCCAAGCCCTGCTGCTTGTCCCACACCAAGCCCTGCTGCTTGTCCCACTCCAAGCCCTGCTGCTCGCCGCATTCCAAACCAAGCTGCTCAAAAGTTAGAACATCTTACTGCCAAGCTTCAGAAGATGGACGAGCAACTGTTAACAGTGCAGACCATTGTGGAAAATATAGAGCAGGATTTCCCTGCACCAGAAGTACTGAATCTACACTGGGAAAAGGTATCTATTCTTATTTTTTAATGTTTTGTTTATTGTCTTTTGGTGTGGGTGCGTGTGTGTGTGTGTGTGTGTGTGCGCGCGCGCTCGTGCCTATGGTAATGGTTCCCAGTCATTAAAAACATAGTATTGTTAAGTATTTTTTCTTAACTGACCAAACCTCTCCGCCGACACACATAATCCCAATCAGACCAAATCAGACCTGATTAGAAGATGCCCATGTTTAATGGCTGCCAGCACTCCCAGGTGGCCCCCAGAAAAACACAGAGAGGGAAAGAAGAAAAAGGGGAGACCATGTGTTTATTTTCGGGGAGGAGGGGTCACCAATTGGCATGCTTTCTCAGAGGTGGAGTTTGGACTGAGGCAACTCCCAGGGGCGGGAGCTTTGAAATGGAACTTTCTGCCCAACATTCCAAAAATGGATGCCAGGGGACTGGGGTAAAGCCCCCTAACTAAATAAGTATGATCAATATGATATAATTTTATATATCTGAGTTTGTTAAATAATGGAGAAAAATTTAAGCTAGAATTTTTAAACTCGGCACTATTGACAGGCTAAATCAGCAATTCTCAACCTGTGGGCTATGACCTTTTGGGGGTCAAATGACCCTTTCACGGGGTTCTCCTAAGACCATTGGAAAACAAATATTTATATTACAATTCATAACAGCAAAATTACAGTTAGGAAGTAGCTATAAAGTGTTTTGGTTGGGGTCACCACAACATCAAGAACTGTATTAAAGCTTTGCAGCATTAGGAAGGTTGAGAACCACTGGGCAAGATAATTGTTTTTCTTTCTTTTGTGGTTCTGAGGTCATTCACATACTAGGCAAGTGCTCTACCAGTGAGCCCCACTCCCAGCTCCAGGTAATTCTGTCTTCCCACATTTACAGCATCCAGGTCTTCACTCACTACGTGCTGCTAGCAGAACCCAAGTAAAAACAATCAGCCATTGTTTCCCTGACATTGTCATATAACACTCAGATCACCCCAGCTGAGAACAACTGCCAGAAGCTTTTATGTGGGGAGCCCGTGCTCCAGCACAGAAGGAACTCTGTGAGCTGCAAACCAGAATGTGACTTGAAATCTCTGCGGTCAATGGCATTTTCCTCTCAAAGATTTTTTTTTTCTGTTTTGTTGTTGTTGTTGTTGTTTTGTTTTGTGTTTTGAGACAGGGTTTCTCGGCATAGTCCTGGTTGTCCAGGAACTCATTTTGTAGATCAGACTGGCCTTGAACTCAGAGATCTGCTTGCTTCTGCCTACTGAGTGCTCGGATCAGATGTGTGTGCCAACACCTTGCAGCTAATGTTATTTTATGTTTTTTTTTTTTTTTTTTTTTTTTTGGTTTTTCGAGACAGGGTTTCTCTGTGGTTTTGGAGCCTGTCCTGGAACTAGCTCTTGTAGACCAGGCTGGTCTCGAACTCACAGAGATCCGCCTGCCTCTGCCTCTGTTTTTTGTTTTTTTAACCACAAACTTGGACATGGCCAAATGAACCTGGAGCATCAGAGTAGTCCTTGGAGGCCTTTTCTTCAAAGACCCTCTTGAAATGGCCTTCTGAACTAGTAGTAATGCAAATTTAAAGCCATATACATATATGTGTATTCTCTCTCTCTCCACCCACACATTCTTTTTTTTTAATTTATTTATTTATTATGTATACAATACAATATTCTGTCTGTATGCCTTCAGGCCAGAAGAGGGCACCAGACCTCATTACAGATGGTTGTGAGCCACCATGTGGTTGCTGGGAATTGAACTCAGGACCTTTGGAAGAACAGGCAGTGCTCTTAACCTCTGAGCCATCTCTCCAGCCCCACCCACACATTCTTAAGTAAGCTTATGAAAGGTTTCCTTAGGACTTTTTCAAGAATCCATAGCTATTTCCCCTTCCTCACTCCCCACGTGTACTGCCCTTCCTTCTTCACCTCCAGTTTCCAACACTTTCACTTGCTGAGTTTAATAGAACAGTTTGCAGGCCTAGAGACAGGACCATCAGGACACTGTGACAAGTACTCGCTTGGAAGCTTAAGAACCAGAGTTTCCTGTCACTGCGGAAATCGCTAACCCTCTGGGCCTCGTTTCCACATCTGGATGTAGAAGACTTTGTCAGGATGGTAGCTGACTTTCTCCCCAGCTACAGAGCCATGTGAAGCTGTTGCCCAGTCCTTGTGAGAAGTCATGTCAGTTTGGCTGCACATGGTAAAAGCCTGCTGCTCTTCATGATCCCTGACAGTTAACACATAACTAGAGTTTATCATGTTTCTTCCATTTTTGTTGTATTATTTAAAATGCTTAAGATATACATAAATTATTCATGATATTTTGACATTATCAAGAGTATAACATTTATAGCAGTTGTTTTGCTGTGTGTGTTTTCTTCTGTAGGTTGGACTGGTAGATCACAAGGAATTGTCTTCTGGCCCTGGAATTGAAAAACCATTAGCTTCAAAATCCGTTAGCATTTCTAAAGAAGGTTTGTTTTGGGTACCTGGGCTGGTATTGAAGCCTGGCTTCGAAAAAGAGCTAGAAATACTTTTTTTTTCATGTAAGCTGAAGCCATTGCTTTCCACCCTATTCCCAATGTTTTATTTTTCTTTTATTTTTTTATATTATACATATGCTTTTCCTACATGTATATGTGTGTACCACATGTGTGCATCTTGTATCTGTTTCCTTAAGGATTTCATTCCCCCTTTCCATTATTAGTTCTTTCCAAGTCTGTCAGTGGTAAATCATCCTTGTCTTTGAAAATAGCTTAGCTTTACTGTGATTTTTTTAGGTCATCACTTAGCTGACTGCAGAATTCTCATGTCTTCTCCGATTCTAGTGTTTCCCTCGTCATTTGAAAGACATTCTCCCAGCATTTGTTGAGTTTACACTGCCTATATGCTGTTAATCTAACTGATGTATTAAAATCACTGGTTACTTTTAAAAAATTTACTTTTTATTCATCTTTCTTTTTTGATACAATATTAAGGTATGAATTTCTTACATCTCGATAGATTCTCCAGTTAAAAGTTTTACCTTTGGGAAGTGTGTGTTGGTTCCATCTCCCTTTCTCGCCCTCTGTTCTAAAAATGCCTGTTAAGTTTGCTTGGACCTTGTTAATTTAATGATTTAAACTTACATGTTTGTTTATTCGCTTGGGAAGCCAGTGCATGCCTGGCAGGCACAGGACAACTTGAGGGGGTTGGTTCTCCTCCATTAGGTCAAACTGAGGTCAGGCTTGGCAGCAGAAATATCTGCTAAACCTCCAGCTTCTGCTGTGTTTTCCCATTTGTTTGGTTTTTTGTTTTATTTATTTATTTATTTATTTTTATTTTATTTTCGAGACAGGGTTTCTCCGTAGCTTTTGGTTCCTGTCCTGGAACTAGCTCTTGTAGACCAGGCTGGCCTTGAACTCACAGAGATCCGCCTGCCTCTGCCTCCCGAGTGCTGGGATTAAAGGCGTACACCACCACCGCCCGGCCCATTTGTTTAGTTTTTGTGTGTGTTCAGTCTTTCATGATTTCTTCATCTTAGGGCTCAGTGGTGTATTCATTAGTATTTCATTTGGTCTTCCTTGTTTTCAGTCTGACTGTTTCTGCTTTGCTTTCCTAGCTTTTCTTAAATGTAATTACTTTTTTCACTTTATATTTTTTATAGTTTTTTGTTTGGTTGGTTTTTCGAGACAGGATTTCTCTGTCTATCTTTGGAGCCTGTCCTGGGGAACTAGCTCTGTAGTCCAGGCTGGCCTTGAGCTCAGAGATTCACCTGCCTCTGCCTCCCCAGTGCTGCGATTAAAGGCGTGTGCCACCACTGCCTGGCCACTTTATATTTTTTATTAAATTAATTCCCTGTACTGTAGAAAACTTTCAGAATGTACTGTGGGCTTCTAACACACGAGTGTTTCATGTGGAAGCATGAGCACTTGCTACACTTTCCTTTGTGTTTCTTAATTGTATGTGTGCCTTGGATTAGTGTGTCTCCAGACGCATGAGGATGTGGATGATCAAAACGATACCGAGGAAACTTCAGAGACAGAAAATCATTCCAGCCAGAAAACCCACGCATGCCCTTCTGCGGGGTCGGCTCTCGGCTCTTCCGTGGACTTGGACTGGAGCATCACTTCTCCTGGTACTCTCTTCAGTTCTTAGGGCTTCATGCTGTTGTGCTCTTTAGAGTGTTGCTGTGACTGCACCTGGGAGGGGTCCAGCTGTGAAGGTGTGAAGTAAATACACTTCAACCATGAATGACACCCTCTTTCATGGTTTACCATTGAATCTATACTAATTAGAATTATATTTGATTTTTATAAAATTTGAGAAATTTGAAATGCTAATTATTAGAATTTTAAAATTTAATCTGTAACAGTACTGTGGGTTATTAGTTGAGCCCCTGCTGTGTCCATTGCTGTATTTCATGCATGGGCCCTTTTTAAGGTTGACTGAGGTAGAACTTCATTATTCTCATTCCAGAGTTGAGGTTGAGGTTTAGAAAGGGTTAATGCTGCTGTTTGTGTTGATTTCGTGGAGATGCATTGTTATTACAAGTTCCATATTTGGGTCCTGAGGGGACATTTAGTCATATGAACGATATGCATAGCATTTCTTGTGTAACCCTGGTAACATGAATAAATTGAAGTGTTTTCCCCTAGTATTTAATAGATGATTTGTAAGCTTAAAAAGAAATATTTTTTAAAACAAAGCAAGAATTTTGATGCCGTATGTAGGACCCTCCTTCCAGGCTTCTCGGAAAGTGTATGTGTCATTGCCTTGTTTTGTCATCTTTTCTCCTCTACAACCTCCATCTCTTTTTAAAAACGTTACTGGCAAGTAGTTGATTGAGGTTGGATTTTAATTTTGGAAACAACCATAAGATTCCTAGAGACTCTGCTTGTGCAGGAAGACGCCAAGCTGAGTGTGACTATTTCCCATGTGAATGGAGAATTACCCTGGCTAACTGCCGAGTTAGCTCTGAAGGCGGCCCAGAGGAAGAGTTCCAAAAACAGGGTTAGAGTAACAACTTTAAAGTGCTCTTTATGGAGCTGGATAGATGGCTCCGTGTTTAAGATCACTGGCTGCTCTTCCAGAGGACTTCCGTTCAATTCCCATCATCCACGTGGCAGCTCACAACTGTCTAACTCCAGTTGCAGGGGATTTGGGACCTTCACACAGACATACATGCAGGTTTTTATAAATCTGACTAATTTAATAATTGAAATTTAAAAAGAATTGGCCATGGTTCAGTTGGTCTAGGGCTTGCTGTGCAAGCATGGTAGTTTGGATCTGTGCTCGCCACATTAAGAGCTGTGCTGGAGAGTGTCACTGGGGCTTGCTTGCTCTGCATAGTCAAATCAGCCAGCTTCAGCGAGAGACCTTGTCTCAGAGGGAGAGAGAGAGAGAGAGAGAGAGTGATAGAAGGCACTTGACGTCAGTCTCTACAAACACACAACATGAAAATACTGACCAAAGATTTTAAAGGTATTTTTATTGAACAATTTTTCATGCAATATTTTTCATTATTAACCTAAATCTTTTCATTAACAATGTTTCTTTCTCTTAAGGTGTGAATAACGGCAATGGATTATTTGAAAGGTGAATCTTTAAGACTTCATGATTTTAAATTTGTGTGTTAAAATTTGTATGTTAATATGTGTTATGGAAATTTTAATGCTTCTATGAATGTGAGCTTTTATACTTTTTTTTGTTTTGTGTCAGGGTTTGGTTTGTCTGTGTAGCTTTGGCTGTTCTGGAACTCACTCTCTAGACCAGGTTGGCCTTGAACTCAGAGATCCACCTACCTCTGCCTTTTTAGTGCTGGGATTAAAGACGTGTGCCACCACATCCTCCTGGCTATATTACACTTTTTGTAGTTTAAAGAAGTCTTAGAAATTTCCATTCCTGATGAGTATTTTTTTTTTTTTTTTTGGTTTTTTCGAGACAGGGTTTCTCTGTGACTTGGAGCCTGACCTGGAACTAGCTCTTGTAGACCAGGCTGGTCTCGAACTCACAGAGATCCGCCTGCCTCTGCCTCCTGAGTGCTGGGATTAAAGGTGTATGCCACCACCGCCCGGCTCCTGATGAGTATTTTAGGAAACTGGGGAGTGCTGCATCATATTTTTTGGTGTTTTAGAATTAGGTAATTGGAATGTAATAGTAATGAGATTGCATTAGCTGCATCCTTAAGTTATGTGTTAAGCTACAGCAGTTAAGACCTATATAGCTCCAGGGCTGGAGAGATGGCTCAGTGGTTAAAAGCACAGACTATTCTTCCAGAGAACTCTGGTTCCAGCACCCACATAGGAAAAAAAACGTTTAAAGACCTATAGCTCCTTGTAATAAAATACAGCAATACCATGTGCCTTTGTATGAGCATGGCATTTCTGTTATGACATGACATTCTTATCAAAACACGGCATGATTTTGATCATGAGTAGAATAGAGGCATACCAAAGAAAACTTTATAAAATGACCAGCTAAGATTTCTCAAAAGCATCAAAGTTATGAAAACTACAAAAGTAGAAATTGTTTTGGATTTGAGAAGACAGATGTCATGACAGCAAATTTATTATACCAAAATGGATTCTGTGCAGAAAAAGAACATTAGTTGGAACCATTAGAAAAATATGATATTGTCTGTAAGTTAGTTAATAATAGGTCAATTCCCCAGTTCTGGTTGATATAAGATTATGTCAGATGATCACATTTGAGGAAGCTAAGTAAGGGTATATTGGAGTTTTGCTACTTAAAAAACATTTGTTTAAAAATTATGTGTGTGAGTGTTTTGCCTGTATGTGTGTTTATGTACCAGTTGTGTGTCAGGTGCCCAAAGAAGGCATCAGATCCCCCAGAATTGGAGTTACAGATAGTTGTGAGCCACCATGTGACTGCTGGGACTTGAACCCAGGTTCTCTGTGAGAGCAGCCAGTGCTCTTAACTGCTGAGCCATCTTTGCAGCCCAAGTTTTGTTTTAATATGTGTCTGTGGGCATGTGGAGTTGAGTGCAGATGCCCGCTGAGGCCAGAGGCATTGGATCCCTAGGAACTGCTGTAGTTACTGTGGGTGCCCTTAACACTGACCCATCTCTCCAGCCCATTTTGCTTCTTTCTTAAAGTCTGGAACTATTTCAGATGAACTGTTTAAAAATGTTTTATTTGGGCTTAGAGCTAGTTTTCTGTGAAGTCGTTGATAACTATGCTTTTCTGCTGAGTGATCCCAGAATTTAGAAATAGAAGACTAGGTGTCCCTCATTTATGTTCTAGAAAAAGTGTTACATACTCATTTCTGTTTAATGTGATTAAGTCATAGATAACAAACTTATTCCTGAAATTTTATTTGCAAGTGTTTCAGAAGATCAGCTCCAGGTGACTGGATTGACTGATGTTGCTGACATCATCGATGACCTTATAACTAAGAGTGGAGTTTCCAGTGAGGAGCTTGGCTTAACAGAAAAACAAGCTAGAAGTATATCCAGGTAATCATTGAAAGTGTGTGCATGCTAGGCATGGGACCCTGGGTCCTGCATGTGTTTGAGACAAGATCTCAGGGCCTTGCTGGTACTAAGTACACACTCTACCATTGAATTAAATCCCAGCTTCAGAAGGATCTAATCCACTTAAAATAATTCAGGTTCAAAAATATTTAAAATTTGCTACATTTTAATTTAGTTTAATGATAGTAAATTTGATTTGAAGCTTAGAATAGATGTTTTCCTCATGTGGTGTCTTCTCTAACAGCATGCTCACTGTTGTATGTAACTCAGTCAGTATGTCTGTGTTCTGGAGCTTCCCCCTGGACTCACTGTGGTAAACATATCATAAGGTCTGTTTCCTAGTAGACGTTATTAATGATCAACCCAGAGAATCATAGTAGCATTTCTGTGAAACGTTAAAGTATATTTTCCTCTCAGTCTTTCCTGTATGGAATCAAAACTGACTATTCACCATCCATGTTTTTCTTAATTTTATATACATCTTGACCTAGTTATATAAAATAGGCAAGCCTGTCAGGTATGGTGGCATATAAAACCAGGGAAGTAGAGACAGGAGGATGTCCAGTTTGAGGTTAGTCTGGTCTACATAGAGAGACTTTATCACCAAGTAGAATTTAACTGAATTTCCTAGTTCAATTAAATTTCATTATTAACTTACTGAAAATCAAACTCAAAAAGGTGGTACCAGAAAACAAAGCACAAAGAGGCTGTATTTTTAAATTTTTAAAATTATGTGTGTGGAGATGAAGGGAGGGGAGTGAAGAAAAATGTATAGCTCAATAAAAACAATAAAAAATTATGTGTATTTGAGTCAGGGGTAGGGTATGTACATGTGTGTGCATCTGAGTCAGGGGTAGCATATATACATGTGTGCATGCAGGTGCCCAGAACCTTCAAGTCCCTCTGGATTTAGAGTTACAGATGGCTGTGAACCTCCTGATATGGGTGCTGCACTTCAAATTTGGGTCCCCTGCACTCTCTGTTAAGAGAATAAACCCCAACTTACTTAATTGCCTTCAGTTGTCCTTTTATCCCCTGAAGTTAATGAGTATGTTATGAACATCTTGTCAATGGTCTACTAAATTAAAGATAGAATTTGATTTTTGTCTTGAATGGTGAAATTATAGTCCAGAGTTGTGTTAGTTGTGCTGTGGGAGCTCAAGGGAGAAAAGACAGTTTACTAAGGCAGCGTGAGCAAGTCCAGACCTGATCTGTATTTCAGAGGGCTAGTGAGTGTCCCTGCAGAACAGTGACTTAAGATAGAAGCCACTGGCACATTAACTTTGAGTCCTCTGAAAAGCAGATGCCGAGATGCGATTTACAGTGAGGCACCAGGGTGCATATTTGCTAAGGGCATTCTCATAATTTTCTTTCTTTTTCTTGGGTGGAGGGGAGGGGCAAGGTCTCACTACGTAGCTTTGGCTAGTCTGGAACTCATTATGTAAACCACACTGGCTTCAACTTCTAGAAACTCACATGCCTCTGCTTCCCACCGTACTTGACTGTTGCTGACCTTTCTGAGAACACAGCAGAGAGGGCTGACTTGAGTGTGTAGTGCGGTGCCTTCTGTCCAGAGCAGCAGCATTGGAAAGGTTTCTTCTGCAGAGCATATCAAGAGTGATCTTGCTTATTTTTCAGGATTCAGCATCCTTCTGGCAGATGCCCCCAAAGAACTGAGAAGGAGAGAAGAGAGATTAAAATCTGGATGAAAAGAAAGCGAAAAGAGAGAATGGCAGAATACTTAAGTCAGCTGGCAGAAAAGAGGGGACAGGAGCGCAACCCTTTCTGCCCCAGAAACAGCCCAGTAAGTCTGTAGTACCCCAGGAAAGGCGTTCTCACTGCGTATGTACAGGTTTTTCCTGACAGATGTTCAAGGAAAAGATTAATGTAATTTGGATGCCTTTTTTATTGAACAAATGTTAGTCAGTTATCTGAACAAAGTGTGTCAGGCTAGTGTGCAAACTGCTCTATTTAATGAATTTAAATATTTTTTCTCTATCAGGCTAATTAAGGCTCTGTCATTTTAAACAGACGAGGAGGTTGAATGGGTGACCAGTTGGAATTGTTTCTTTCATTTTCAGTGAAACTCATTGGTAGCTGAAACAGCCATGTACATACTAAAGACATTTTTGAAGCTTAGTTTGGGAGGCTGGAGAATGGGTCAATGATTAGTCTATGTTCTGTTCTTGTGGAGAACTCAAGTTTGGTCGTCAGGCAGATCACAGTCCCCTGTAACCCAGTCTAGGGGACCCAACACCCTTCTCTTCTGACTCCTCTACACCCCTGTGTGCCCATTCACACAAATATACATAATAGGTATTCTTTAAACTTGATTTTATAGATGCAAAGAATTTTTTTGAGCCCTGGTCCATAACTAGCCTAGAACTCTGTATGTAGCCCAGGCTGGCCTCAAACTCACAGAGATCCTCCTGCCTCTGTCTCCTGAGTGCTGGGACTAAAAGTGTTGCTTTTAATATGCTTACTACATCCAGCTCTACAAATAATATTTTTATTTTTACTCGAGATAGCAATTTATTAAGTTGCTCAGAATGCTAAATGCATTCAAGGAGCCAAGCTGAAAATAAATGGTTCATTCATGGAGACAGAATTAAAAGAAGGGTCTCTCGGCTGGTGGCATAAGCCAGGAGTATAGCTAGCTACCTGGGAGGCTAAGGCAGAAAGATTTCAAGTTCTTCAAGTTCAAGGCCTCCCTTAGGATATCACGTAGGTTCAAACTCAGCCTAAGCAACTTAGTGAGGCCCTGCCTCGGAATAAGGTACAATATGAATAGGTACATAACTCAGAGCCTACAAAACCCAAGCAGAGAGTTATGCAAGTTTAGAGTAAACTAGCTGTAAAGGTTTTCTCTCTCCATCAGAGGGTCCCAGGAACAAACTTGGGTCTTTAGATTTGGGCAGGAGGTGCCTTTCTTTGCTGTGCCATCTCATTGGTCCTAATGCATAAAATTTGAAAAATAAGTCATAATGAACTCATTGCACTAGGTTTTTAGAGATAAGGTCTCTCTTTTAGTTCAGGATAACGTGAAATTCATGATCCTCTTGCCTCAGCCACCTAAGTTGGGTTCATGGTGTTTTAATCTAAGATTGTATTTTACACTAAGAGAGAAAACCTTCTGGTGTTTTGCACCTTTGTAAATGCCAGAAGAATGTCTAGTGCTTTAATTGTTTGGACTGAACAATAATAAACTAAGTGGGTATTTTTCCTGTGCAGTTTTATATGACTTCAAGGCAGATCAGGCAAAGAGAAAAGATGAAACGTGAAAAAGATAGGTGAGTCTGGAGCTGGTACCCTCAACATGCTCTCTAGCTCGCTTGCACCTTGGGGGTTACATAATAGCTTCCTGTTAGTAACAGAATGTCAAGGGAGGACCCCTTTATGAAAAGAAAAGCTGCTTAGGAATTTGCTTTCAAACCTTTCTTGTGTATTCACTCTTATTTCTGCTGCCCTCCCATACCAACCTGGATTCATCTATATGTGTCTGAAATACCTCAGAAGCCAAACCACAAGCACCTTTATCATCATCGTGCTGGTTCTTTTTTTTTTTGTTGTTGTTGTTGTTGTTTTTAAGATTTATTTATTATGTATACAACATTCTGCCTCCATGTATGCCCGCAGGGCGCCAGATCTCTTTACAGATGGTTGTGAGCCACCATGTGGTTGCTGGGAATTGAACTCAGGACCTCTGGAAGAGCAGCCAGTGCTCTTAACCTCTGAGCCATCTCTCCAGCCCATCGTGCTGGTTCTTTGAGCCAGGATGCCAATATGTCCCCAGGTTGGCCTCAAAGTAGCCATTTTCTGCCTCCATCTCCCAAACTCAGTAATTATAAAGTAAGCCTGTAGTGCCCTCCTCCACGGGGCTGTAGTCATCCACTTTGCTGTCCAGTGACTAGGAGAAGTCTGAGAAGGTAGAAGGATTTGTAGAACGTGTGCTCACTCTAGAAAGGAACAGGAAAGTGACATTTTCTTTCTAAATACAGATTGCTACTGTCTGACCACTATAGTCAGCGGCTCTCACAGGCATACTGCTTGATGAATGAACTGCTGTCTGACTCAGTGCAGCTAACAGCACCTGAAGGCAAACTCTTACCTGGCAGATCCCCCACCGCTCAGCAATGCAGACAGCAACGTTGCTCTTCTCCAAGGAGGTAAGACAAGTTTGGCCTGTCACATGGCAAAATAATCTCAGAACCTACCATAGCATTGAGAGTTGCTTGCTTTCAGAAAGGGTCTCCTGCATCTCAGGTTGACCGTGAGCGTCCCTGCCTCCAGCCACTACCTCCTGAGGATTACAGGTGTGCACTACACACCCTGCTTACGTGTGCTGGGCCTTGTGCACTCTGCCCGCCTAGCCACACCCCTTCTTCATCTTTGCTACCTCGAGTTATAATATAAATGTATATAATATAAAGTGAAAAAATTAGCGCCATAATTATGAACTCTTTTAAATTTATAGAATAACCAAGGAAAAGGCAAAAATTGTGTTAAGTTTCTCTCTTCTGGAATTTGCCTCTTACTTCCTCTCCTCCCCGCCTGCCATTATCATCCAGGCAGGAGCAGCCACCCCTCACCATCTGCATGCCTCATTGTTACCCTCCCCCTGTCTAGTCATGCCCATCCAGCTGCAGCTCAGCATAGCTCTCCATAAATTAACCCCTGCAATTCAGTAGGCAAAAGTTTATTAAATAGAGACAGGTGTAAATATATGTTAGTGATTTATATAGTTCTTATTGAGAATATCAAAGGCACCTAAGAATTTTTCTTCAATAAAATAGAAGATTAAGTATATAAATAAACTGCCACATATATTGAGAAATTGAAATGGGTATATATATATCTTTTATATTATTAAAATTTTGCTTGTCAAAATTTAAATTTTTCGAAGAATAATGTGTTTGATGTCTGAGGTAACACTGCAGCACAGCATAAGCAGCATTGAGTTTTTAATAATCAAGTGATTCTCCTTTAGAGAGAATCCACATGGGCAGACTTTGCTAATAAACCAGCCTGGAGGAGGCAGACACATTTCCAGTCATCTCCAAAAGGGGAAACCCTTGGGGCAGCTCCAAGGCTCATCTCAGCGGTGGCAAGGTAAGATTTGAAGCTCCCTTTTCTTTTGTGATTTGACTGTGTTCTTGGGGTTCCAAAGTTATTTTATTAGTAAGAAGAAGCTCCAATGGCATTGAGCAGCTTTTATTTATCCCAGGAGTTTGCTCTGTTGCTTTGCAATGCTAGTTCTCCTGCTTCACTGTCCCAGGTGCTAAGATTACTAACCTGAGCCGCCACTCCTACATCATGGCTTCTTGGAGTCCATGGAAAAACTGTCTTTATATTGGTCCCATTGTGAGCCATTGCTGTCACCTGCAGTAGCTCACACCCATACAGACTTCCAAACCTTCTCCACAGCCCCACACACCTTCCACAACTTCCCTGCTTCTGTAACAGCTGGTTTCCCAGCCATTTTGTACTCTCTTCCTTAGTGGAAATCATCCTTTACACCCTGAGTGTCTTTGAAGACATCCTTATCCATTTAAGATTGCGTCTTGCAGACTGGAGAGATGGCTCAGAGGTTAAGAGTACTAGCTGTTCTTCCAGAGGTCCTGAGTTCAATTCCCAGCAACCACATGGTGGCTCACAAACATCTGTAATGAGATCTAGTGCCCTCTTCTGACTTATAGGGATATATGCAGGCGGAATACTGTATACATAATAAATAAATTTTAAAAAAAGGATTGAGTCTTGCTATATATCTCAGAGAGACCTCAAGTTCAGTCTTGTACATCAGCCTTCTAAAGAGCTAGGGTTATAGACAGATGCCATTGCATGTGGCTTAGGCAGCCCGAATTGTAATCCTTTAGGGATTCTAATGTGACATGTTCAATTTTAAGTTTATATCCTCATTATGAATGGAAGGTAATACTTACACAGTTGCTATGAAGAGGCTGTAGTTAGTCTGATAGAGACCGTGAAAGTCCACAACTGACTTTCTTCCTCATCTTTGCATTCCCCTCCATGGAGCAATGAAATGCTTGAATAGCTAGCTAGGAAGTTAAACTCAGCTGTTGAGCTTTTTTCTTTATTTGCCTAAACATATGAAAACATATTTTTTGTTTAATAATATTAACAGGAAAGTATTATAGCATATATATGTGTGTGTATGCGTATACTACCACCAAATGCCTGGCCATTGTCTCTGTTTCAAACAGTCTAGGTTTTAGGATCTTCCAAATTCTGTACCTATTTTGGGCCTTCAGGTCTACTATTAACTCTCACAGGTGTGGAAGCATACGTGCAGAATCCAGAGTCCTAGTACTTGGAGATAGGAAATGGAAGGATCAAGAGTTCAAGGCTATCCTTGATTCTATAGTGTGCTTTAGGCTATTTGAGCTCTCCTGGTGAAGCACACATCAAGTCCCACCTAGTGGGAGGTTAAGGCAAGAGGATCACTTGAGCCAGGAGTTCAAGACGAGCCTAGGCAACATACTGAGCAGGCTGCACCAGAGTTGCCTTTTGCTACACTGTGTCTACACCAGGAGACATTTGTGCTAAGGAAAATTAACCACACAGAGAACAAAAATGATTACAGGGTCTCTTTTACACATGGGTTCTCAAAACAAACTGGACAATGACACAGTCATCAGAGGAGAGAGGGAAATGTGGGCTATAGGATGGAGGACACAAAGTAGCAAAGGGAAGAAAGGGAAATGTGAGCTATAGGACAGAGGAAACAAAGTAGCAAAGGGGACCTGGATATATGGGCTGTAGGACGGAGGACACAAAGTAGCAAAGCGGACCTGGAGGAAATGTGGGCTCTAGGACACAAAGTAGCAAATGTGTAGACATATACCCCCAGAGAGTTGAGAAAAGCCCTAGGGCACTTAATAGTGTATTGTGTTCAGGAGTTTTGCTGACTGGTTATCTGTTACCTGGTGGAAATGTTAATTTATTACAACATAATACCCATTTTACCATGTGTGTGTATTTCCATAATCAATGTAAAATTTATCAAAAATAAAGCTTTGTCCACACTGAGGTAAAAAAACCCTACTTTGAAATTTTTTTACACAGAGTTACACAAAATGCATGTTGGACTTTACCTCAAGATTAGATAGGCCGAGTAAGTCCAAAGAGAACTACAGGGTCATCAAGGTCAAAGGCAGCTGGTACTCAAGTCAGTGGAGACACCGCTTGTATTGTCTTTCTAGGTGTCAATAATTATGTTGATTTTATCAAACAAGACAGTTATGTCTAGACAAGAATTAATTGTACCAGAGGTTGGCATGGGGTGGGCAGGTGTTTGTAGTCGCCTGTGTTGACTTCTGCTTGTATCCTGAGCACTTGAAGGACCCGCCTGGCCTCTCACCTTCCTGCCCTCATGGTTAGGATGTTGACTCTCCACTTGGTACCTTCTTTACTTCCTTCTTTTCTTCTGTTGTTTTGAGACAGGCATTCTTGCTCTAGAGGTGAAATCACCATTACTTTCAAATCAGAAGAGGTGGTAGGAATTGGTGTTTGTGTCACATTGTTATAACTCCTGTGGATCAAATCTTCGCTAGGGTACCTGGTTTGGCCTTAACAATAAGGTCACAATCAATACATATTTGAATGAATTGGTTAGTTCCTATGTGTTTCATTTTCCCTTTAAAGGTTCTAATACTCCATGTTGGAGCCTGCAGCATACGAAAAGCCATGGGGCTGTTGGGCTGCCTCCTCCAGTGGAGCAGGGGTACATGGAGTATGAGAGAGAAGAGACAGTAGTGAGTCCCTGGACTCTGCCTTCAGAAATCCACAGGATTCTTCACGACAGGCCCCTGCTACAGGTGAGTGCTGCCCAGAGTTCTTCCGTGTTCCTGCTTTTTTGTAAGATTTGAAAATGATGATTTCTTTGGCCATCTGTCTAATTTTTCTTTCTTTCCTTCATTGTGTGTATGTATTTACATATGTACGTATGTATGTTTTGTTTGAGATAGGACCTCATGTAGTTTCTACTGGTTTGTGTTTGTTTTATTTTTCATTTTCTTTGAACCCAATGATAAATTTCTAACATCTATCTAGTGCCTTCCTCCCTCTCCCAAAGTAAGTATCTCTGTCCCTCTATTGCTTTCTTTGTTGGCTCTCTAGACCTGTATGTCTGTTACCTCTGATCTGTCACCATTTCAGGGAGTCTTTTCATTTTCCTCCTATGTTAGATACCCCCACACACCTTTTGTTTCTTCCTAGTTGTATGTGTGTTTGTGTGTATCTGAGTTTGTTTGGTGTGTGTGCGGTACACATGCACAAGCCACCACTCCGTTCCCTTGAGAGGGTGGCTCTGCTGTATTGGCAGGCTAGCGAGTCCCCTTGGTTAGCCTTTCTCTGCTGGGTTAAGAGTGCATGCAGCTTTCCTCCATGGGCTGGGATCTAAGTACAGGTCCTCATCCTTGAGGCAGGCATGCTTAGCTGTGGAGCCATCTCTCTGGCCCTGGAGTCTACACCCTCCAGGCCCTTTGAGAAGTCCAGACTTGGTTCCAGCTCGATGTAAAGTTGAAATTATCCTTGAACTCCTGATCCTCCACTTCTAGAGTGCTGGAATTGTAGGCATGCCCATCTCCTAGGGTTTCAAACTCTGTCCTCCCATTTAGCTATCAGAATTCTTTTTTTGTTTTGTTTTGTTTTGTGTGTGTGTGTTTGTTTCAAGACGGGATTTCTCTGTAGCTTTGGAGCTTGTCCTGGAAATAGCTCTTATAGAATAGGCTGGCCGTGAACTTAAAGAGATCCACCTGCCTCTGCCTCCCAAGTGCTGGGATTAAAGGCATGTGCCATCACCGCCCAGCGAGGATTCTTTCTTTTTAATAAGAACAGATTACTGGGGATGGAGAGATGGCTCAGAGGTTAAGAGAACTGACTGCTGTTCCGGAGGTCCTGAGTTCAATTCCCACCAACCACATGATGGCTCACACCCATCTATAATGAGATCTGGTCTCCAGAACTCTATATACATAATAAATAAATTAAAAAAGAAGAACAGATTACTGTACTGCAGGTTATCAGAGCCCATCTTGACTGTCGTCAGATCTGAGGCCCACAGTTGTGTTTGCACCTTGTCAGTGCAGACCTGCTCGGCAGCTCCCTTTACCACTGTCCTTCCAACTCCACAGGACATGTCGCCCACTGAAGAGGAAGAACCTGATTTGTCTTTCTTGGCGGGTGGCGTGGACAGCGTGTCTGAGAGCACTGGCAGCATCCTCAGCAAGCTTGACTGGAGAGCCATTGAAGACATGGTGGCCAGCGTGGAGGATAAGAACGCAAATGTCCACTGGGTCTAAGGCTAGAGATGGGACTTACAGCCTGAAGCCACGGGGTTCCCTGGGCTAGCCATTGCAAGAGGGAGAATAAACATGTCTGTAATATTACTTTATGGGGAAGGTGGTTTAACTAGAGAAAAGTATTGTTTATCATTGATTCATCTTAAGATATGATTTAAACAATACGTACATGTCAAGCCAGGTTTTCACAATATTTAAATTATTTTGAATAAAAAAATCTTGTATCTGCTTCCTCTTTTACTACCCTTTGTTTGCAGAAACTGCTCATGTGGAGGATGTGACAGAGCGCCATCTCTGGGGAAAGTCAGTCTCTGCTTTAATACAGCTGTTGGGCAGGCTCGGGCCGAGGACCAGCAAGAGCCGGCGACTTCATATGAACATTTGTCTGTGCTCTGTGGCTGAGTAGGTTGGGGGAGGGGGGACAAGGATGAGTGCTTCAGAGGCAGAGGAGAATGGAAATCCTGGCTGAACAACACTGATCTTGTGTTGTGCGTGCGTGTGTGGAGGTCACAGAATAACATGCAGGAGTTGGTTCTCTCTGTTCTCTCTCCCATATCGGCCCCAGCGCTCAAATTGGAGTCATCAGATGTGGCAGCGCCTTTTGTCCACTGAGCCGCCTCTCTAAGACGCTCATCTTAGCGTTGTGAAAAGCAAAGGACGGCAGCCTCCTAGTTTTGGAGATCATTTTCAAAGAAATGGCTAAATCCCAAGAACCTCTAGTCCCTGACACTTTGGGTCGTTTTGGTGTCCTTTGGAAGGGTCCTTGTCTGAAAAGGCTGAAGCGTCCCGAGTGCCCGACTTTGTGACGTCAGACATGCTCCATGGTCTTCAACCAAAGCACCGTTAAGCATCGGAGAGGTGCAGAATCATCTGGTCGTTGTATTCTCATGGTTTTCCGAAGTCTGTGTTGGGGGCCGAGAATGCAGTGCAGAAATAGTGTGTGCCTACTGTGCATGTCCTGGCTGTGATCGAGCTACCTTAAACTTTCTCTGTAGTGGGCGATTAATCCAGGCAGTGTCAGAGGGATCTGAGGGCTGGTCGCTCAGCTCAGCACAGCTGGGTGAGCAGTTCACTTCCGGGATGTTTTGTCCCTTTACTTAGTTCCCACTCTGGCATATGGTCCTCTGATGGCTCTGCTTTTGTTTGTGTATTGCTCAGTTAGGTCTTGGGTGTTGTTTTTACTACACCTAGTTCTATTCCTCAATCACATCTCATATAAAACCCTTATTACATCTTATTTCTGTTTCTTTTTGCTTCTTAATTAAAGCCTTCTATAGCTTTAACAATTCCTAAAATCTGAGGGTCCTAACCATGTCCCGCTTTCACCATTTAGCTGTTTTACCCACTCAGTACTTAGCCAGCCTACTCATTCATCTTATTTCCTCTCAGTTCTAACTCTGTTAGCTGAGGTCTGCATAGACATAATTCATAGAGAATACTGTGTAGACAGAAAACACATACAATTGGACATGTAGCCAGAGAGTAACCTTATTGCAACAGTAGTGGCTGATTTTGGCACTCCACCCTCACCAGCTGACAGGCAGGTCTTTCCAACAGCAAATAAATAAATATGCTAATTAGGTGATGTCATAGAGCAAACGACTCAGCAGCCGGCTACAGGACACGGCACCCAAACATATTTATAGCAGCCCATGCAGCTTTCTCCAGTGTAGAGCACATATTAGGATACAAGACAAGTATCAACAGATACAGGAAAGTGGAAATAATTCTTTGTATCTTATCTAATTGAAATGAAATAAGATTCCAAATATATACCAAGAGAAACACTAAAAAAAACAACAACCCACAAACTCATGGAGATGAAACAATAAAACTTTGAATAGTTAATGAGTCCTTAAAGAAACCAAAAGTGAAATAATTTGTAGAATCTGAGAATGAAAACACACATCCTCAAACCTGTGGAATCCACTGAAAATATCCCAGTGCTTACATTAGGAAAGTTAGTCTCAAATAAATGATATATGTTAGGGCTCTGGAAAAAGAAGCAAACCCCAAATCAGTACACAGAAATCATCACGATCAGGGCAGAAATTAACAAAAGAGAAATATTTAAAGAACCAATGAGACAGAGTTGGTTCTTTGGGAATATAAATGCATTGACAAATGTTTAGCCAAACTAACCAAAAGAAAAAGACCCAAGTTAAAAAAAAATTAGAATTGAAAAGCTGTTACAACAGATACCAATGTAATTCAGAATATCATTAGATTTACCTTAAAAACATTCCACTAAATTGGAAAATCTAAAAGAAGTATATTAATTTCTAAATACATATGACCTACCAAAATGAGATAATTTAAGCAACTATAACAAGCAGTGAAGAAATCAGTAATTCTAACTCTCCCAACTAAAAAGCAGCAGACCCAGATGGACTCACAGGTGAATTTTACCAAACCTTGGAAGGGCAACACCAGGATCTCTCCACTTTCCCCATGAGATAGGAAAGGAAGGAACATCACCAACCTCTCTTCATAAAGCTAGATAAAGACAACAGGAACATTATAGGCCAAGCTTGCTGTTGAGTAGAGATGTAAAACTTCTCAACAAAATACTTCCAAGTCTAATTAACACTCACAACAAAGATCATTCATTATGGTAAAGTTAGACTTATTCCACAGGTGCCAAAATGGTTTGATAAATGGAAGAAACCCAATCAAGAATGTGAAAGACCTCTGTAATGAAACTCTGAAAACTAACCAGAAACAAAACACAACAACAAAACATTGAAGACACTAGATAATGGAAAGACCTCACATGGATTAAAAGAATTTTATGAAAAGGGCTCTCTGATGAGAGGCAGTCTACAGATTCATTGTAATACTGATCAAAATTCCAGTGGTTTTCCTCAGAAATAGAAACAACAATATTCATACAGATTTACAAGTAACCCTGGACAGTCAAAGCAACCCTAAGTAAAACAGAGTGTTGCTGGAGGTATCATCCCTATTTTCAGGTTACATTACAGAGCCATAATAATAAAAACAGCATGGTACTGGCACAGACACAGACGTGTAGATCAATGTAGGACACAGTCAAGCCCATTCAACTAAACCCACCTCAATCTTGATAAAGATACACATTGGAGAGGTTAGCGTCTTCAACAAATGGTGCTTGGCTATCTGGTATGTACATGTTGAAGGAGGAAACTAAATTCTTATATCTCACCCTGAATGTGCGCGCGCATGCACACACACACACACACACACACACACACACACACACACTAGCTCCTTGAGAGTTCTTATCACCTATTGCTCTTACAGAAGACCTAGGTTCTTTCTGTTCTGTCACCTACATAGCGGTTCACAACTATCCAATGCTCCAGTTCCAGGGTATCTAACATCACCTACTGACTTCCAGGAGCACCAGGCACACATGTGGATCACATAAAACCATGTAGGCAAAACACTCAAATCTTTTTTTTTTTTTTTTTTTTTTTTTTTTGCTTTTTCGAGACAGGGTTTCTCTGTGGTTTTGGAGCCTGTCCTGGAACTAGCTCTTGTAGACCAGGCTGACACTCAAATCTTTTAAAACAAAAATCCCTCCAAATGGATCAAAGAAAAAGCCTAGCTGTCCATCAGTTGATGAATGAAAATGAATATCTGGTATATTATATAAATATATAATTTATTTAGTTAAGAAAAATGAGTCAGGTGTGGTAGTGCACAGCTTTAATCCCAGCACTCAGGAGGCAGAGCCAGGTGGATCTCTGAGTTTAAGACCAGCCTGGTCTGTAGAGCAAATTCTAGGGCAGCCAGAGCTACATAAAGAAGCCCTGTCTCAAAAATGAAAAGAAAAAAAGAAAAGAAAATGAAATTCACAGGTAAGTGAATGGATATGGAAAAAATTATTCTGAATAAGATAGCACAGGTCCAGAAAGATAAATACCACATCTCTCCTTTACAGATGTTAGCTCTGAATGTTCATTTGTGTATGTTTCATTTGGAATACTCGGGCCAGAAATCAGTAAGAGGCCATGTGGGGGTGCTTCTAAGGGAGTTGAGAGAGAGAGCTTAAAGTGGATTAGTAGAACAGAAAGTTAAAGTATGGTCAACCTCCTGAGGGGAACACTCTGGAAGAAAACTGACTCTTCCTTGCCCCTAGCTATCAGTTGCCATTAGCTCCTTAGCTAGGGGTGGGACTTCCTGCCAGCTCCCCTTTCTGCTGAACTGATCAGTACTGAGCTGGCCTTGTATATGCTATCACAATGGCTGTGAGCTCTTAGTGCGACAGCACTGCCGTGTCCTGAAGACTCCATTGACTTGTATTCTTCCATCGCCTCCGACCCTTAGTCTTCCCAGCCCCTCTTCTACAGTGATCCCGAGTCCTGGGGTTTGTGTGACGCCGTGATGGGGAAGCACATGCCAAACAAACCCCGTCCTCCCCACGTTGCTTTGGTGATGGGGTTTCATCACAGCAACAGGAACCCTAAGACAGTGGGTATCATGAACACACAGAAGAGCTAGGAGAGCGCTCATGGTGACTCAGGAAACAGGCGCCCTGCAATGCAACTAGAGGAGGAAAGAGAATTACAGAGCCCCTGAGAACCTCTCACTTACAGCCCTCAACTAAAATACACAGGCTAATTGGTTATATTAGACAAGATCCAGCACCCTGCCCCGCCCAGGAAACACTCCTCCACGGCAAAGCACCCGGAGCTGAGAGTTACATGGGGTCAACATAGCAAGAAAACAGAAGCCCACACAAGCTGACATAGCTATTCTGACAAGCAGGCTCCAAACCGAGGTTAGAAGAGATAAAAGGGCCTACGTATTAATAAAGTAACTCCATATTATACATTAGTAACTATATATTGATAAAGTAATGTGCTATCAAAAAGTTATAACAACTGTAAATGTATATGCACCAAACTTCAGGACTTTGGAATTTCACAAAACAGGTACTGGGCATAAAACAAAACAACAAAACAAAACAAAAAACAGTGCTTCAGATAAAATAACATTGGGGGACTTCACAATTCTTATATTCAAGAGGTAGGTTCATGTGGTAGTTTAAATGTAATTGACTCCTACGCTGGGTGGTAGTGGCGCACACCTTTAATCCCAGCACTCGTGAGACAGAAGCAGGCAGATATCTGTGAGTTCAAAGCTAGCCTGATATACAAGAACTAGTTCCAGGACAGACATCAAAGCTACACAGAGAAACACTATCTTGAAAAGAACAAAGAAAAGGGGCTGGAGAGATCTCTAAAAGCACTGGTTGTTCTTCCAGAAATGCTGAGTTCAATTTCCAGCAACCACATGGTGGCTCACAACCATCTATAATGAGATCTGGTGCCCTCTTCTGGCCTGCAGGAATACATACAGTCAGGATACTGCATACATAATAAATAAATCAATCTTTTTTTAATAAAGAAATTAATTGACCCCTATAATCTCATATGGGGTGGCACTGTTATGAGGTGTGGCTCTGTTGGAGTGGGTGTGTCCTTGGAGGAAATGTGTTACTGTGGGGGTGGACTTTGAGGTTTCCTATGCTTAGGATACGTCCTGGTGTCTCAGTTGACTTCCTATTGCCTGCAAGATGTAGGACACTCAGCTACAACTCCACAGCCAAGTCTGCCTGCACACAGCCATGCTCCCTATCATGCTGATAATGGACTGAATCCCTAAAACTGAGACACCCAATTAAATGTTTTCTTATAAGAGTTGCTGTGGTCATGGTGTCTCTTCACAGCAATGAAAACCCTAATTAAGACAGTTCTCTATAATAAACTCCATCAAAAAACATCAGAGTTAATCTGTACCACAGATGAAAGGCCATATTGGACATACTACTCCACAAACAGTTAAAATACATGGGCCTCTCAGCTGCCTATGAACTTTCTCTAACACAGACTACTACATTTTAAGCCATAAAGCAAGTCTTAGTAAATACAAAAAAGTTGAAATGGTTTCTTGCATCCATAGCATAAGAAGCTACACAAACTTTGCAAATGT